GGGGGGGCGGTGATTGTCGCTTCTCGCTCATAAGCGGAGGCACCTTTTCAAATTGACGTAGCTACTACTACGTAGGTACTAGCAAGGTGGGCGATAATACTGTCATGCAGTGAGCAACAATAATGATAACGTGTCTGATAACAATCAGCCACAATCACAGCAAAGCGAGGAAAACGTGGAACATACAGTACTGCCTACCCTCACTACGATGCTTTTACCATTCATTCCGCTTTTCTGACCATACATACCCTAACTCAAACACCCACAACACGCACGAGATGCTCCAGTGCTCCGGTTTTGTCACCATACCGAGTTTGTATTTTCTGTACCGAGTCGAGTATCATTAGTGTAGTCCCAAATATCCGTCTTTATTCCACAGCGGGTCAGGATCCAAGACCCAAAACCAAGACCAAAACCAAAAGAAAGAACCTGCAGTAGTTGGTCGTCAAAGTGGAAGTGGTCCAGTTCATGGAGAAACCCATTCTGGAGTGAGGTTCAGTGACTTGATGGGTGGTCTCACTCTCGACTGTGGTGCGGCTGCTTGTCAACCACACCAAGATCCACAATGTCAAGTCCCTACAACTTGGTTAAAGATCCCGACATGTCCTGTCCCTTCCCTTCCGGGTTCGGTTGGAGATCCGTGCACCGGGGCCAACAACTCAAAAGAGAAACGAGTCAGAAAACCATGGCCCAATTCTTCCAAGTGGGCTTGCCTCATGGAGGGGAATGGGATGAGATGGGACGAGATGGGGTTACCTGGGACGGCATGGTCGTGGTCCTCCCAGCACCCGGACCTCTTGACTTTTGACGGATTCGAGATTGACTTCACCGATTCTGTTGGTCGATTGAGAGACATTGTGACTGTCGCAATGTGGGTGTGCGTGTGGGTGTGTGTCCCAAAGCCCGTGCACACAGCGCGCGTGCAAGGTGAGCTCCATCTGCCAATGTCTGTCACCACTGGCATTGCATCGTATCTATTTAGTCGTCATCCGACATCCCGGACACGGCACAGACTCGAAAAGTTTAGCTGGAGGGAAAAACACATGCGCTTGCGCCTCGCATGGCTTGCAGGAGGTCTGTGCCATTGCTATCCACCCTTTTTGATCCACTGTTTCTGCCCTCTTTCAGTTTATGTCGGCGCAGAAAAGAGAAACCCGATTGATCTTTTCGGGCAACAAAGTCTCACCAAATTCCTTCTAATCCACCAATCAGGCAAACGTCCGCCAACCAATTTTCTTCCACCCACCTACCATCCCCCCTTTACGAGTCTCTGCCCCCAAAACGCACGGGCCTTGATCTTCAGCTTTCTTTTTTCTCGGGACCAATGCCGCATCATGATTTGACCCGACAATGACGTGACAGGTCGCCGTGTTTGTTAGCTTGGGTACCTAGGGATTCCTGTTTCCCAATTTGGGCCTGCCAAACCACCACTGCACGGCTAGTTTGTATCTTAGGTTGTGAGCAAATGCGACCTTCGCTAGAGGAGAACGTGTTCGCTGAGGACACTCCGATGCAGTGGGATGATTGCCCACCACCGTGCCCTCCCCATGATCAGTATTCGACCTCTGGATATTTATGTATGAATGAATCTTGATGCAGACTTGTAACTGTTTTTATGCAATGTACCACGTGTACCAATACATAATCTAAATGCGTAGCCACTATACGTCTGACCTCCTCCGCTCCAGTATGCCGCAATAATGGGTTGTGGCCGTTGTCCACGGTCTTCTGGTGTAGTGCCTGGAACTGTCTTCTCTCCCACCCTGAGATTCAATAGCATCCTGCGTCGCAGGAAGAAGTGGGACACAAGTACACATAAACATCGAAAAGAAAAGCTTGATAGGCGGCCCGGGGTATCTCTCAGGTATAGAAATTGAAATTTTTAAAAAGTGCGTCAGAGAATAATACAATGTCGATCGAATGGAAAAGTGCGTCTCTTCAAAATATCAGCTGGCAATTTTTGTGGCAATCGGTTGCAATAAATGAACCGCGGTGACGACATGGAAGCACCCCAGCTTGAATTCTTTCATTCAGTGGAGTGTCGTTCAAGGTCGCCCTCATGTCGTCTCTCTAGGAATAGTCGTCTCGTTGAGAAGGAAAAGAAAAGGAATCGCTTGTTGATCTGTGATGCACGGCCGTAGAGCCCTCGTTTCTGGAATACTGTCCTCAAGTCACCGGTGCCAAGTGCGATCGAACGGATCTTTCCGGAAGGGATCATAAGACTGTGCGCCGGGAGGAGCTGGAGGTCCAGTTGGCATCGATCTGGGTGGGCCATAAGAGCCTGGTCCGCCGGAAGGAGGAGGTAGGGGCAGAGTAGGTTCCATTGAAAAGCCCATCCCTGAAGAAGATGTCGAAGGTGAGTGAGTCTGTCGTTGCCCCAAGAAGGTCGGCTGGTAATCACCAGTGCGACGCCTTTGCGCTGTACTGCCCGAGTCCGAAACGTCCCGGTAAGTATCGTCCACGTTATGTTGGCTAGGTCCGGCCGTGGAACCTGCTGCACGTCTTCGGTGCTGGGGTGACGGAGGTCGTTGTAACAGCCGTGGAGATACACGCCCTCTTACAAGCTCACGAAAATAGTTGCGTTCAGAAAGATAGAAATCCCGCTCTTCCGTCATGTCGTTGAGTTCTTGTTGTAGACCGGCAATGGTTTGAGAAGCCTCCTTTTCCTTCTCCTTTCTTCGTGCTCGAAACCGGGCTGATGCCCCTGCATTGCGTTTTCTCTTCTCATCTGCAACTTTAGATGCTTGCTGTAGATCTAACTGCACAGGAACCACCATTGGGCCCTGGTCAGTGTCCAACGTCATTTGATATGAAGGCTGTGCCGATTGGTAACCATCATGAGGGCCATGAGCATGGAATCCACTTGTTACCCCGGCCGGTAACGCTCGGAGGCCAGGAGGAGGTTGCGATGGCGCCCGGTTAACGCCATAACGATAAACAGGTGACACCTGCTCCACCTTGCCGTAGGATGCTTGTGATACCGAAGAGATATCGCTGGGATAATGTGCATGCAAAGACTCTATCCCACGAACTGGACTTTGAGAGACATGTGAAGCTGAAGTGACAAGCTGGCCAGCGGCGCCCAAAGGGGCAAGACTGGGGAGATTTTGAGCGGCCGCCATAGAGAGCGGCGGGAGAGGCGGTATTTCTGAGGTCCGATATAGCCCAGGCTCTGCCGTGTAAGTCCGTCCGCCCAGCCCTGTGCCTGGCTCCACGGGCTGCAGACTCGAAGGTAGAGCCGGGTTCCTCCTTGGACCTAGGCTCGCAGCACGAACAGATGGTGACTTTGGCGTGAGCACTCGTCTTCTCGTCCCCGTGGATAGCGGTTGATCGTGCTCTCGTGGCGGCGATCTTGGTTCAATACGCTTTCGGCCACGAGGAGAAAGACTGGGAGCAGGAACCAGGCTCGGTGCCACACTCCTGGCCGGAGAAGGATTCGTCCTGATATTGGAAGAATTTCCTAGCGGCTCGGATTCCACCGTGGGGTTCAAGATGCTATGTACCCCGAGAGGCCTCGATGTAGTTCGCGAGGCCGACTCTGCTGTACCGGCCTCTCCTACGGGCCTGGCCGACGAGGCTGCTCCAGAATACAAGCCATGCGCCTCCGGCCTTACAGCACTTGAGGTGCTTGGTCTGGATGATTCTGCGCTTCCACCAGAGGCATGACCTGATGGGTTATGTGTTCCTGCGGCAGCAGGCGACGTGATCGGTGGACGGTCTGCTGTGGCGAGGATTGTGACATGTACTCGGGATCCTCCTCGTGCGGCCGGTACTCCAGTCGCCACCATGGATGTTCCTCCTGCGGCACCTCTCCGCCTTTCCTCCTCCACCGACTTCCCGGGCCCGGGGGAGTTTGCGAGCCTTGATGACGTGGTAAATGATGATCCCAGTGACGGCCGATATACCTAGGATTTGATGGGGCCCGGGGGTATTGTGGCAGAGGAGAGGGATTCAACCCCAGAGTAGCCAGGGTGAAATATATTCGTTTGATATGCTGGGCCCAGGTCAGAAAATCATGCTAGACCCAGTTCCGCGTGTAGAGGAAGACTTACCGAAAGGTACTTCTATTTCTCTTCTGACAGTCAGACCTAGAGTACAAATAAGGACAAAAGCCAGGCTGGAAAATTGCGCATTCCAAGACGAGAATCATCTGCGCAAACGGTCCCCAAGCCTTTCCAGGTCATTCGTGGTTGGCACGACGAAGGCGACAAATGAGAGCCGCCAAATGGAAGCCCCGGTTCTGAGAGGTCCGTTCGAACACCAGAAATTAAAAGGCCAGGCAGCCGGACTCTTGACGGGGAGAGCAGAGGTGATAATCTAGTTTCAAGAGACTAGCCCTGTGGTCGACCCTCGAGCTTCCATCATTTGTGGCGGTGAACTTGGATAGTAGTAGCAGGGAGGCCTGTGAAATCTGACGACCAGAAACAATTTTTGGGACGGGGAAGCGGGAAGGGCATTCACTGGGTTAGAAAAGAGATATACTTCCAGGCTTCTAGCGTTCTTTCGCTGGCTTGCCCGCCATCTTCGTCACGATCTGAGCGCCGCCTTAGCTTTAGGGACAGGTTTGACCTAACGCTTCCAGCGAGGCACACAAGAGAGCGAACATCCACCGGTAAGTGAGCAGCCGGAGAAAGGGAGTGGGTCGCGCCGTTCTGAGGCTGCAGCAAGTCACCAAGCAATGGGCGAGTGGATGGGCGACCGAAAAGAAGTTACCAAAGCTACCAGTAGTAGCGAGACCCGCGAGATCATAGGCTCCATACATGGGCGCCCTAGGGAAAGCTGGCTCATCATCCTTCGAGCAAGCATGCCTTGTCAAGCGCGTGATGGTCCTAGTAAGGCGGGATGATGGCAGCGCTGGGCAGCAACGTGATAGTCGGGATGGTGGTAATGTGGCTACTGCGGCCTGCAGAGTGGACACCATCAGCGAGGCGTGGGGCTCAAATAATACCCAAGCCTTTGGCGGCGAACGGAGTGGACTGCCCTGAGCGAAGATTCAAGGAGAGAGGCTGCAGCCTGTCAGGGGTGGCAGTGACATGGGCCCGATAGCCTCTCAAACGCATGGACCGGGACCCAACGGCGCGAAACTCCCATGGAGCGGAAGGGTGGGCGTGACGACCATTGAGAGTGGTTGCACACCGAAAGTGATGGCCGCCCTAGCTCGGCTCCTCTGCTTCCTTTTCCATCCTAACCGCGGCGGGTAGGCAAGATGGCACCTTTTTTTGACAGGCGACCAGGGGCCGGACGTCTGTTTCCTCTCCATGCAGCCATGTCAGGCATGGACGCTAAGCAATCAGGCGCGTTAGTATCCCTTGCTTCGTTAGCTAGCTCGACCCGACGTCGGCTTTCTGACTTGCGTTCCCCGTCCCAAACAATAATGACTCCATAGTGAGGAACCTCGCGGATTGCGTCCCAGGAATCGCAACTGGAGCTAGGGAAACATCCCCAAGTGTTTTCCTACACCATGGCTCTCATTGGGTCCTAGCTTCGCTCCATCTCGCCTGGAGCTCAGGCATCAAAATTCTGCTCCTTGCCCAATCATGAGAACAAACGGCGGTGTTCTAGGATGCCGCACAGTTCTTTGAAGTTGTGTGCATCACGGCCAGTGTGACATGAACAGTGAGATGCAGAGCTTGTTATGGGATGGGTGGAGCTGCTATTACCGGAGCCCAACAAGATCCCACGCTCTTACGTTGTAGGCGCGTGTGCATGATCGCATAATCGTACTCGCTGTTGCGTGGGAAAATTTCGCTATGAAGCCGTCTTCCCCAAAGTTTGGCGCAAGAAGCAACCTGCACATTGGCGGACTAGCCTTGTAAGGTACAAAGGTTGAGGGCCCAAAAGTCTCCGTTACCGGCAAACGTACTGTGGCTTGGTCATCTTCAACCGCTGAACGCATACGAGCGCGGGTGAGATACCCTGGTGACGTGATTGAATAATTAGCTCTTCACAAAGCCTAAGGTGCCCAAAAGACAGGCGCTGAGCTTTCGTCAGTTGGCGGGAAGGACTAGTCGGCAATAGACCAGTCTATCGGTTCGAACCAGACAATGAGGTACACCGCCCGGCACAAGGCCCGCCTCGGGCGATCATGTCGATCATCTTTCTTCCATGATTGGGAGATCCAGCAAGACGACGGTCAGACATTCATGGGCATTCCTCTTCCCGCATGAGAATCGATGCGACCTATCCTGTCGATTGTTCCGCATTGAGATGAATCATGATTGCAAGGCAGTGTGCATCATGTTCCAGCCTTGACAAGTCCAAAGTGCATCCGGTAATATTGATGGCAGTAGTATCCTTACGATACCGTATTGGGGTTGCTAGTTTGACATTCCCACACAGTTTTGGGTAAAGCCCCGGCATGGACTCAGACTGAAAACAGTTACTGGGGAGGCCAAAATTTGATTGACATCCCCGACCATGGCTGCTTGCTCTTGGTCCACGTAGGGAATTGTCAGGTCTTGTTACACAACCAGAGTACCAAGACTGGTTGCAAATCTCCCTTCGTCGCACTCCGATAATACAGGTCAGCCAAGGATGAGGCGACTAACCAAGGTTTGCTTTCGGTTGTGATAGCTCCCGGTTGGTAGGGCTAAGGGTCAGTTCGTTTGTTACGATGTTATGCCGGTGACTTCGGGCGGGCTAGCCGACAAGTAATGTTGGTGTAAAGTAATATCGATCTGGCATCGGGAGTTCGAGTTGAAAGGCATGCCCATGACAAAATACCACAAGCTGAAAGTGGCCTCCCAGGTTTCAGGTGTGGATTGTCTTGGAGGCGAGTGCAGTAAAGATTTACACGCGTCCTGGACTGCTCGTAAACAAGGTAGTTGATAGAAAGTGACTCTGACCTGCAAGCACGTTAACGGTTCCACAAAATCAATACCAAAACGATCTAATCCTCCGTGCGGATGCCTCTAGGGTGCATTAATTGTCAGGGGGGATCGAGCTGCAGACGGGCTTGTTTCCGCGATGTATGTGACATACTGGAGCCTTTTTCCTTTGTCCCACCGAATAAGGATGCTCGATATATCACATCGCCGGGCGTGAGACACTTTCAAAGGGAATGTATTTTCTGGGGAGTAGCGGTGGGCAAGCTGTCAGCTGCGTGAGATGCGTCAACTCGACAGCACCATGTGCAGCATCTTGTGCTGCTATACGAAGAGCGTCATTACATGACTTTGATTCGAACGGCTTGGGCCGCTGAAAGGCCAAAAGCCTCTGCGATGGCGGAGGGAGCTCCGCTGGCAGGGCAATAACCCAGTTATTGCATTAGATCGCCGTTCGTTGGCTTGATAGGTTGCTCTCATAGTTCCTGCACACTGGCACTCTGGTTGCGGCCGTTTGCAAGCTGCCTCATTTTCGACGTCGCGTGGGAAAGCTCCGATGCAGTTCACCATCCTGCAGATGTTGGGGCCGGCTTAAGCGAAGGCTTCGGTTGTTCTCCACCTCATCTAAGTGCGCAATGAGCGTTTCAACTTGATGGAGGCACCTTAGCCTTGGCTTTCTGCTATACGTCAAGCAATATTCGGGGACCTTGATTTGCTCTGTTCGTCACCATGGCCGACGCTTTAGTCCACGGTGCTGACTGTCAATTGAGTCAACGCTGGAACATCGCTACGGAATATACCCAGCCGCTTAGAGCGGTGTCCGTTGAGGCCTGTTGGTGAATTAGGCCAGTGGCGCCAGGCTGTGAGGTCGCGGCCGATAGTAAAGGTGGGTGTCCTGCTCGAAGCAATGATTTGATGCCGCATCGGTCGACATCGCCAAAAAGTGCAAGTCACAGACGGCCGCTCGGAGAGAATTAGCATAGAAGCACTAATAAGACCTATCAGAGCGTCCGGCCAGGCCGTCCCCTTGGCGGGATTGGATTCCCCATGATCAAGTGTATTGGGATTTCACCATCGAGGTTACACCCACGGTGCACCGACTCTTATTAGAGGCCTATGGAGCCCTCCTCAGCCGGGTCTCGCGGCAATAACCATGGGTTTTGTTTGGTTGTTGGACATGAGGTTACAGCGGGGGCCTAGGTCCAAGCGTATGCCGCTAATTGATGCAATTCGGTGTAGTAGAAATTGTAGAAGTGAGGTTCATGTTGACCTCCATAAGCGACTCCCAGAAAGCACTGGCCAAGTTAACACGGGTGGTGGGTGAGTGGGATAGAAGCACAGGCGGTACATTGTACATGTCAGGGTCGGGGGAGTTGATGTGAGTGCAACCGCAGGTGGCAGGTGGCAGGTGGCAGGTGGCAAGTGCCCGCCAGAGTGTGGGAGTGCAGTGCATGGTGGCTGCCCCTCGAAGCGAAGGGTCCTGCCGCTGGCACTGGCACTGGCAGTCAGTGCCGCAGGTGCCAGTGCCTGCCCAGCTCGCGGTCCGAGTCTAGGTTGTCATCCACGTGGGAATCCTTCTTCTTAGGTACTAGTGCTTTGGAATAATTGCGGTTCTTCAAGTTGGATACAAATTACTAGTACTACTACACGACGCGCTCCCACCTGCGTCAGCCTGCCTCTGTCCCTAGGTAAACGCCTGCCTTCGAACTTCGCAAGTCCCTACACCGGAGTGCTTACCTCAGTAATATTCGCAATGCTACCTAGCACACATTATTCCTCCTGGCAAAGGGCTCTCCCCCATATCTGCCTGCTGCCAGACTGTACACCGTAATGTACGGGAAGACAATCACCGCTGGCCTACTAGTCCGTGACGAAGACACCGGGAATGACGCCACAGACGCGTGCTGGCCCCGCTCCAGGCCTACCACCCCTACAACTGAACAGACTAAAGAAGCCACCTCCGAACCCTTCGAAATGAAGCAATTTTTTGTCATCATCGGCCTGCGAAGAAGCAGCTGTGAGTGATCATCCAGGCACTGGCAGTACCAGGCACGACGCGTCAGCGAGCAACCAGGCGTACAACTGTACGATGGATGATGACAAGTCGTAGGCGAGATGCTGGCCAATCTGGGCTAGAGTCTGGCCTCGCTGTGCTGCAACTGCACTACCAGGTACTTATCAACAATTCCGTTGCCCCTAACAATGCGGAATGAGGTACTCGACCTGCTACTCAGTACTGTACTGCCAGTGTAGCATCAAAACCAGTCGTTCATTAGCGCACACACGGACCTTCTCCATGGTTGCAGGCAACTTTACCTACGTTGTGAGTTCAGCAATTCAAGTCGAAAGGGAAATGGGAAGTCTAGGACTGAGGCCTGTACGTCATTTCACACCTCTACCTAGTAGTCATGGCTTCAATGCCATCCATACCTGCGTTGGTTAGTTCTGCTTCAAGCGTTGACACTTGCAACTTGCAGTGGGAGGTAGAGTACCAGTAATGACCTCGTTGCACTGTGCTAGTAATCTGCACAAGGGCGGATTGTACCACACCACAAGGGGGCTCACCATTTATTAGTTCCCCTTGCGATTGTCCAAGCGAGGACCAACCTCCTTGCCTTATGCAGAGCCTATTCCAAGGCTGTTGTCTTTCCCTTGCCGGCCCTGTCCTTTGCGACTTTGCTAGTATCACACATCCTGCAAGAAATCAGAAGCAGCCATCAGATATTGGGGCGGCCTTATGCTACGCATGACAATCCTGGATGATGTGGATGCTGGTCCAGAAAGACAACTTGAACCATTCCAGGGCACGATTTACGATGAGCAAGCCGGCCACCAGTCCACTGCAGTGAGAAATACTTATTAGCCTTGGTACGAGGCTAAACCCAAGCAAGCATACACGCCTGTTTTTGGCAGCACCTCCGCTGTTCTTGTGTCCTCTCAGACTATTTTGGGCTACAGCAAGTGTGCCACAGTACCATGAAAGCCTCCGGAGCCACACCCAGATGATGTGGCGGCTGGCATGACAGGAACCATCTTGTCACTGGCAGACTGAAATAACTGTTTCTCGCTTGAGATGTACCAAGGCTAACCCTGTCCATGGTTTGCAGCCAGCCGCTACCGTTGCCAGGGGTCAGCGGCCTGGTCGAGGCGAACCCGGCTTGCGACTCCTAGGTCCATCACAACCCTTGTAACTCGACCTAGCTAATTACGGGACCTTGGACCTCACACTACAAATTTTCTCCAGCTTCGCAACTGGAGACTGCATATTCTGGGAACGATCGTCCACAGGTAATCTCGCTGGCGCTTGTGTTTTCCAATTTGATATTGGCTTCTAGAAGAATGCAAGGCGCTTCTATTGCTTCAAGCGAGCCCGGTACTTCGGCATGCCCTGGATCCCGACATCCACCCTGAACAGATTCCCTGCGAATTTGGCCGACTCAGGGTACTTGTCGGGTTCCGACTCCTTTGCACTGGTGATGAACAACTCGGTGCCGGCGAATGTTGGACAGGTGATATTGCGTGTCGGTAAGTGGATTATTCCCGTCACCACTCCTTGAGGGGAGATTCGAATCACCTTAGAGCCACCGTAGCAGGCATGCCAGATGTTACCATTGACATCCATAGCGTGGCCGTCGGGATGCACGCCTTCCTCGTCGAGATGGAAGAAGACCTTCTTGTTGGAAATATCTCCTGTCTTGGGGTCATAGTCAAACACGTAGACGTTCTGGGGCGGAGAATCGGTGAGAAACATCTTGTTGTTGTCCGCATTCCAAGTGATGCCGTTTGGAATGGTCATGTTCTCGTGTACTGTGCGCAGAACCCCATCGTGGTCGAGTCGGAAGAGAACACCTTCCTCGGTCGGCTCAGCTATCTCGGGGTCGACAAACGCTTCAACCCAAAACCGGCCTTCAGTGTCAACGGCGCCGTCATTCGACCGCATCCTGGCGAAGTGTGTGAGTTCATGTTATGATTGGTTTTGCGGCAGGCGTGTCGCTGCAGGAGGGCTCACCTCCTGGTTTTGTCCTCAGCATTAGGTCCGCTCCAATACTTTGCCACATATTCATGCTCTCCGGTCTTCAGGTTGAACTTGGTAACTCCATCCTTTGCGCCAGCTAAGATAACCTCCGAAGAGTCGACCCCTTCAATGTTGGCCGTCACTCCAATGGGCTGCTTTGTGTCGATGATTCTGACCGTATCTGGACCCTTGGCCAGGTCAATGACGTACAACTTGTTATTGTTGATATCCTAGACGTGTGAGCAACAAGTGAGCCTCGAAAGGTGTCTTGGGCTGTCTCGAACCATGTAACGAAGCTCATGCCTTTCCGGGCTATAGTAGGGGCCTTCGCCCAAACTACATTTTGAGGGATAATACGCCTAGGATGACTTGGGTCAGTGTCCCCCGTTCAAGTTGTCGTCATATGGACATGTAGGTGGCTGACCTCTTTAACTGTCCACTCTTGCACATTCATTGTGTCCTGCAGCTCATGTAATGTCAGAATGGGATCCAGGAAATGATGTCTATGGGCCTCAGAGAAGAGGTGGTGACAGGAAACCCGCCACGCTGAAGTGGCAGCGGATTACGTTGCCAAGATTATATCACTATGACCACATCATCATCTACAAATCCGCTACAATTTTCATCACGGAGGACTCGTAACTCTGAGCTACTACATGCATGAGCTGCTACACCGGCTATCTGTCGGTGTCCTGGAAAATCGTCGGACGGAGGAAAATGGTGCTCATTCAGGGCCGCCATCTCATCGGCTTCAATGGCGAATGTACCGAAGATGAACCGGGGTCCTTGATTTTTGGTAAAGATAGCATACCATAGGTGCCCGGATTGAACGTAAACCAACGGCGGGCCACCAGGAACAGGAAAGAATGTGCAAACAATTGTTGGAGTTCATAAGTCGTGCAGCATTGCATCCTCGGGATAAGGCGATACCTGATCCGCATCTAATACCGTTTCCAGTCTGAATCGTTTATGTCTACATAATTCCGTTCCGTGTTCACACATGGCCAATGATATGACCACATCACAATCTCACTCTCCCATCGAGCTCCTCGGTCAAGTCATCCTAGGTAGGACCGCCTAGCAGAATGTAGTAGGACTGCAAGATCGACTCGGCCACTGCGACGGCTGGGATTCAGGGTGAATGATTCCAGGAAGCCCTGACGCTACCTCTCAATGAGTTGGTTTGTAACCCAGTCGACACGCCGTGCAGGGCGCCCCTGGGAATTCCATGATCGCTCTTGACGAATAAGACGTCGTGCATAGCGGCCACTCCGGACAAGAGGCGGCCAGCAGTAGTAGTCCTTTGCTGGAGGATACCAAGACGCTGAGCTGCAGTGACCTCTTGCTGCAGTGCGGTGCGCTGTACGCATTCCTTCATTGCCCGGTGTGCAGTGTATCTTCAACACTCCTCTTGTAGCGATCCATAGCCCGCTTTGCGATGCCATGTCCGGAAGGAAAGGGCGCATTATGCTCGGATCTACGGCCTCAGGAAACTCTTAATAGCCTCTGTTGCATTGCCTTCATGCGACCGCAGAAGGTCTGTCGCCTTGACCTTGGACAGGTCGAGCTCCTCAACCTGTAGCCATACCATTAATAACTGATCAAACACCTCAGGTGAAGTTGCACAACTCACCAAGAAATTCACATCTTCCGCAGCAATCTTAATCTTCTTCTTGACCTCGACGTCCTTTTTGGTCCCTTCCGCCTTTTTGGTGTCGTCGGTCTTCTTTCCCAATCCACTGGCAATCTCTAGTCGAGACATGGCTTTCCCCAACGCCTCCTGGTCCGCCGCCGAAGGTTGTTTCGTGGTCGTCTCGCCATTCTCTTGCGACATGTCGTTGGCATTGAGGGCGTTGAGAGCCGCGGCGGCCTTGCGGTCTTCGGCGTTCTTGGGCAGGTTCTGGGATGTTTCGTCGTCGGCGCCGTCTGTGGCGGCGGATGGGATGGGTTCGGCCATGATGGGTAGGCAGTCTGCGTGATAAGTACAAGCGTCGTCGATGTGGGAGTAAAAGGTGCTATGTTAATAGGTGTCACCTCGTACCATGCAGATATCCTAGAGATCGCACGTAGAGCGGCTGGCGACAACCAACTACGAAACCGCTGTATAAATCGTGAGGTACTAGTAGTGAGCAAGTACTACTAGTGGCTACGGGGCGCCTACTAGTACTAACACCGTGATGTGTTCACAGCGGTTAACATTCCTAATGAGGAATGGCGGGATATCGTCTCCCCTGAAACTTTGCTCATTGAAGTTCGGAGTCACACTTTATTGTACGGCAACTTACAACTCTCTACCACAATATCGGCCTGCTCTTTGGCTCTACGGTCGTTTATCAAGCATTAAAATACCCTCGGGGCCTATTTCCTGCAGGGGACCAGCGTCTCAGGAGTCGAGTACTGGGGATCTACAGAAGGATTCATTGAAAGCCCCGTTCTGAACGCGACACAGACAGCATCAAACAGCCCAAACAAAGCCAACTCCTAAGCTGTCTAGGAAGGTGACGCGGGGTCTTTGACAATGGCCCAAAACGGCTCCGTCAGCGGCGGGAGCTGGAACCCTTCGACCTGGAGAAGTAAACCTATTGTCCAAGGGGTGACATACAAGGACGAAGGGGCATTCAAGCAAGCGATCCACAAACTCGACAAGCTGCCACCGCTCGTGACGCCACGGGAGATAGTGAAGCTGAAGAACGAGTTGCGCGAGGTCGCACTGGGCAATGCATTCCTCCTTCAAGGCGGTGACTGCGCAGAACTGTTCGACTACTGCAACCAAGAGATGATTGAGGCCAAAGTCAAGCTCTTGCTGCAGATGTCGCTGGTCTTGATCTACGGGGCGCAGAAGAAGGTGGTGCGCGTGGCGCGGATGGCGGGCCAATACGCCAAACCGCGGTCGTCGCCGATGGAGACGATCAATGGGGTGACGATGCCCAGTTTCCGCGGGGATATCCTGAACAGCTACGAGCCCGACCCTGCGGCGCGCGAGCCAGACCCCAAGAGACTGGTGGACGCATACTTCCACTCCGCCGCGACGCAAAACTACCTGCGCGCGGCCCTGTCGTCCGGGCTGGCCGACCTGCACGCTCCGCTCGACTGGAGTCTGGGCCATGTGCGTGACCCGACGGTCCGGGACAAATACCAGGTCATCGTCGAGCGCATCACCGACACCCTGCAGATGATGCGGACCATTGGCCTCGACACCGGCGGCGGCCTGGAGACGGTCGACCTGTTCACGTCGCACGAGGGTCTGCTTTTGGATTACGAACAATCGCTGACGCGACTCTTTAAACATCCCTCCAACAGCCCTGTTGTAACAAACGCCCAGAAAGCCATGGCCGATGCTGCTAAAGCTGCTTCTGTCGCTGCTAAACATCGCAAGACTTCGCTGCCCACACAGCTTCCGCCACCCTTGCCACCGACGCAAGGATACTACGACACCTCCGCGCACTTTATCTGGATCGGCGACCGGACGCGCCAGCTGACGCATTCGCACGTCGAGTTTTTCCGTGGCATCGAGAACCCCATCGGCGTCAAAGTCGGCCCCAGCATGCCTGCTTCGGACCTGGTGCCTTTGCTAGATATTCTGAATCCGAACCACGAAATCGGCAAAATCGTCCTCATCACCCGCTACGGCCACGACAGGATTGCTAATCATCTCCCCTCCCATATTAAAGTTGTCCAGAATTCCCCTCATCGCGACACCGTTGTATGGCAGTGTGATCCGATGCACGGCAACGGTCGCAACGCCACGGTCACCGTGCCAGAGAATGGTGGTACTAGTACCATCAAAACCCGCCGGTTCAGTGATATTCTGTCCGAACTCCGTCAAGCCCTCGAAATCCACCGCTCCATGAACAGCTACCTCGGCGGCGTCCATCTCGAACTCACGGGCGAGCCTGTTACCGAGTGCGTCGGCGGCGCCGAGGAGTTGACCGAGCAGGACTTGAGTCTGAATTATACCACCTTTTGCGACCCGCGTCTGAATGAGAAGCAGGCTCTCGAGCTGGCCTTTTTGGTCGCCGGCTTTTATAGAGAAGGGAGGCCCTCCAGGGGCTGAGCGACGGTGGTCTTGGCATTTGTATCGCGAGAAAAAAGACGATATTGATATGATTCGTAAAGGCTTGAGATAGTATGGAATGAGGTTATGCCAGACAAAATTCTTTCGTCTGGGATCGAAAAGAAGAGATGTCGTGGGGTATTTTGCTTTTTCCCCGAATTTGAACGGGGCGTGGCAGCAAGCTCGGAGTCTTCAAAGCATGCATGCATAAGGTATTTTGCAGCCCTGAAGGGGTTTAGACTGTCTGACTACCCATCCATTTCCGTGGAATTGATCCTCTTAACCGGGCTGGGTGCTTGCTCAAGCGCTGCGTATCTCTTCGCTCACTTTTCCCGGATTGGAGTCCTCACTCTTTTTATGAGAGGTGGTCTATCATCAGCCAGGCAAGTCAAGTTTCGATAAATGATACACTGTCATGTTTGCTGCTTCCCACCCAAGGTACCTTACCTAGATAGGTAGGTACGTGAGCGGATCACGCCTTATAAAGATATCGCACATGACTTGAAGTCGCCTGGACACAATCTGCCGGGCCGCAGCAGCCCTCCTTTCCAAGACCCAACCAATGCCAGCTCGAAGTCACAATCATACTAGAAGCACGGTGGTTGCAACCATCATCATTGCCGACCGGTCGTGGGCAAGATTCCCTTACCTATCTAAAGGGCTCAAGCGGCAACTGACCACCAACGGCCTTCTTGATAACCTCCATGGCCTCAAAGACCTTTTCATCCTGATACCTTCTTCCCACCAGCTGCAAGGACACCGGAGCATCGACATATCTGTCCGGCGAGTAGAGATTATAATTCCACTCGTCCTGGGCGTTGAGCGGCTTATACGACTCATCGACTTTGTCCTTGGCCGGATCAACCTGTGTCACGGGGAACACCATGGCCGGATAGTCGAGCAGGTTCCATTGAGCCGTGTAACCCCAGTATCTGGAGTGGTTGAGAGGCGGGGCGGCGCCAGGACCGACGGGACACAAGATGACATCGACAGGATATTCAAGCTTAGGCTTCTGTTCTGCCTTTGTGGCGTCGTTTCCGTCTCCCCACGTTTCCAAATCCTTGGACTGATTCCACACTTTGGCATACTCGGCGCGGTACGCCTCTCGCTGGATGGTGAGCCCCCACACCTCAGAAACAGTATACTCCTTGACACCTGGTTGCTCCTTGATGATGAATTCCGACAGAGGCAGCCAGGGTTCGCCGCTGGAGGCGATGGCCGCCCGGTCCTGCGCGGCCCCATCACAAAAATACATGCTGGAAATAATGTCCCACGCCTGATCATGACGGTGGGGTTTCCAATCCACAAACTCGAACTCGATGCCACTGTTGTTGCTTGTGGATTGCAGCTTGGTAGTCACCTCGCGTAGTGCCCGGGACACGGGTGGGTGGGGCTGGACAACGCCGTCGGACCATAAAACACCAATTTTGAGTCTCTTGGTCCCGTCTGGCTTGGTCAGATAGCTTTTGGCGGTGCTGCTGTTGCTGTGGTTCGGAGTGTAGTTCCACGGCATCGGCAACAGCGACGGGTCATCAAGCCACGGTTGCTGGTCAATCAGGGTCTTCATAAAGATGTGGCATCCTTCAAAGCTGGCGCTCATCGGCCCGATGACAGGAACAATCTGTTCCTGGCCCGCCATGGGCGCCGTCAGCCCTCCGAGCGGTAAGCGGTATGAGGATGGTCGGAAACCCCAAATGCCACAATTGGCTGCTGGCGAGCGGATACTGCCGCCAATGTCGGTGCCGATGCCGAGCGGACTGCCCTTGAGAGCGATCAAGGCTCCCTCACCACCAGAACTGCCTCCGGGCGTTAGGTTTCGGTTGTAGGGATTCACTGTTGTCCCATAGAGGTTGTTCGCCGTCTCTAGATGCATCAAACACTGCGGCTGCGTGGTGCGCACGTATAACACACATCCGGCGTTCTGGAACAGTTGCAAGATATGTGCGTCTTCCGGCGCCACACGGTCCCACCATCCCACAAACCCGCCGTTGTGTCCCAATCCTTTGATCCCAATGTGCTCTTTGACACTGATTGGGAGGCCGTGCAGAGGCCCGATGGGTTTCTTGTGCTCGGCAAGATAGTCGTCCAAATATTTGGCTCGTTGAATCGCACTGTGTGGAAGGACCTCGGTCACACAGTTCGTCTGAATATGGCATTGTCAGTTGATCAAGTTCCTCACCCGCGGTGTCGAGGCGGAGGGTGGCTTCCATCAAGAAAGGTAGATAGTCTGTGATCCTCATAGTAGACGCATCAAGCCAGATGGTGGAAAGCAATTGTCGTGTAAAGGGCAGCGGGAGGGGAAAAAGCCATGAAAATTGTAAATAGTCTCATCGACAGACTCCTAGGCTCTTGGAACGCAACAGAGTGGACAAACTCGACATACCAACTTCTGGGCAATGCCCGCACGTCTCAAGAAGGCAGTCGTCACGTCAACGCTGCTGAGCTCCCCTGAAGCCAAGAATTTCAAAAGTTCCTCCGGAGGCGATTCCGTGATTTTGAGCTCTGCTTCATTCAACAGCTCTCGTGGAATGGAAGTCACATTCAACGGAAGTTCATCTGGGCTTGGGACCGCGGGAATAGGGGGCTGTATCTGATCGATTGACTTGTCGCGCTGTGCCTGGGCCTGTTTGGCAATCTCCTGCCATGGGACTTTCACCATTTTGACGAAGAGGCTGTGTCGGCACCAGAAGGGTAAGGATAGGAGAGAAGATACTTAAGCCGAATTGTTGCAGGTCTGGTTGAAGCAAACAGGGCCAGATGCTCGCTTACCAGAATAGCTTGCAAGATTGAGGAATCGCGCAAAGGGGTGCATTGGTCTCCCTTATAAAGGAGGACAACATGACCGATTGTTTGCCTGCCATCCCAGGACCGAGACAAGAAGTGGCAGTCGCGGGGGACGAATGAGAAGCATTTGCGCGACTTGATCCAAAGGGTCACGTTGGAGATTCGGTAGATCTTTATCTCAGACAGGAGGGTTGCGATAGACTAGTCCGTTAAATCCTCCGGACCTTATCGCGCTTTTGTTTATCATTCGTATGCATGGGTTAGTGATTGCGGGGAGGGAATGGAGATGTCCGGTGTCAACGAGGCTATGAGCCGAAGGGGCGCCGTTGAAGCACATGTGGCCAGTCAGAATCTCGGGCCGGCAGCTTTCTCCTCAGAGTGCTTGCTGATGTTCAACTTCATAAACCCATCACAATAATGGGCGAGACCTTGGTGACCATATCAATCGTGCATCAAATGGTTACTGGGCAAGACGATTTGCCGCGGCTCAGGGTTGTTCTGTCCTCCATCTGGATCTCGATGAGCTCGGGCAGACTTTGACTGGATCGTGCAAATGAGAGAGAGTCTCTAAAGCAGACACCTGTTGATTCGTGACTCTTGTTTCAGTATTCAGTTGATTGCTAAACAAAGATCCCACGCGATCATGATGGAAGAGCGAGGAAGCGGCCCGGGGATAAGCGCGACCGGATCCGGCAACTGCTTAATCCCGGCTCGGAGTTGGTATAGCGGAAATTGCCCGAAATGGAGGTTATCTGCGATGGCATCTCATGTCTTCGAGGACTTGGACCGCACGTCCGACAGCGCCGGCATACCATATAGGCTTCGAGAAGCCGACGATGGTACACATGTAAGTTCCGACGAGCTTGAAGTGTAAATTGACCAGATATCAAACAACAATGTCCGCCTACCTGATTACAGGATGTGCCCGTGGCATCGGTCTGCAGCTGACCAAAACCTTGGCCGCAAGACCAGAAAGCGAAGTCCGTTTCATCGCTGCCACAGGCAGGAGGGAAGCCACTGCACTGAAAGAACTCACACAGAAATATCCAGGCCGTGTTGTTTTCGTGCCGCTTGATACTACCGACGACGCCAGCGTCAAGGCTGCAGTTAAAGAAGTTGAAAGATTACTGGGTCCCAATGGGGGTTTCGACGTCTTCATCAACAACGCTGGCGTACTGAATCTCACTCCGGAAGGCATTGAAAAAATGTATGTTTATGGTCCTCAATAGCCGGCCCCTTGGAATTCGTGGAATTGCTAACGCTTTGCTGCAGGGCCGACCTCATGAGCACCCTGGAAATCAATGTCAATGGACCCCAGCGGGTCACTGCCGCGTTCGTGCCATTGTTGCGCAAAGGTTCACGAAAGCTTATCGTCAATGTGTACGTTCCACGCAAGAGCCCTTTCTTTGCGCGAGCAAAGAATCGTTACTGACTGATGATTTTCTACAACGTATAGGTCCTCCACGTTGGGCTCCATGACATTGGCAAAATACTTTCAAGTCCAGCCGGCACCGGCCTACAAAGTCAGCAAAGCTGCTCTGAACATGCTTACCGTCCAATGGGCCCTTGCTCTAGCAAACGAAGGTTTCACCGTCATTGCAGTCAGCCCTGGGGTAGGTACACCGGCCGTCCTTCTGTGATCGCAATCTTGAACAATGACTGACTCGTCTCGCGCAGTGGCTCAAGACGGACTTAGGATCCGAAGCAGCAGATCTCCCCGTAGAGGTGGGGGTTGGAGCCGTTCTGGACATCGTGGAACATGCCACAAAGGAGCAAAATGGGAAGTTTTTCGACATCCACGTCCCTGGGGATTGGCGTCTCGGAGAGCTCCAGCTGTATCAAGGGGGAGAAGCTCCCTGGTGAAAGCACTGGCTGGCCATTCATGCATGAGTCCACATGCTGTGGCAAATATAGACCCAGGGGGATGTACCGTGACGGTACCTAGCCCTATCCCAATGATATTATGATAACAGACATGCACACTTTTCATCAGCGTTTTCCAAATTTCTTTTTCATCTTCATCGTCGTCCTTATCACAGCATTCATGTCCTACTCCTTATACAACGAGAACGAGCATGTTCAAAAAGTCAATCTCACCATTGTTTTAGCTTTATGCCGCTCTTCTGGAACCATTCCTAGTTTGCATCTTCCAGCCGCCGTCTTGCACAATCGGGGATAAAGTCCGGCAGGCTCACTGCAGACTGGCCTTGGCCTTCAAGAGTATCATGTCAAAGCGCAAGCCACAGTGAGAGCTGTCAGTCCACGCGGGCGAATAACAGATTGTAAATTCTGATAAGGCTCTCTCCTGACCTGTTCTTTGCATGTGAGAAGCTCTCGCACGGTTCCACAGACCCGCCGCAAGTAACCGTCCCCAGCCGCTCCGCCGCGTCCGGCGAGGCTTCGCTCTTACTTAACATTACCTAACAATGCAACGTTGATCTCCAGATCGGTGCCAGATAGTGGAGTAGATGATGTTCCTATAGGGCTTGTCGCTAACCTAAAAGTCTTGTCGCCGAGTGTTGGCCTTTGCTATACGGTCTTGGAAGCAGGCGAAGAGCCTTGTTTGGCGGTCTCGTTACGCGAGTCTAGAAGCAAACCTCACCATTTCTTTTGGATTCTCCAGTGATTCTCCAGTGGTCCGATACCATGATGTGGCCAACCCCAGGATTGGCGTGCCCTTGTGGAGGGAATCTGCGAGGAAGGATGCATCTGGGGAAGTCCACTGGGGCGCTGGTCCTTACGTTTGCCCAGGAGACGTGGAGCGACGTGTCCAGGGTTCAAAGGAAGATGTATAAAGAAAGATCCATTCCTCCCTCTGCACCGACCAGAGGCCACTCTCTCTCCCCACTATCCAGTTGCCATACTGGACTGCCTGTGGTACCCTGATCAGACAGAACTCTCTACACCATGGACCACATCCGCAGCCACGGCTCCTCCTCCTCCTCCAACTCCTCCAGGGAGGACGTTGAGAAAATGGAGGTTAGCCAGCATGTCGAGGAAAAGCCAGTCCCTGTTCAGAATGGAGACGGACACACCCTGGCTAGAAAGCTCAAGAGTCGGCATATGCAGATGATCGCCATTGGTCAGTACCAGTTCCAACGACTCTTTTCTCCTTGGGAATCGCTGTTTGCTAATGCTTGGTCACAGGCGGCTCGATTGGTGCTGGTCTCTTCGTGGGAAGCGGTTCGGCTCTGCGTAGTGGCGGACCGGCCAGCCTCCTCATTGGCTTTATGATTACAGGCGTCATGATGCTATGCACAATGCAAGCCCTCGGCGAGATGACCGTTCTCTACCCTGTCAACGGTGCATTCTATTCGTACGCTGTACGCTTTATCGATCGCTCCTGGGGCTTTGCCATGGGCTGGGAATACGCTCTTGGCTGGTTGACGGTGCTGCCCTTCGAACTGACCGCGGCCTCCATCACCATCGAGTTCTGGCGGGATGACATCCACGTTGCCATTTGGGTGGCTGCATTCCTTGCACTGCTGTGTTTCATCCAGATCTTCGGCGTGCGTGGATATGGAGAGGTGGAATTCGTCCTGTCCTGCATCAAGATATGTGCTTGTATCGGATTCATCATTTTCGGCATCGTGGTCAATGTCGGCGGCGTCCCCACTGACGACAGAGGGTACATTGGCGCCAGGTACTGGCATGATCCTGGTGCGTTTCGCAACGGCTTCAAGGGCTTCTGCTCCGTCTTTGTCACGGCAGCTTTCGCTTTTGGTGGCACTGAACTCGTTGGCCTGGCAGCCGCAGAAGCCGCCAATCCCGCAAAGTCGCTCCCGACCGCCACCAAGCAAGTGTTCTGGCGTATCGCCTTCTTTTACATCGTCACCCTCTTCATCCTCGGATTGATCCTACCTTCAAACGACGACCGTCTGCTCGGAGCCAGCGGAGCGAACACAAAAGCTTCTCCATTTGTCTTGGCAATCAAAACGGCCGGGGTGAAAGGGCTTCCCTCAGTGTTCAACGCCGTCATCACAATTTCCGTCATCAGTGTGGCCAACTCCTGCACTTATGCCAGCTCACGTACCATGCAGGCCCTTGCCGCCAACGGTATGGGCCCACAGTTCCTCCGCTACATTGACAAGAAAGGCCGCCCTATATGGTGTATCATCGTGCAGCTGCTGTTCGGCTGTATTGCTTTCATCGGAGAGGCCAACGCGTCAGGGGAAATCTTCACGTGGTTGTTGGCCTTGACTGCCCTGTCGTTTTTCTTTGCCTGGACCAGTATCAACCTGTCGCACATTCGCTTCCGTGCAGGCTGGAAGCACCATGGGTTTTCGACCGCTCAGCTTCCCTACCGCGCTGCATTCGGCGTGTACGGTTCGTACCTGGGATTCTTCCTCAACTGCATTGCGATTGTTGCGACCTTTTATGTCAGCTTGTTCCCACTCGGAGGGAAACCCAACGCCAAAATCTTTTTCCAAAATTACCTGGCCGCCCCGATCGTTCTATTTTTCTATATCTTCTGGAAGCTTTACAGCAGAGACTGGAGTTTGTTCATCCGAGCCAGGGATATGGACGTCACGACCGGTCTGAGACCTGGCTGGGACCAATTGGCCAACGAGGCTGAGAACCGGCAACCGTTGTGGAGGCGTGCACTCCACTCTTTCATCTAGAACTCTGGCATTTATGTTGGGATTGTAAGTGCTGGTCGGTATATATTGGCATCTCAAGTTAAATGAATTTTCGCCTGCATCAGGCAGGCCTTCTGAGCCGATCTCAAAATTAAGTTGTTGTTTCTCTCACCTTCACTTCAAGTTCAGACATTATCACCACATAGGTTCCCCACTTTTCACTGCCTTCACTTGCGTACGACCTGGACTCTTCCGCGGCGTGATTACCTTGAGCCATCCGTCCTTTTACTGTAACACTGCAAACAGATTCAATTCGTCTTAGTAAAGTCTTGCTCAGCTCAAGTCATGGCGGACGCAGGAGACGAAACAGATTGGGAGGATGAAAGCGACAGTGAAAGCGAGAATGAAACCGAGCGTGAGTAAAAGAATATCATTTACTGCAAACCGATGATCGAAACAGGTGGCTGACGAAGATGTTCGTGTTTAGACCAAGGCGGATCCAACGTTGACCTTGACATTTTGCGCGGGCGGATGGATGGAAACATCATGGCGGCAATGTCCCATCACGCTCACCTGATAGCCGGAAGCGTCTTCCCGCTCGCCCTTATCAAGAGGTTGGCAGAATCGGCCATGATGGTACACTTCAATCGAAAATACCGTATCCACAAAGAAGCCCTCCGTGTACTTCGACATGGTATCGAGTTTCATATCATCCAAATGTTGGCAGGTATGTAGCACCCACTTCGACAGGAAAATCCGCTGATTGTAATACTTTCGCGAGAGCAGCGACCGGTATCTTGGCCCAACATGCTAGACGAAGCACCATCAGACTGGACGACATGATACTTGCAGCATTTCTGCTCAACCGAGCCAGGGACGACGCCGACGATGAATGATGCAAGAGCAGAAAACCGTGATGATGGCTCGGAAAAGGAGACTCTCTCTCTCTCCACTGCATCTTCGGCATGTGCGTACGGACACAGCCGAAGGCTATTTTTTCTGGTGGGAGCAGACAGTGAGGGGAGCTCAACGGGGATACCAGACATCACACACGGCCCAGCGTACCTCCTGAAATAATTCAATGGAGTCCCTCAGGGGTTCTGGTGTCTCCTCGGACGGCGTTTATTTGCGGGATTGCTGGTACATGTTCATATCTCCAAGTGCTCCTCCCAGCAAGGGTCTCTGGGAATAAAGGCGCTCTTCCTGAGCATAGTGCTCTCCCTATTCCAACCCGCGAAGGACAGATAGTTGGTCTTCGGAACCTTAGCAGTGATTCTGATCACTTACCTAGTAGCTTTTAGCCATCCTTCGCGATAAAGAAGTTAGTATAGCTGCGCGATAGATAGATAGTCAGATATAGTATCGCGATAGATAGTTGTGTACAATTCTGTTGAGATGTTTGCGTGATAAACTTAAATGGGAATAACGGTGAGCGGGAAGTGATTTTGTAAGAGGGAGTCACACTGCTATGATTCACCGTAGTCATTCTACTTATTTAGTACGGCGGCGCATGCGGCTTCGCTCTCACAGAACAACTGAGCTTATGAAAGCGCCTGTTTCACAGACCGGCCCATAGATAGATTCAGAGCTTCACAAGAGATTCCTTCTCATCCTCCTAGTATACTATTGGAGGAATCCCTTTTAAATCTTCGCGTGTGCACTCGCCTCCAGCCTCTATCGCGTGGTCTGGACCTTGACAGATCACGTGATATCACGTCTGGTGCTTGGCGAAGTGCAGGTGCAGGTGACATTCAAGTCGCCCTTTACTTTCAGGCCAGTAAACATTTCACGCTCAGCCACTTCCCCTTCATATTACAGCTTTTCTTCGCGCTCCCTACGCCGGTTGTCTCCAGCTCTAGCACTTGGTTGACAGACTCCGCTTCTGTTCTGGAGTTTGTACATCACATATCGTGCAAAGATGGCGGCTTCTGGGCAATCCTGGCTGAACCAAGACTTTGGCGGCGACGATGAAGAATCGGACAACGACTTCAACCCCGGCGTCGAGATGGGATCTGATGCTGAGCAAGACGACGAGGAAGATTCCACACCACAGATTAAAACCCAAGGAGGGGCCCCAGCTTCAGACGACGAATCGACCGCTGGCCAGAAGACCAACGGCAAGAGATCGGCCTCGCCTACCGAAGAGGACAGAAAAGCCGCGCCGGCAAACGAGGACGATGACGAAGAACAAGATGCTGCAGATGAGGAAGATGACAACGAGGGGAAGGAAGCTGACGGCGAAGACGATGAAGGTGAAGGAGAAGATCTGAATGGAGACGAAGATGAGGAAGGGGACGAAGACGAAGACGAAGACGAAGAAGAAGACGAGGACGCGGTGTCGAGTCGTCCCCGAAAGCGCAGAAGGAGAGGCCTAAACCAGTTCTTCGAGGAAGAAGCTGAAGTTGACGAAGATGACGACGAACTAGAAGCCGAAGAGGATGACCTGGGGCCAGAATTCATACAAGATACGCATCCCGACGATGATTTGCCTCCCGAAGCCGACCATGACGACCGAAGACATCGTGAATTGGATCGTCAACGGCAGCTCCAGCAGTCGTTGGACGCAGAGCAAGAGGCAGCAAAGTTCAGAGAGAGATATGGCCGCAGAACAACCACAGCCTTGAGCAACACCTCCTTTGTGCCGCAGAATCTCCTTATGCCAGACGTCAATGATCCGAGTATCTGGGGTGTCAGATGCAAAGCTGGAAAGGAGAAAGAGATTATCCACAGGCTCATGAAGAAGTTCGTCGAAAGTCAGGGGAGCCGAAACCCTATGCGGATATGCTCTGCTTTTGAGCGAGGCGACGGCCCTATGGCTGGTTACATCTTCGTTGAGGCTAGGCGAAAGGTGGATGTTGACGATGCGCTGACCAACGTTGCGGACGTCTACCCAAGGTCGAAGATGAACCTCGTCCCGGTCAAAGAAATGCCAGACTTGTTGCGAGTTAACAAAAGCAAAGAGCTTGAGGTTGGAGGTTATGTTCGAATCAAGCGGGGCCTGTATCAGGGCGACTTGGGCATGATCGAGAGCGTCGAAACCAACGGTCTTGAGGTAACCGTTCGATTGGTACCTAGACTCACCTATGGTATGGACGAAGATCAACAGCGTCCTGGCGCTGTTGATGCTAAGCGAAAACGTCCAAATGCTTTTGGAGGTCTTAATTCCGTCGCGAACAGACCCCCTCAACGGCTTTTCAACGAGAACGAGGCGCGTAAGCGGCACGACAGATTCCTCCAACAGAACAGAGGTCTGACCGGACGGAGCTGGTCTTACAAGGGTGAACTCTACGAAGATGGCTTTTTGATCAAGGACTTTAAACTGCAGCATCTCATCACCGACAATGTGAATCCAAGATTGGATGAGATCACCAAGCTTACAAAGACGGCGGCAGATGGCTCGGAGCTGCTTGATCTCGAATCACTTGCGCATAGTTTGCGTAATACGGCAGCCGAAGGCAGTTATTTGCCCGGTGACGAGGTAGAAGTTTATGAAGGAGAACAGAAGGGCATCGTCGGCAGAATTGAAGCGGTGACCGGGAACATCATTTCTATCATGGTCACAGAAGGAGAGCTCACTGGTCAACTTGTCGAGGTACCGGTCAAAGGCCTGCGGAAACGCTTCAGAGAGGGAGACAACGTGAAAATCATCGGAGGAAGCAAGTACCGTGATGAAGTGGGCATGGTGCTTCGCATCAAAGACGACAAAGTCACCGTCCTTACGAACGAGAGCAACGACGAGATCACGGTCTTCAGCAAGGATCTTCGAGAAGCAACAGATGCAGGAGGTGCTGGTGCCGGCGCCAGCAAGTTTGATGTGCAGGATCTTGTGCAAATTGAGTAAGTGATATCGCTGTCTCAACTTCATTGTTGCCCACATGCTAACCTGCTATAGTTCTACGACAGCTGGCTGTGTCATTAGAAGTGACCGCGAATCTGTTCGGATACTGGACCAAAATGGCTCTGTCACCACCAGAATACCCTCACAGTTGATGAGAATCGAAGCACGACGAAACGCTGTGGCAACCGACAAGAATGGCTCCGAGATTCGAGTTGGAGACGTCGTGCGTGAATCGGGGGGCGAAGGCAAGTCGGGCACCATTCTGCACATCCACCGAGGGTTTGTTTTTGCCCATAATAAATTGAACATCGAGAATGCGGGTATCTGGGTTGCACGCTGCAGCAATGTCATCACTACGGCTGCAAAGGGCGGTCGGATCACTGCTCCTGCAACAGATTTGTCTAAGATGAACCCCGCGCTACAACTTAAGCGCCCAGACATGTCAATGGCTCCGCCGCAGCGACCAGGAAGAGACCCATTGCAAGGTAGATTCGTTCACATTAACAAAGGCCCCTACAAGGGGCACCGGGCGCTTGTCAAAGACACCACAGCTGGTGAGGCGCGGCTTGAACTCCAAACGAAGAACAAGACCATCAATGTCAGCAAGTTTGATCTCTCAGTCGTCGAGTATGTTATTTGCCCCTTCACCTGGATAGGGCTTATGAACTAACACTTGCTTTTTAGCACAAACACTCAAAACAAGACCAGGTACGAGGACTGGATCAGAAGTCGCGGCGGTCCCTCCGGGATGCGGGCTGGCCAAGGCATGCCAGGTTCGCGTATTCCAGACAGCGGTTTCGGAGGCCGAACTCCTATGGGCGTCATGGACGGAGGGCGTACACCAGCCTGGGGCGCGGCATCGCGAACGCCTGCTTGGGGTGGCCCTAACAGCTCTTCCGCCCTTGAATCCGGTCGCACACCAGCGTGGAAGGGCCCGTCTGGCTCTCAGACTGCATACGGTGGTGGCGGCATGACCTCTTACGGAGGCCCTGGCAATTATTCGACCACGGGCAGCCGTACGCCGGCTTGGACGGCTGGCGCAAAGACACCTTACGGTGCGGATCATGGTTTCGGCTCTTCCAACAACTCGGGCTTTGATGCATTTGCGGCCGGCTCAAGAACTCCGGCGTACACAGCATCTTCGTCGCGGACTCCGGCGTGGGGTGGTCCTGGAGCTAGTGCTTCAGCACCTACGCCTGCGGCACGGTCCTACGACGCTCCAACTCCAGGCATATCAGCCCCGACCCCTGCCGCCTCAGGACATTACGACGACGACGCTTATACTCCTTACCTTGGGGCTCCAACGCCCGGAGCTGGTCCGGTTGATGCACCGACACCGGCCCCAAGCTTCGCGAAGAATGCAAACAGAGAACCGCTCAAGCACAACCGGTTGGCGGCCTTTGACGCTCCCACACCCGCGGCCAGCGCACCTACGCCGTATGCTTCTGGGGCATTTGACGCACCCACCCCTGCAGCGGGCGGGCCGAGGTATGCCGATGATGATGATGACCAGGATTGAAATCTGCGTGACTGGGCTTCCCGGGCATAGGACCACCACGCGTCAGAGCTGGCGTGCGTGGCATGGGGTGTGATCACTTTTTTCTTCCCGCAGGGAAGTGTTTTGAGTACTAGGAATCTGCTTCACAGGAAAACAAAAAACACTTGTACGAGTAGAAGGGCCTCATAGTTGCTAGAAGCGAGTCATCCAGACCATGACGGTCTGTATGTAATCACGGCAAGGGGAAAGCCGGAAGATATCAAGATCAATTGCAAAGCTGTACGCACACGGTGCATGATTGAAGGCCCATTTTCGAATTTGATCCTGGACGATTTTATGCACACTGAACCCACCGTTGAGAACTATCCAGGCTTGTGGTGTTGCCATGCAGTTCTATTGTAGGGAGTGAGCCGTCCTGAAGGGTGCAGTGATAAAAATCATCCTCAAGGGTAAAATCCCGGGCATTCGGAGCAAGAGGCACATGTGTACCGGGGTGTGTCATGACGCATGGATATTTTGACACTGCCACTGCAGCCTGAGCGGCATTGAAAATCCGAATCAAGGCTTCAGTCAGAAAGGGGTAGTGTCCCCGATTTCATACTGTGCTCTCATCAATTTGTTGTACAACTGGACGATCTCTGGTCGATATTTTTGCAATTCATTGAGTTACTGCTGGACAGTTTTGTTTTGTTTTGGAGATTAATCCTTGGCCTGGAGCCCGTGGCCTGAGACCAACTTCTCTGTGCACTGCACGGGATTCCTTATTTAAGCGACGTACAGTGCGGAGCAGGAGTTTCGGAAAAAGAAACAAGCGACAAGAAAAGCAGGGGCATTGGGATGCCGAACATAGCCGTCTACTGGCACTGACTGCCCCTTCGAAAACCTACTCTTCTGAACTTCTGCCCGGTAGGAGACAGAACGGTTCAAATCTGTGTTGAATACGATCCCAATGGTGCAAGTGGCCGACCGAGGTCTAGAGACCTCTTCGGGCGGAGGCGGCGCTGGCGCTGCAACAACTGCGACGCCTCTACAGGACGAGAGCTCACAGCCGCTTCGCGTCCTCGTGACTGGCGGACTAGGCTTCGTGGGTTCAGCAATTGTCCGAGCCTTGCAGGAGCAGCATCCAGACTGGACGGTCTGGATTTTAGATACGAAGAAGGACCCAAGGGCAGAACGGAAGGCCGCAACCTCAACCACAGTCGATGACAATGACCTGGATCTGTTGAAGAATTGCGTGTACGAGTATGTGCAGGCCGACGTGACGGATCAAAGCCAAGTGGGAACTGCGTTCAGCGTGGCAAGACCTCACGTGGTTGTCCATACTGCAGGTGTCGTGCCACCCCTGAGTGAAAGGTACGTCTGTCTACGGCGTAGATGCTGCTGTCTTCAGGGCACGGTGGTCTCGTATGGATGCGTACACACAGCCCAAGTGTCTGCGTTCCCTGGAGGTTTTATGTGACATATCCTTTTGAACAACTGACATCCATTCTGTAACAGGTATTCTCGGAGACTAGAAGCCTACGTCAGGCGCACCAATGTCGAGGGAACGCGGCATGTCGTGGACTGGGCAAGACGGACTGGGTGCAGAGCACTGGTGTATACGAGTAGTTGCTGCACCGTGACCGACGATATGAGTAAGTCATATGCGAACATCGACGAGAGATGGCCTGTTGCCGCGAAGTCATCCAGCTATGGTGAAAGTAAAGCCGCGGCGGAGAGGATTGTTCTTGCAGCAAATGGCCTGCCTACCGACATTAGACGGAGCGACGCCGCCAGAGGGAACAAAGGCAATGACCTGGAGAGAGATGAAGACAGTCGTCGCCCCCAGCGGCCAATGCTCACCTGCGTCTTGAGACCGTCAGTTATTTTTGGAGAAGGAGACAATCAGTTGATCCCTTCCATCCATGCCTGTATTGCGAAGGGGGAGACGCGCTATCGACTGGGAGATGGCCGAAACCTCTGGGATGTTACGTACGTGGGTAATGTGGCTGACGCACACATCCTCGCAATTGAAAACCTGTTATCAACCCATGCATGTCGGCAAGACGGAGCTACCCACCTTAGAAACGGCGGGATCGGGGCCGAAACTGCAGCAGGGGAAACGTTCTTTATTCAGAACAACGAACCCATCTCATTTCGGGAATTCAGCCTTGCCGTCTGGAAAGAGTTTGGGCATTACCCACCAGCATGGGAAATCCATATTCCAGAAGGATTGGGGTGGACACTAGGCCTGTTGGCGGAAGCATTGACGCGAATTTCCGGCACGCCAACAACCCTGTCCCGTGGAAGCGTGATGGACGCTTGTGCCATGCGCTATGCCAGCGGCGACAAGGCTCAAAGAGTACTCGGCTATCGAGCGCGAGTAGGGCTGGAAGAGGGTATCCATCGAAGTTGTGTGGTGAGTGATCATTTCAATCCAACCTTTTCTCCCTTCACAATCTTGTGGCGTTTATTGCAGGGACACCGGCCGCTCGGCAGAGGAAGCCTTCAGGTACTAACATTGCGATATGATCAGGACTATGGGCGACGATTGGATCAAGGTCTGGGCTGAGTGAAGCTCGTTCGCGAATTTGAACTGGCCTGGAGCACTCGGGACTTGGCAAGTTTGACGAGACGTCGGAAATTGTGGTAACATGAGTCCTAGCCTCGCTATCTTAGTAGCGAGGTGGTGAGTACGACCCTTGTCACAACAATTTCTGCTCCTGGAAAGCGGGCTCGTGTCTTTTGCTCGGTAGCATTATTTGGGAAGGTTCTTGCGGGATGCCGATGCCCCAGTCCCGCTGAGAGTGTCTGATTTCAAAACAAAGACCATACAGCATTGTAATTAAATCCAATTACTTTGGCAAAACGGGGTGCAGAAGTGAAGGTGCCAGTTGGGACGACACACTCGGGAGGTTGGATTGTACTATGTAGACGGTCGTCTCAAGTTGTCGTAGCGGTGCCTGCACTATGACGTCTAGCGAACAAAGTGTCGACCTGGCCGCCAATGAGGGCTGGGGGCATTGGTACTACTTGGGTTAGCGTGAACCAGCTAACCGTAAACTGCTTGGATTCAGCCACTGGCCGTCCAAAGTAGTCTAGTGGAGGCTGCCAATAATACCAATACTGGAACCCCTGCCCAAAAGTGTCTGGCGCAGCTGCACTTCAAGTTCCTCCCGAAACATCGTCGGCCCCTTTTTCCTGACTACAATCCTACCAGTGTCATCCAATTCATTGTGATCCATGGACTGGAGTTGATGAAGGCTGCGACAAACCACGAATCACCGCCTCCGTCCCTCCTTCATGTTTGGTCCATACCACCTTCTTCCTGCCGTTGCTACCTCAAGTCCTGTTTCTGGAAATTGAATGCTACCCACACGCCGCTCGGTCCTGTTCGCCTCGAATCTTCTTTGAAGCTTCCAATTCCAGCGCCTTGCTTCATTCTCCTATGCCTGGGGGCCGCTGGGACACTGTTTACAACCAGTTCCAAGTTCGCCCGACTTGCACCCTGACGGGGCCTTGGATCTGTTGTGCTGGCCATCATGTTGCTTGACTACTTTGGCTCAGGCATCCATCTGCAAAGAATGTGAAGCCCATAGGAGGAAAGGCTTTGATAGCCGATGCCTTGTTTGGTCACCATGCTAGATGATCATGTTTACAGACATCGGCAAAATGTGTTCTCCGTTGGACAATACCTATGGACAATACCTAGACCCGAAGGATCCCATTTTGCCGACTGCCATCCAGGACCAGGCTACCCAATGCTTCTCTATGGCTTCTACCTGCTTTCTAGCTCACTACTTCAAATCACCGGCTGTTTGGGCGGGCCCCAGAGCAAAGCCTTGCTTCGAGAAAATTCCGCCGGCGCGACTTGTCAAACCCCAATGCCGGTGTAGATCATATTCCTGATCGGCGACCGAGGCGGCCGGTTGGGCTTTTGGGCATCATCGGCGCCCAAAAAGTAAATCATAAATGGGGCTTCTCCAGGAAATCACCATACGGTAGAGAAACCGCTAGGTCGAATTCAAGGATGAAAGTACCCTTGTCTCCGGGAAGGTTCCTTTCTGCTTCGACCATCACCCAAAAGCCCCCTGTCATCGAATCCGCCTAACGACCGAACTCTTTTCTAACCCGGCCCGAATGGATATTACACTGATTACATTCTGTATCGGTCGGCCGGTGCATACCAGGCCACACTTGAGACGTCCAAATTGCCCCGGCGTATCACTATGGTAAGCGGCATGCTTTCATCGTCCGCCATGGAGCTTTGACCGCTGTGAAGCCGCTGGCTCGAAACTCGGACATCTACAATGGGACATACTCCCAGCTTGACCAGGTTTGTTGTTGGCTGCAACCCGCTTCGCTAGTCTTGCCTCGCATGTTCATCACCCGCTGATCTCCACCCCGGCCAATGGTGGCCATCGCCCTGTCAAAATGGCGACCCAAGGCGGAACACCCTCGAGGACCCCATTCATCTGCGTTTGGCAATGTGCGATGCGACTCCGGGCCAACAAGCTCGTACTGTACCTCGTTGGCGTTCCAGGCCTAGAAGTGTGTTGTACCAGTGTCGACGAGACGAAACGCGTGACTACCAGCAAATGCGCTTCCCCGAACCACGATGCCCATTCCGCCAGTATCGGGCACCAACCGCGTCACCAGCCTACATGGTGACGGGCAGCATATGCCAAACATGGGGCCGTTATGAGATCCATAACCCTGCTAGTATCATGGTCCGCGCTGTGTAAAGGCGAGGATAAATCAGAAGGCTTCCAGAAAGCGCAAGGACCTACGCCATTGTTCCCCCGGCTCCTAGTTCGCAACCCTGTGGCGTATACTACCAGGGTTTAGCCACCAGCATTCCGGACCCGGCTAAAAAATGTGTACAAGAACCTGGGAACGCGTCGACGTCGACGCCTCGCTCACGGCATCGGCAACGACCTCCCGCCAAGGTCAGGCATACCCGTTTCAGCCCCTGTCGTGGGTGGGCCTTTCGTAAGAAACTAGGCTGCCCCGGGGTTGCGGAACGAGTACGCATCAGACAACTTCGAGAATAGCTTTGGAAATGGGCCTTGAACGTTTGAGGGCCAAACGTCGATGCCTTGTATCCTCCACGTGCCTTGTGCGAATACAATATCATTATTGGATCCTTCCTTCTTGTGCCTCATTCGCAACCGTGTGGCATCAAACATATTGCCCAATACTTGACCGCTATCTTATGCAGAACCCCCTGCCATCCGACTGTTGAATCTCTCCTATCAAAAGAGCCGGCGAGCCATCTACCTATTGCCTTTCTTTTCGTGCGCTTTCCATGCACTGACTGCCCGTCTTCTTTGGATCTTTCTGATCATGTTGGCCTTGAGTTCCACGATCCACAATCCATACTCGAAGTATTTCGCAGATATCGCTCCTGGAATCCAGTCTGCCTTCGAACTAACCAACGATACCACAAACATGTCTGACAGGGAGGACTTCCTGTATCCAAGAACACAACCTTCCAGCCTGTCGAGACAGTCGGCGGAAAGTCCATCGCAATTCGGACTTCAAAGGCAGGCGCTCTCTACATGTAACCCCTACAGCAAACCGTCTACTAACATATGCTGCAGCAATCGTTTTACCCCATGGTCGACATCAACGTACGATCCTTTCGCTGGCGAACCCGGTGGGCGCATAACTCCCGATCACCCGGAGCCGCTGCGCCAGAGGCTGCCTCCCGAGATACACAGTGCGCCACGCCCGCCCGCGTCCACGGCCGTTGGAGAGTCATTGCGACCCTTGTCGTTCACGTCTCAGTCCTCCGCCTTCACATCCGACGCAGGATCGTACCAGCCGCTGGGTCCGCCTCCCAGGTCAAATCCAGATGACCATACGATGGCACTACGTCGACAAAGCCAGGATAGTTATGGGTTACAGACAGGGTCGCCCAGCAGTCAAGGCTACGCAGACTATGAACTGGAGACGCAGAACCGCCGGGGTTCCGAGATGGGAAGGGCGGCCGCTCGGTACCACACTCGCAGACGACCTTTCAACCAGGATGAGTTCGACGGGCCGTCTCAACTCTTGCCGCTGCCCTTGCCGCAGCAGGAGCATGCCCGCTCTCAAGCGCTTCCGGCTCTCCCCGTTCATCTTGCTATTGAGGAACAGGACGAGATCATGCTGCATGTGAACGACATTCTCTCGCGTTGCGCATTCCATTTCGTAGCCAAATACCAATTCCCAATCCCCCTCGAACGAGACAAACCTCGAGTCCGCGCCCCTGAGGACCGGGAGTGGACAGAGTGGGCCTACCTATTGAAAAGGTTAGCCACAAAGAGGAGGATCCCAGCCCGTGTCCTTTACGACAACCAGATCAAACAGTTTGTTACGACTTTGGAGAATTCAATCGCGGTGAGGCAGCCCAACAGAGAACAGCAAGTGAGAAGGCCCAGAGACGACCGTTATATGCTACAGCTTATCAGTGCCGGCACCCAAGTGGCTAAAATTATGATGGACTCTTTATCTATGGAACAACTTGATGCTTTGTACCGACAGACGGAGAGCCTGATCTTGGAGAGAAGGTCAAGACTGAGAGGACTTGGATTACAATGAACATTGGGTTTGGCCGGCTGTCTATTTTATGGGTTTTGCTGTTGCAGAATGATGTGGACGAGGTATTCTATGATCTGAAGCGTGTGAATTTATCTCTATTGGTACATCCCCTGATCGTTCCCCATCATTGTGCTGGCATTGGATGGGACAACTGCAATTTACCTACACCGACTTAATACATATACCGAGTCCTGTGACGATCTGCTAACTTGAGCCTTGAGTCCCGAGCGCATACTTGGTTTACGCTGGCAAAATGACAATTTATCCTAATTTTATAGGCTCAATTGGCAGGGCGAAGTTGCGATTGCTACTCAGTCGCCAGCCGCGCGTTGAAGTGGACTGAGGAGCTTACACCTACACAAATCGGACGCCATGGGACTCGGCCCCTTTTTCCGGGCTTTTTGAACTGATTCAATGAGTACTGGAGTAAAATAACTACTAGATAAGAATCAGAGCTCCTCCGGATTGAAATGAATGATAATTTCAACAACAGCTACCGACATGGTAGCAACGGTACGTCACTCCATATGATTTCCCTCAGCAGAGACGCTGTTGGCAGAAGGGAAATTTCTGACGGCGTGTTTATACAGAAGAGATGAGAAAGATGGCCCATCTGCTGTGAGCGTCATGGCAGAAATCCTGCGCATTATACATATGCTGACAGTCATCGAGACCCATACTTCACAACCTTGCAGAGAAAACAAAAGGAACAAAAGGTTTTCTAGAATTCAGCGGCAGCACAGGGCAATCCATCTTTCTCGGCGGCAGTACAATAGAGTGGAAAAAGCTGTTATTCCATGCAACAAATCGTCTGATCGACCATGATATCCAGTCCAGTCTTTGAGATCCCTCAGAAAATCACATTCCATGTGCCCAACGAATGTTCCCCATCCCATTGCCCATCAACTCTTCTCTGGCGAGCGAGGAAGACAAAGAGAGTGACTAGTTTCAGCCATCCATCTATTTTGTAGACCTACTACTGCTTGACTGCATTGACGATCGATGCGTTGATGCCTGAACTCGAACAGCACCAAGTACATAAACGGATGGAGACCACCGCCATCTCCACTTTTTACTTTGCTACTTACCAGGAGGAGAAAGAGAAACGTGTTCTGAAGACTCATCCACCGCTTTTATTGTTCTTGTATCCGATCAAGATTGGGCTGGACAATTAGTCTAGTTTCAGTACTTGCGGTTGCGGTTCCCGAAACTCCCATGCGGCCTTTCCACGTCGCCATAGCTTGTGCACTGCCTAAGCAGAAGGACTGTGAATGGGAGTAAAGTACTGTACATGGGACTTAAACTGGTGCTGGGATATCCGAGTATCGCCTCGCTTGCGAGGACGTAGGGCATGAACTACCAGGTTGAGGTCCCTGGGTACCTGCTCGGTAAAAGCCGGTTACTACTATAGTAGCAGCAGTAGTACTAGGTACCTGGTAGGGAGTAGCCGTAACTGTAACTGACCGCAAAGAGAGCGTAGTGTTCCTTTTACGCTTCTAAATGCTTGTGCATGGCAATGTGAAGAACGTCCTGTGCATTGCTCGCATCATAGGTATGGTATCTAAAGCCGGGGGTGAATTGATATATGTGACTGGAGACTTGAAAATTGAACTCCGATTCAATGCCCAGGATGGAGGTTCAGACACTTAGTTGGCGGATATAGTAGCAAGAATCGAAATGCCACAGCCCGAGGGGCCCCAAAGCAGACTATCTAGTACGATCTGGGTTGCTCAGTGTACAACCTCGTATATGGTGCAGAACTCAATGATGCACAGCATGTCCAAGAAGACCTCGCCATCTGTTTCGTTGATATGGAACACATCTGGACTTGATTATGATGGAACAACCCTGATCCCTGTTTAGACTTTGTTGAGAGTCTGACATCAGAACCGCACTTGTAGAAAGCAAGAGCAGAGTCTTTTGTGCCCCTGATATGGACATTCTCCGGGGCCCTTTTGTGGGAGATCTCGGTGACGTTTGGGGCTTGATCATTCAAGTTTAGCCTGTTCCCAAAATTCGAAGGTCCTGACTCTCTTCAACTCGAAATGGATATCACAAACACTGCGGCTCACATCGTTGGTCGTATCATCGTCGCAAAACACTCATGTTGTCCTGCCGCCCAAATCTAAGGTACTGTACATTCAACACCCATCAGATAAACCGGCCCTGCTCCTGTCCACCATAGGCATGATATTGCTGTCCATGCGGGTCGTAAGTGTGATGAGGGTCGTGGTGACCCTGTCCAGAAGGCGGCTCAGGGACATGGTCTGGGTCGTCGCCCACGGCGAAAAATTGCTCATGCAAGTCAGGGTCGTGGATCTGGCCGGGGCCTGGTCCAACATCATCGCGTTGAAAACTGGTCCGTAATGGAGTTACCTGCTCCGGCTCTCCGGGCTGATGACTCCAGCGGCCTTGCGCGAGTCCGGGGCTATGATGTTTCGCGTGATGCGAGATTGTCGGACTGATGGCGTGCATTTCTCGTGGCGGCTCGGCGTGGCCCCATGGAGGGTCGGCTTTGGCAGACATAGGACTGTACATACTCCCTCCTCCGGCGTAGGCATCATGAACTTTGCTCATGCGACCGGTCCGGGCCATTTTCTGGCGTCGCTTGCGCGTAAACACGAAGCATCCCCAGCAGGTGCCCCCAATGAGTAGGATGCCACCAACAATAGGCAGTGCAATGGCCACCCCGAGTTTCCATCCATGCAGACCGGAGCTACTGCCAGAATGGCCCGAGGACGTGCTCGGTCCTGCTATCAGGGTTTCGTTGAATATTGCATCTGCATCGGGATAAAACGGTTTCCCGGGCGTTGGTGGCTGACGACAAACAATATGCAAAGCTTGCAGAACTGGATGATGGCGTGTCAGTAGGAAAGCACGGTGGAGTTCAAAACGGAAACAAGAATCCAGGAGATAGTGAAAACAAGCATACAATTGGCGAGGAACAATTGCTGAGGGATGAAGCTGTAACAGAAGGCACACTTGTTGATGTCGGCATCGTCGAATCGGCCAACATTGCAAAAGTCATTGGTGGGCGCGCTGGAACTGTCGTTTCTTACTTGGTAGCCGATGGAGGCGTTCAAGACGGCGCAGCTGACTTGACAGGGACTGCTGATCGAGATGTGCTGCTCGGGAATGGCGAACATGCATCCGGCGAGGGTATAACGAAGGGCCACTGCAGAGGGCTGTTCAGCGCTTTCCATTCCGGCCAACATGCGGGTTTCCATGGGAGCTTATGGTCATACATAAAGCCCATCCAACGTCCGTCTCATTGTTACTCGAGTCCACAGCCGTGCTGTTGAGCTGACATGCCACGCATTTCTGGAGCTTCCGCCCGTTGTCGAGGGACTTGTAGTCGGCGTCGAGACAGATGACGTCGTCTTCGAGACTGCCCGCGACAGTGCATACAGATTCGCAGGGAGATCCGGGCACAGATTGCAGCGCAAGAATGAGACGAGGCAGGACCGTCAGCAAGCAGATCAAGACAGGGTACAGCAGAGGGGCGGTCGCAGGGCGGTCATGCCAGCAGGCCATGACACCGACGGTGAGCGCAGCGACATATGAAACCTGGGCGCGCGCAATCGCAGAGGCTGCGAAAGGGTAGAGGGAGGCAGGTAGGCGTCAGCAAGATTGCAGTCCTATCTCAAGTCTTTTAATGGGTGGAAGTGGGACAGCGTCCGACCAGCCTGCCATTGTCCGGCAACCAGAAACGGTCCTCTCCGTGTTCGCTCTGTAGCGTGCCAGTAGCATCTTCATGCATGGGAGCTCTATGGGCTTGCATTTCTCCGGGCGGTTAGAGAAGGAGGGATGTGCCAGTCAGAAGAAGACGACGAGGGTTGGCTTGGATGTGGATGATTGGCGGTCAGGTGTGATAAATGGCGATGGAGGGCGTGAGTGGGTGAGGGCTGATGCTCCCGGTCAACGCCATTTAACGCGATTCCCGGTGTAGGAACGGGCGGCGCGGGGATCGACCGTGATCCCCCCTCGTCGTCCCACCGCAGGCACATCTACAACGGTTACAAACCCTTGCTTTCACATCCAATGCTGTTGCCGAGGATTAGTCCATGGTCCATGGTACATGTCACTGCGTTTACTTGCTGCTATTGCTATTCTCCTTGCATCTCAATCTTGCCGACCTGCGAGCGAATGTGCCTCAGTTCCATCCATCGTGACGACGGGAATCACTGTGGACCGTCCACTGGCCGGCTCAGACTATGCCGCCGTAGAAAAGATGGTCTGTGACAATACTTTATCCCTCTCGAACGCGCGCTGCCATACCATTCACGGCTTGTCAAACCAATGTGCCTGGCGTAGCCGAGCCCGATATCTGCATTTCGCTTCAGATTTCACAGTCCCTCACCCAGCGTACGGATGCTGTCACATAAATGTGCGGCAGCCTAGGCGCCATGGCGCTGGGAGTGTAACAGACGACTGAATAGGACGTTTGAAACACAACCGACAGGTGATCGAGATGATATGCGGTGAAAACTGCTGATGGCGGATCAGAGCTCGACCACGCTGGACGAATGCCAGGCTTCCAACCAGCCCCATATTATTAATACTGTACAGGACCTGACTCCGAACATCTTCCAGACACTGGTTGGGAAATACTCCTTTGGAAAAGGCTGATATATATCCTTCATTCAAGGAACAACCTTCTAACAAGCCCCATACCAATCAATGCAGACCAACATATTCAGCATCCTTGCAAACCCTGCAGAGTGATAGTCTTCAACGCAAACGCTTCAAGCGAAATAGATTCGAAGTCAATCACCGGGCTTGGAAGCATCAGGAGCGCTGACCAAGGCAGGGATCAGGGTTTCAGCTCCCTTTCTTCTGCAGCTCTTCCACTCTCTTCTCGAAGGCGGATATCATGAGGCTTGCAACTTTCCCTTCCACTTGGGAAAACATTTGATCATATATCGGATTCCGAAATTTGACGTCAACGTCTAGCTTGACAGAAGTAGAATCTTTGTTGGCGCCATCCGTAGGCACGATGTGCCATTTGGTGTTCAACAATTCGAACAGGCCGTTACTGCTCTCGTCGCTGCTCTTCGCTTCGACCACCCCATTGTTGGGGTCGCATGAGACAATGCTGTCCCAATCCGCCTCCAGTCCGAACTTGTCATAACCGACTTTTAACTTTGCCCGGGTAGGATAACCAGCTGGGTCTCGCGATGTGACATGTGACGAGAGGGCGAAGGGGAGAAATGCTGGATAGCCTGAGACCTCGGCGACAGCTTTGAAGATCAAGTTGGGCGGATACGGCAACCTCTTTGTGTGTGACAAAGTACGTAGCGGGCAAGGGCCCAGTGTCGAGCTCAGCAAAGAGTCGAGAAATGATCTTGTCTGCTGGATCGAATATTGATTGAAGCCGACAGTGGCTGAGCGACTGACATAAGACAAACCAGGTCGAGGTTGAAAAGCTCTGAGAGAGTGACGAGCTATCATCCTGCAACAACGTGTTGCCCAGGAGCGCCCAAATCAATAATAAAGACTTAGGTGCGATTCTATGGCGCTGTGCTGTGTACAATGTAAATTCAATGAACGAGCAACATGAAGAAAATACAGGGTCGTTGATATCATCGAGATGACAGGAAAATCTGTACGAGTCATGTAGCTTCGGTATCCAAAGATATCTGACTCGCTTTTGGTCATTCAATCTGACCACTGTCTCCTTTCGATCAGACCGTCCAGCAGCGCGGCCTTTCTCAGTTTTGCGCTATCAGGTCGTTTTCCTTGACAGTCATAACCGGCTATGCCAAATTGAACGTTCTGCCTTCATTAGACGCTCGCGCCATGGAGCAGTCGCCTGCCGTGGCCCCAGTCGCGTCGCGGGCCACGACCACGAAACAACCACCTCCTGAGAAACCCGAAGCTGCGAGTTTGAGGACAAGAGTGGTTCTGTCGTTCTGGGCCGTGATCCTACTCCTCGGTGTCCCGACATGGTGGCAGACGACCTCTATCTATCGCGCCAACCTGCCGTTGCAGGATATGTTGAACTGGGCGGATGGATTGGTGAGTGACCGGATGCACCCAGATCCTCACATATACAAGTGACTGATCTCTACAGAACACTCCCACGGCAATACCGCTCCACGTATGGATATCAGCTCCCCACCTCTCCTGCACGGACGCGCAGCGGATTGTCCGAGACTCGCAGCAGGCGTTAGACGATCTGAACGAGTATCCAACTCTACATCAACGACTACATCTGGTGGACATGCAGCCAGACAATGAAAAAAGCCGAGAGTCGAAAGAACAAGCTGAAACCTGTGGTGAAGATGCATCCAATCCCGGACTCGGAGACCCGGCTCTCAAGGTGTTCCTGGAATTTACAGATGGCGGGTTTGCGTTCGAACTGGATCCGGTGATTGCAAAGGCCGCCGTTCGCCTCCCGAACAAGCCAAATAGCAACATAGCCAAATCCCTGGCCGAGAATCTACACGAGCTCTTCATAGAGGAACAGATTGCCGCCGCCCTCCAAACCATCTACCTGGCCAGTCATACACAGAATGCACAAGCGTTTCTGAGGTCGCAGCCTTATGATCTGGTCACGAAAATCGAGAGACGGATCAATCGGGCTTACAAGTCCTCGCCAGATTTTCACCTGACGTTCTCTCTTTTCACAGCTAGTGGCGCGCCATCAGGCTGGGAGATACAGACTGCGCTGAATGACTATGTCCAGCCACTTATTCAAGCACTGTCTAACACCCCGACTTTCGATGTCACAACCCAAGTTCAACTATATTCAAGCTACTCCCCGGCGATCAGATCAGTAACCAAAGAAGGACAGGAGGGCGCCTTTCTGGAACAAAATGATCTTACTGCTTTCGTTAATGCTGCAGAATGGCCTCTGGCGCCATCCATCGGCGACGGACCGACAATCAACTTCGTTCTCTATGTTCCCGCCAAGAATGAAATTCCCCTCAGGATCGATGGGATAGAAGGGACATCTTGGCTGATTCCTCAGTGGGGCGGTATTCAGATACTGAACCCTCCTCTACATCCTGATCCGGAAAACGGCGTGATGAGATTACCTCCCCATTTAACCAAAGACGTATTGCGCCAGCCTTTCGAGACCTTCTCATCGCAACTGCTGTCGCTGTTAGGAGTGCCTGAGGCGGATGTGTCTGGCAAAGTTCTCCCATTGCAACTGAGACTAGATGCTTATAAAAGGTTCTCGACTCTAACACTGTACCTGAAGGCAGCATCTAGCTTAGGATCTCTAGCGCGACTGGCACAACGGCTCAGCAACATCCCAATACCAAAACACGTCGCTGAACTTGTGGATGCTTCGATAAGCAATCTGATTGCTGCCCGTCAAGCCTTTCTTGAAAGTCGCTGGGATACAGCTCTGGCGCATGCCAAAATAGCGTACAAGGACAGCGAGAAGGCCTTTTTTGACAAGTCAATGGTCGGCCAAGTCTACTTCCCGGATGAACACAAGGTCGCTGTTTATCTGCCTCTGCTGGGGCCCATTGGGGTGCCGCTGATTGTCGGGTTGCTCAGGGAAATCAAAAGATTTGTTGCAAGAAGGAGGGGGACCAAATCCTGAGAGCAGTCCTCATTTTGCATCAGGCGGACTACTCCGAGCTCTAAGTCAGTTCAGCTGATTGGTTCGAGCGGTCGAGTACGTGGTTATTGCAGGAACCGCCCAGAGAGGACGACACCTAGCAGGAATGTTGTTTCTGTGAGAGGAGTCTTTGTCAGTGACAAGGTCTCCAGCTGCTTAATTAGGAAGCTCGAGAACAGCATCTCGCTCGGTGTGGGGAACAATTGCAGCTGAAAGGCATTTGACTCGAGGGATTCGGCACTCTGGCGAATCACGGACTTCGACGAACAGCCAAACCCTCCCCAATTTGCTGGGCTTATCGACCACCGCTGTTGACCAAGCGTCAACAGATCCCTGCCGACTATGACTGCTATCGGCGCATATGTGCAAGCATGCTTTATATACTGCTCGATCGGCCCAGGAAAGATGAGGAGAACGATATCGACAACTTCCTTCAGCTCCCAACCTTCTTTCGCACGGACTTGTCTCCTTGGGAAAACATGGCTCTCATTTCCACGACTAGCTTGGTTGTGCTGATTGTCGGCTGGCTCTGGCTGCAGCCTTGGGCGAGTGCACAATTATGTTATAACCAAAGCACTGCCATCAATGGGACACCATTCCCACCGTTGATCGAAGCTACCACAGAGGACCTTGCTAAGGGACTTGAGGCTGGTTTGTTTACGAGTGTGGATCTTGTGACGGTGAGTAGACGCAGCTCGGACCCGGCGTATATCGTCTAACAGACTGAGGCCTATATTCAACGTATCATGGAAGTCAATACGACTTTGCATATGGTGACCCAGCTCAATCCCGATGCTCTCGCTATCGCTGCCCAGCTTGACGAGCAGCGCGCTCAGAGCAATGTCCTCGGGCCATTGCATGGGATCCCTATTCTTATCAAAAATAACATTGCCACCGCCGACAATATGGACAATACCGCCGGCTCTTACGCCTTGGCGGGTGCTAAGGTACCTAGGGATAGTACCATGGCCGCGAAGCTCCGGCAAGCAGGAGCCGTGATACTGGGCAAGACAAATTTGTCCCAATGGGCCAATTATCGAAGTTTCAACACCAGCAACGGCTGGTCTGCTATCGGAGGACAGACTCAAGGGGCGTACTATCCTGGCCAGGACCCATCAGGGTCGTCTTCCGGAAGTGGTGTTTCAAGCTCTCTGGGTCTTGCGCTTGCTGCTCTTGGAACAGAGACAGACGGATCGATCTTATCGCCCTCAGATGTCAATAACTTGGTTGGTATCAAGCCAACGGTCGGGTTAACCTCCAGGGATCTTGTAATCCCAATATCCGAACATCAGGATACTGTGGGACCGATGGCTCGCACAGTTAAGGATGCAGCGTATCTCCTGGCTGCGATCGCTGGAAAATCACCCCACGACAACTACACGGACGCGATACCCTTTGATACAATCCCTGACTACGTTGCAGCTTGCAATTTTTCGGCCCTGAAAGGAAAGCGTATTGGTGTCCCACGCAACTTGATTGACTTGACTGCCGATCCTCCTGCCGCCCCGATTGTGCCCGTCTTTGACGCTGCGCTAGAGATTTTGCGGAAAGCCGGGGCGATCATCGTTGACAACACGAATTTCACGGGCTATGAAGCTTTGAACGAGGGCAATTATAGCAATGTTGTTCTTGAAGCGGACTTCATCAGCGACCTCCCTAAAGAATACCTCTCCCAACTGTCGTACAATCCCAACAAAGTGTACTCGGTGGCCGATGTGCGCAATTTCACCCACGCCTTCCCGCTGGAAGACTGGCCCGAGCGTGACACTCTAGTCTGGGATTCGGCTTTGGCGCTAGGCTTCAACAACACCTCGCCGGAGTTCTGGTCGAATTATACTATGAACACATACCTGGCCGGTCCGCTGGGGGTGACGGGTGCATTGAAGAATTATTCTCTCGATGCGCTCGTCCTGCCCACGGAATTCTCACCTAACTTTCCTGCGCTCATCGGCTCTCCTGTGATCACTGTTCCCCTAGGCTCTTATCCTCCGGACACCGAGGTTCTGGTCAATGGCTTTGGGAACTTGAATGCCACGGCCCCAAACATTCCTTTCGGCATCAGCTTCATGGGCCCGCATTTCAGTGAGGAACTGTTAATTGGACTGGCGTATGCATTCGAGCAGCGAACCTTGGTCAGAAACACAATCACCCCGTACATCCAGCCGGTGACTGAACTCGTGGATGTGGTGAACAAAAAGGCCGGGATAGCAGGCTAGGGTTATAGATGAAGGCCACGTTACGTTACGAGATATGACTGTGATGGTGTTTTGCTTGAATTTTGTCTGCTGCAATTGACAAGGATGCTTGAGGGTGGCCTCTGGGTCAGAGAACTTTAGGGAAGGAAGGAAAATGTGCACTGCGCCTGTCAGGATCTAGAAGGGCTGGGGAACTGGATATCAGTAGCTGAATCATTCTGGATGTTTGAGGATCCCTTAAGCTGTTGTACGCTTCCCTCCGAGCAACCGTCGTCGCCGCACACCCTTCCGCAGGGAGCGATCGGTAGCGTCTACTGTAGGCCCTTTTGGAACATATCTTAGCACAGGAGTAAAAAGAGATCCCCCCTAGGACACTGCAATGGCAGTACTAATGAGATTGGAAGGTTGAGGCGCGTTGGGATTGAACCTCGGCTGGAAATCTTGACGACAAATCAGCCTTGTTGGAAGTAACCGAAACTTGAACCCCAGGAACTCGGGATTCGGAGTTTTGTAGGTGATCTGGGGTTACAATATTAATCGTCAGCCAATCCAACTCGAGGTATTGTCAGAGTCGATCTTATTTATTTACCATATCACCAGTCTTGTGTCTCAGCATTGCTACAGTTCATTATTATTATATCCGTTGGAGGGTTATGACCATTTGATTGTACATACTATAATAATAAGAGGGGTCGCAAAACCGCATCTTTGCAACAGGGACGAACGAGGGAGCGAGAGAGAGAAACGTCGGTTCCTAATCCTCACCTCTCCCTCCCACGACTATACCGACGGTGACGAACCTCTAGAACAGACTTGCCCCGGGTTGCAAATTCAAAAAAAAAACTTGAAATATGGCACAAAAAACATCCCAGACGCCGACGGCGAGGCTGACCCGCGAAGAAGTGGCCAAGAACAACAGCGAAGACAGCCTCTGGTGCATCATCGACCACAAAGTCTACGACCTGACTGAATTTGCCGACGCCCACCCAGGCGGCAGCGTGGTCCTACGCCAGGTCGCAGGGCAAGACGCAACATCTGCATTCTACAACCTGCACCGACAGGAAGTGCTACAAAAATACGCGAGCCTATGCATTGGAACGATTGAGGGCGAAACGCCCGAGGTGATTGAGCACCGACCGGGCGATTTGAGTACCGTGCCGTACGCCGAGCCAATATGGTTGACGCCTCAGTTCAAAAGTCCCTATTACTCGGCGTCGCACCGGCGATTACAAAAGGCGGTTCGCGAATTCGTCGACCGTGACATATACCCAGAGGCGCAACAAAAGGAACAGGACGGTACATATATTTCACAGGAACTGGTCGACAAAATGGCCAACAACAATTTGTTGGCGATGCGTCTGGGACCGGGCAAACATTTGCATGGTCGCAAATTACTGGACGGCGCCGTCGAGGGCACCGAGTTCGATTACTTCCACGACCTGATTGTGGCACAGGAGCTGTCGCGCGCCGTGGCTCGCGGATTCCAAGATGGAAATATGGCGGGCATGATGATCTCGTTGACGGCCGTGCGGCAGTGGGCCAACGATTCTGAGTTGCGCGACCGCGTCACCGACGAGTGTCTTTCGGGTCGCAAGTTCATGTGCTTGGCAGTCACTGAAGCCTTTGCCGGGTCGGATGTTGCGGGGATCCGGACAACCGCCAAAAAGACGCCTGATGGAAAACACTACATTGTCAACGGGACCAAGAAATGGATCACAAACGGCATGTTTGCAGACTATTTTGTCACGGGGTGTCGAACGGCCAAAGGGTTCAGTGTCATTTTGATCCCCAGAGGTGAGGGTGTGACTACGAAGCGGATCAAGACCGCTTACTCGACTGCGGCGGCGACGACTTTTATTGAGTTTGATAATGTCAAGGTCCCCGTCAATCATTTGCTGGGAAAGGAGGACCAGGGATTTATTGTCATCATGAGCAATTTCAACCATGAGCGCTGGGCAATGGCTTGTGGGGTTATTCGCTGGATGAGGACGATTGTCGAAGAGTGTCTGAAGTGGTCGCATCAGAGAATTGTTTTTGGGAAGCCTTTGGTTCATCAACCTGTTATCAGGCAGAAGTTGGCGAAGATGATTTCCCTCACTGAGGCCTGTCAGTCATGGTTGGAGACTATCACTTTCCAGATGTGTAATATGGATTACGCCCAGCAGTCTAAATTGCTCGGTGGGCCTATTGGTCTGTTGAAGTCTTATGCAACCAGATGTGCCCATGATGTCGCTGACGATGCTGTCAATATCTTTGGAGGCAGAGGCCTGACGCAGACGGGTATGGGGAGGATCGTCGAAATGTTCCATCGCACTTATAAGTTCGATGCTATTCTTGGAGGAGCTGAGGAGGTTCTGGCCGATCTGGGCGTCCGCCAGGCCATGAAGCAGATGCCAAAGGCCATGCTGTGATCATATATCTTGCCTGATAGGAGTATAAATCCAATTAAAGGCCGCATATAAGCAGAAACATGCACATATGAAAATTTTAGGAACGATGCCAGTTGTGCGGGATCATCAAGAGAGTTCAGGGCCTGGTAGTGTGAGCCAGTCAATAGGTGGTCAATGGAAAACTACATGTACCCTTGCCGCCACTAGGGAATATTCAGATGAGAAGAATGAGCATGATCTGATTTGGGCCGAGTACTGCAGGAGTGTGGTCAGTTCCGTTTCGACTGTTCATTGACGTGAACCCTTCGTCACCGATCTCAAACCCTCGGCATGAGGTTCCCAGCATAGAAACTGCGTGTCCTCAGGAGCGCCGTAACATGTTTTATCGGTCTGTCCAGAAGCATCTACGATTGCAGGATAACCATGAGCACTGGGTGGATGCACGGTACTTCCCAGAGCCTGGTGCTAGATCTCTCTTGAGTGCGTAGAACGCTGCTAGGAGACAACAGAGAACGGAGTCGGATGTATTTGACCGAGTGAGCCATTCTTGCGTTGTCCTGCGGCCATGCTGCTGATATTGCCCCCCATCTCTTCGAGAAATCGTACCCATATCATCAGCGGTGTCATTTGTGCTGTTAGCACGATGAACTGTGCCAGGGCAGACACTTCGGTCGCTGGCGCGACACAGTCAGATTTTGAGAGAGGCCGTCTTGCGGGGCCCAACTTCGATTTGTTACATTGAACAATTGCGACCAGCATGCTCTGTGCCCAGAACAGGTCCTTGGGCATCTCAGGCCCGGTGAAGACTGGAAGGTCCGCCTTGCGGTCTGGCTCGCTATCCTGAGTTTCCTGTTGTAGGATTGTCAGACACCCAAAGGAAGCAGGTGGCTTGAGACGGCCGTCTGCCGCGGCATTCGAGGCCCTGCAGCCCAATGAAGGCGGAGTTGCAGCCTTAGATTTGTTGTCTCGAAAAAGACAAGGGTTGTCGATGCAGCGGTCACCGTCCAGTCACCATAAACTTGTGTACACTCTGTAAAGGCATTTGAGTCGCAGTCCTCAGCACAGTCGCACTCTCGGTGGTACCACCAGGCTTGTTTTCGCTCTTAGTCTGCTCGACTTCCATTTTATTCCCATCGTCTTCCTCTTCCTCTTCGTCCGTGACTTCGTACTCTTCGTCTTCATCTCCCTCCTCGTCTTCCTCGTCTGGTGGCTCTACTAACTCTCTGCGGAGACCGGTAACAACGTTCGAAACGCCACGCTGTTTCTCTTCCAATGTGAAATCTGCGCCCCATTTCTGCTTTCTGGCCTCCTTGTTTGCAGCAGTAGGAGCCCATTGCCAAAGCGCGTTCAGGTCGGCTTCCGATATGCCTGAAGGGTCACCCTTGCGCAAGCGTAACGCTATGCTTTCACCTTCTTCGACCCAGTCTTCCACATTAGGTTCCAATTTCGTTCGTAGCAATGTCTCTAGAATAAACGCGCGTTCTTTGCCAGGAAATTGAGGCAGCGGGAACGCAACGGTCGACTGAAAGGCCTCGCGGTGCTCGGCCAACTGCGCTGCGATGGTCTGGAGGTTGTTGGATATGAGATTGGCGTGGGTTTGGAGAGCAGGCCTCAAATATTGTCAGTTTCCATCAGAAGGGTTCCAGCCTCCGTGACATACCAAGAGGGAAGCGAACTTTGGGTGGTGATGTCGGATCGCAATGCTATTAGAGATGTTTGGAGAGCCAGTAGCCGCTGTCGGGTCTGATCCAAGGCTCTGACCTGGTCAGTCGATAGTTCTGCCATTGCACCACCCGTTGTCTAGTAGTAGCATAGAAGATGTGCCATGAATAGTAATAGTGATTCTGTTTACGTGGTTGAGGACGTGAAGTGAGGGATGATGAACGCATTGGACAATAATAATGTTGTACTGTACGTGGTGGAGTGGCGCTTGGGGCAGAATCGGGCTGCGGAGTCCAACTTGAACTGAGCTTCACATCAACTTCCTCAACTCAAGTTCGGCGTCCTTCATTGCTTTGCCTTCCAATATATGGTTCCTATTGTTCCTTTTGTCAATGCCACATCCACCACGACGTCCTGCTTAGGCAGTACACCATCATGGCGGCTCCGACCGTCGCACGTATGTCGACGGCCAGTGGTGGTGTTTGTTCGACTTGCCTGGCGCGGATTGTGCGGCAACCCTCCTCGTCCGTTACTTTTGTGAGGTCCTCAATCCACGCAACGAGGAAGCTTCACAATGGCGTCCTGGCGGCGCACAGAGAACCAAAGAACAGTGGTGCTAGTCCACACAACTTTGCGCAAGACTATTTCTCCGCCAACAACTCGATTGAAAGAGGTTGGGTCAAGAGTGGGCTATTGGCTGCCATGCGCACTGTCGCGGAACCACCGCTTGAAGGCAACACCGGCTTGACACGCGAAGAGCGGTTAAAGCGGGCAAGAGAGGAGTTTGAGAAGATTTCGCTGGATCACAGGATAGCAACTACAGAAAAGGCCGACGGTCGGAAGGTCGAGTCGGAAATACCACCTACAGAGCCACGAGAAGCCGTCCCCAATACCGAACCAAAACTGGAAGAGGTTCTGCCACACAGGAGAAGGAAACGACGGAGGGACAATGAGGCCTCTGCCCAAGCTGCCAGCGAGTCTTTACCGTTGGATGCCTCGTCACAACTGACGACCGCAGCAAGCAGCATGCCCAAGTCTGCCGTCTTTCGCCGCAGACTGGCTACATATTTGTCTCTGTCGAAACCGCGACTGTCATTCCTAATTCTGCTCACAACCACCTCCGCTTATTCTTTATACCCACTTCCTGAATTGCTATCGTCTACGGCAGATTCGGTTGGCTCGTCCTTCTCAACCTCGACTTTGACCCTCCTCTTTCTTACCACCGGCACCTTTCTATCATGTGCTTGCGCGAATACTCTTAACATGCTATTCGAACCAAAATACGACGCGCTCATGACGCGAACTCGGAATAGACCCCTCGTTAGGGGCCTTGTCTCCCCAAGGGCTGCCGCGGGTTTCGCCTTGCTCTGCGGCGCAACGGGTCTCCTTCTTCTGGGCTATGGCACCAACCCCACCGTGGCTGGCCTCTCGGCCCTCAATATCTTCCTTTACGCCGGAGTGTATACCCCAATGAAGCGGATATCCGCCGCCAACACTTGGGTTGGCGCAATTGTCGGCGGTATCCCTCCGCTGATGGGCTGGTGTGCTGCCGCAGGTGAAGCTGCCACGTCCGAACATCATTCGTGGAGAGATCTGCTCCTTACTGAGGATGCCATTGGTGGCTGGGCTTTAGCTGCTCTGTTATTTGCATGGCAATTCCCGCATTTCATGTCCCTGTCTCACACCATTCGCGATGATTATCGAAACGCCGGGCACAAAATGCTGGCATGGACAAATCCAGCCCGCAATGCCCGCGTTGCACTCCGATACTCTCTGGCAATGTTCCCAATTTGTGGCGTCCTGTATTGGGCCGGTTATGTCGACTCTGGCTTCCTTGTGATCAGCACTGCATGCAACTTGTGGATGACCCGCGAAGCGATTCGCTTCTGGAGAAAGCAGGGAGCTGGTGGCAGCGCGAGAGGCCTTTTCTGGGCCAGTGTCTGGCAGCTTCCTCTTGTACTGGTTGGAGCTCTGGTGTGCAAACGAGGCCTGTGGGACGGCTTCCTCGGCAAAAATGGACCTGCTAGCATTTACGACGAGGATTATCCCGATGGAGAGGGCGATGAATTAGGCATGGATTCCGCAAACCCCTCAAAAGAATCAAAGCCTCCTGCGGACATCAATCTTGCCATGATGGGTTTCAAACGGCCGACTTGAACTTTGTAATTTGACATGAATTGTCAGCCAAATCAGGGAGCTTCCTGGTCACTCCTGGCTTTGACCTCATGGATGTTGGACATGAGTGCAGCGGCGTGTGCCTTAACACACCCTCTATTCTAAGAGAAAACGTCAGAACTCGATCCACGAGACATGCAACGGGCGGCGACGACGGAAGAAACAACTCTGGACGAACTAGAGGGCCGTGCTCTTCTTTCGTTCACCGGCTAGTATCACCAGTCACCGAGGGACAATACAGCGCCATATCGCTGGACTACGATGACCGAACTGTCTGTGGTTTGGGGTGGTTCCTTGCCATATCCTTCGGTGTCTGCTGTTCCGAAGCTGACCCTGATCTGCACGCTGGCTTCAGCAAGGATAGGTGGAAAGCGGCCATTATCTGACCGGGGTCCCCAGAAGCAATCGGCCCTTTCCCAGGGTCGGCATTATCAAGGTCAATCATACCTTTCTCCTCCTTCGGATGCGGGGAAAGTTGTCCATTGGTACCATCGAGCTTCACCCGCGACCGGAGAAGATTATTGGCACCCGCACGCATACCATTATGCCATATATAACATGTAGCAAGCAAATGTTAGAACGAGTCCAGAGACGACACTGTGGAGTGGTCGAAATCTTTGCTCCTGTTCATTCAAAATCAAAGCCGTCTCTACCACCCACTTTGCTTTCTCCTGCTTGAGAGTATAACCTCCTGTTGAGGCGCTTGTTAACCTGAGCAATGCTCGGCTACGTCGTCTTGATATGCTTGGCCCAGGTCGCGTATGGAGCATCTGGGCTGAGTTACAATGGTCTCGTGCAAACACCACAAATGGGCTGGGTAAGACTCAATCATGCCCCGGATTGATCAACGCATGTTTGCTTTGTCTGCGAGCTTACTCTCCTCCAAATCTATCGACTTCCATCCGCGCCTGGTTTGATTGCCACGCTCATCACTGTGCATCTAGGACACATACAATGCTTACGCACTGGATTACAATGAGACCACGATTCTCACCAATGCCGATCGACTAGTTAGTCTGGGCTTTCGAGATCTCGGCTACCGCGTTGTCATCTTCGATGATGCCATGACCGAGCGCAACCGCAGCGCCAACGGCTCGCTGATCGAGAACCACACCAAATTTCCTTCGGGCCTCCGCAGTATTGCAGACAGACTGCATGCTAGCGGACTATATTTCGGCGTCTACAGCTCTGCCGGCAGGTTCACCTGCGGCGGGTATCCTGGAAGTCTGGGCTACGAAACCACCGATGCTCAATGGTGGGCCGGTCTAGGAGCTGACTACTTGAAGTACGACAACTGCTACAACGAGGGACTGTCGGGCACGCCCAAGCTGAGCCAGGATCGGTACGCATCGATGTCGAACGCGCTCAACTCGACAGGGCGTCAGTTTGTGTATTCTCTGTGCAACTGGGGGGACGACAAACCGTGGGAGTGGGCGTCGACCATAGCCAACTCTGCGAGAATCTCCGGCGACATCCAGGACAGCTTCTCAATGCCGACTTCAAGCTGCCCTTGTGGACCGGAAGAATACTACTGCCAGCTGCCAGGGTACGGATGCAGCGTGGTAAATATCCTCGGCAAGGCCAGCCACATTACGAGCAAGAACCAGCCCGGCTATTTTAATGACTTGGACATGATCGAGGTGGGAAACGGCGGGATGAGTTACGATGAATATAAAGTCCATTTCAGCATGTGGGCAGCCATTAAAAGCCCGCTGATCCTGGGGAACAAGCTCGACCAGTTGAGTCCGCAGGACTACGCGTTGTTGATCAACCCGGCCATTCTGGCAATCAGTCAGGATCCAGCCGGAAGTGCTATCCAAAGGCGCATCAGGACAGAAGTCGACGATAAAGACCAGTATGGTTTTGGCGAGGTCCAAGTATGGTCGGGTAGTCTGGCCAACGGTGACCAGGTGGTTGCGTTTCTCAATGCCGGTAACGCCTCGCGCACAATGCAGTATTCACTCGTCGATGTTTTTGGTGGGATCAACACGAATGAGAATGCTCAAAAGGGTTGGGATCTGTTCGATGTCTGGGGCAATCAAACTCTCATGAGCAACGAGGTCGCTAGTCAAGTGCTCAATGGTACGCTGGCGGTGGGAAATGCCACGGGCTATTACAATGCGAGCGATGCCAGTTGGGCACAGGGTCTCAATCAGAGTAATCCCCTCTTGTTCGGAACGCCAGTCGGCAGCGTCCAGGGAGGAGGGGTGCTTTCTGCTAATGTCCCTAGGCATGGTATCCAGATGTGGAGGTTACGTCCGCAAGAGGGAATGAGGAAGAGGGATGAATTTTGAGTGAGGTGCTAGTAGTACCTACCAGGCGTATTAATGAATGCTGATTTGCGTACATTCCCAGCTTTTCTACATGGCCCACCATGTGAACCCAATGTTCGTCTTTATGTGGCTCTATAGAAAGCCTCGAAGGTCCAAATTCACGACTAGCATTCAAGAAGTAAGGAACCAATTCAGGATGCATGTATGCATGTATGCATGGATGTATGTATGTACCTTGGTAGGTATCACAAGAAATACCTAGGTACAATATACCAAGGCCCGCCGCAACCGATGGACATTGTGAAACTGTACTGCCGGGCCGCGCTTTGCTGTGCGGTGCTATCCCTCCGTCATCATCGCCACTTATCGACCCCTTTCCTTTCTTTCTTGTGGTTCAAAACATCGACATCGACATCCGTCGTATCATATCGCATGGCTCATCTCATTTCCTCACCCTAACACGCAGTCACCGGGTCGTGCAGATTTATATCTCCTGCAGCACAAGTATTATACTTTTCCTCTTGTTCGTATTTCTAACCGATTTCTGTGACGGACAACAGGTTGGTTTTAAATTTCCTTCTTTTTTTCCCTTCAACTCACTTTGTGGGTTTCAAGTTCACCCAATCTTCGCCTGGCTAAAGTCCATTTCAGGATGCTGCTCCATAAACTTCTTTAAGATATCCTCCTTCTTCTGCTCATCGCTGGTCGGTTTGCCCTGCCGCTTCATTTCCTGATCATACATCATCTTCTCCACCATGCCGCGCGTCTCGCCGTCCAGCTCGGACAGTTTGGAGTTCTCGGGCTGGATTTTCGTTATGTCGATCTTGGGCGCCGACGTCACAATGTGCGCCCACCAGTACGAGCCGCGCGCTTTGGCGATGTTGATGACGATTTCTTTGCTGCCGTCCGGTTTGGTAGATAACAACCAGGTCGATTCGTCCGTCTGGATGGGATGGGGGAAGTCGCCCTAGACACAAAGAGTCAGAGATAGATTCTGGCAATATGGTCTACCCATCGCCGTAGCCTTCCTACTTCGACCGCCTCGCTCCGCTATGTAGGTACACTTACATCAATAATCGGTTCTTGACCTTTAATCCCGACTTTGATATGTGTCTTTTTCAGGTCAACCACCAAATCTCGCGCTTTCAAGTTGCCCGGAATGGGAACCGTGACTTCGGCCTCTTCGAGCGTTTGGGTCCACTTGTAGGGGAGTTTGGCTTGTTCTTCCTCCTCGCGCTTGCGGTCTTCGGCGTCCTGGCGCGCTCGTTCTGATGGGGTGGGAGAGGACTCGCGGGCTTCTGACATATTGGGTGGTATACCGCGGAACCTGTGTTTGATTGTGTTCTTCGGATCTGCTCGACTGATGTTTCTGTTGTGTATGCTGTGCGTGGAACTTTTTGAACGGATGTTTTCAACGTTACAGGTACAACAATGACATGCGGAGAAACGATTGATCGGCAAGGCTGAGGATTGCGGGCACTGCAGTCCAACTTCCCACGCTGCCTTTTAACAACTCTTGCACTTACCCGTCTTGGCATCGAAGATCATGGAATATTGCGCCGCTTTCCGACAGCGCTGTCACAGCCTTGTCGCTCAGACGACCAGTCATCTCGCTGCAAAACTCTTTCGATGCTATGGAGTGCTGCACGTCACCATCAGCCACTTGAATGACCCGAAGCTTACAATATCAATAACAAAAAGAAAAGAAGAAGACAGTGTGTCAAGTCATTATTGAATTAGCTATCCTTTCTTAGGGCTATATTATTAACTAGACTCGTCGACTATAACCTTAACCTATTCTTCGAACTGTATCCGTCAGGTATCTTCGGCACAGCCGGCGTACCTTCATCATAAACCGGGTCGGGAAACCCAGCCTCGTGCAACATTTCTGTAAAAGTTGTCGTTGGTCTGCTGACAAGCTCGTGTCCATCTGGCCTTACCCGCTTCGTTGAGTTGAACCCGTCACCACCGTAGCGCACAGGACTTAAGATCTCATGGTCGCGATCGTTGTGGGTCGAAAGTTCTGAAATGCCCGAAATGACACTCATTCCCCGGACGTTGTTGTCCCGGTTAGCAGCGTTTCTAGCTGCGTCGCCACTATTAGGAGGGCTCTTGAACGGGCTGCCCATGTTGGTTGTCTTTGTGAATGGAAATCTCTGAGCGGCCATGCCCCGTAAGGGTGCAATGGCCGCAGGTACGGGTGGCTGGACCGTACCATTATTATTGGGTGGCGAGTAGACCCGTATGCTCTCCGAGCTGGCCTCGTGCGCAAGTCTTCGCTCCGGCGTCACGGGAACTCCGGCTGGCGCAGCAGGAACATTGTTGGGCACTGGCGGAGTGGGCATCTTCCAGTGGCTCTCGGTGTATTTGGGACTGATCTGCTGGCTCTTTGTGGAAAACATCGACTTGGCCCTCCCCGTTGTTCGACGTAGGAAATCGGTCCTCATGCCCCCTGCTGACCCTAGCGGAATCGGGTCCGAAATCGTCGGTTTGTAGATAGACGACGATCCGGAAGAATGCCGCGGGCTCGGAGGCTTGTGGTGTCGGCCACTGCAGATGACCCATGCTAGCATCAAGAAGGCACCAATAAACATGCCTGGGAAGAACCCGGCAAGGAAGACCCCTATGGGGAATTTATTGCATTTGGGTTCGACGTGAGCTGCAGAGGAGCTCACTCCAGAGGTCGTTGTAGGAGTACTGGTTGAGGTGCTGGTCGTCGTGGACTTTGTTGCAGAAGCGGTGGTAGTGGTGGAAGATCTACCTGATGACGAACTATCCGTCGTCCCCGTCTTGCTGGTATCAGTGATGAGACTGCAGATAGGAGAGCCACTTTGAGCTGAAATACAAGCATAGCCAAACGGACAGCATTTATCTCCGCAAACCGGTAATTTGTCGCCCAGTCGCGTGGTCATAATGTCGGCATTGGGTGCCGCTGTCAGATTCTGCTTTTGAATGTCGCATGGTATAATCTGGATATTCGAGCACGTGTTCCCTTCTGGACAACAAAGTGCCGTCGAAGACTTGTCCAGAGAGATACAGTTGCTCCCAGCGGCGCATTTGAAGTTACTGGGCAGTTGAGAGTCCACCGACGAACACGACGCAGAGTCGTCTTGCCTCCGGAGCAGCAGAGAAGGGGTAGTAGATAGATTGGAGGGAGTCGCGGAGACGGTTATGGATGGTAAGATGGCCGCTCCAAGTAAGACAAAACGCAAAACACAAACGCCTGAAGGAAGATGCATGGCGGAGGTATTGCACGCTCGGGTTACTCTCATGTAAGAATGAAGATGGTAGTTGAAGCAAGGAGAAGCCCAAAAAAAATTCTGAGGAGATAGAGCTGAGCCGTCAAGTATAAAGGCCAGTCACCAGGACTATCACCACGTTGTGCCCAAAAATAAGTGGTCAAGAGACGAAGCAAACAAAAAGGGCTTTGAGAAACATTGACAAAGAAAGAGGTTGAGGGCTTCACTTACAATGGGACAACGACCCAGCGCGTGCCCCCATTATAGACAACTGATGTGTCAATCAGGCTCGACTGCAGGATGACTGCTGTTCCATCGCAGGTAGTGTCGTGGTCCTTGAATAGCCACCATTCCCCAGACAAACTTGAACCCTGCGCGTGGGAGTATAATTTGTAAGAAAGACCCGAGGATAGCCAGTGGCTTGCCGCAGGGAGACACGATGCGCAACCTTGTGATCGGAAACACGCGCGACAGTGCGTTGCAAACACAGGAGCAGAGTGAAACGAGTGGTTTGTAGAGCGTTGAAAGCAGTTTATCTCGACGAGATGGAGGTGGCGTGGCTCGTCTCAGACACGAGGCTCAGCAGAGTGACACGCGACGCTGGTTGGCCGAGTCAATAGTGATATTCACTAAGCCTATTCGGGCACCGCAGCCAGATCTAAGAAATTTGGGACTTGGAGTGCACTGCATCAACCAAAGGAGACATCACCATCTGCTATTACCACTCTCGCTCTATCACGATTGGAATTCGCCTGGGGGATGCGGCTGGGCTGTTCCGCTCTTCGTTCATGATCACCCGACCCGCGACGAGGCCGCAGTCCCTACTGCGAGCCATCGTCAAACAAGCTGTACGTGACCTTTGGTCTTCCATTGAATTTATCTGCGTTCAAGTTCTGGAGCACAAAGCTGACCTAGCAATTTGCTCTTGCTTTACAGCAATCCTCTCTCCCTCGTACACAGCGTCGAAGCAAGCACAGCGTCCCGCTATGGGCGGACTCCAAGAAACAAGAGCGGTTTGCCAAAAATGGCGTCCCGGGCTTCCTCTCGCCGACCACCTACCACGAGACCTACGAGAAATACACCCAACACTTGTGCGACCGGTTAAACGAGTGGACTCAAGGTACACCTTGCCGAATTTAACAGTACAACCACATGGAGAATATAGAAAGCTTACACCCTTATCCCAGGGACACCCGATGAATCCACATCAGCTTTCGACCTGCACGCCATCAACGCGCACAAACCGGAGCGGGCGGCGCTGTACAACCACGCCGCCATGGCTAACCACACGCACTTCTTCTGGGAGTCGCTAACAGACGCCGAAGACCCCGTCGAACGTCGTCCCGGCTTGAACACGATGCGATCGATAGAGATGGACTTCGAGTCGGTGGACCACCTGCGGTCCGAGTTTTTGGAGGTTGCCGACGCCATGTTCGGCAACGGGTTTGTGTGGTTGATGAAGCCACCCACCCCGGGTGGGCTCACGATTCTGGCAACCTACAACGCCGGCAGCCCGTACTCGGAAGCAGCTCCGCGCAGAGACAACCGCGACATGGCCACCTACGACGGCCGCCAACTGGCCGCTCAACTGTCTGGACGAGGAGGTCTAGGCGCAGGCAGTTTGGAAGAGCGCACCTTAGGCCGAGGAGGCGGCTTAGGTGTGGCTGGTTCCTTTGGCGACTTCAGCTCTGCCCGTGCCAATCTGTATTCAGGCGCTCTGAACGCCCAGCCCATCCTGTGCGTCAACGTCTGGCAGCACCAATATATTCCCGACTACGGCGTCCTGGGCAAGCGTGCTTACTTGACCGCCTGGTGGGACCATATCGATTGGCAGATGGTCGAGCGCCGCCATTCCATGTACGAGACCGAGGGCGAGAGGTTTGCTCCCAACCGGAACTCGAGGCCCTATGCAAATGTCATGGATGCCGTGACTAGAGCCATGTAAGAAAATCCGAAAATTATGGAATCAATACTTGCTCGCTCGCACGATGTGAATTTGTGTCATGACCGAAAGGCATCAATCGCGGGATCTTTACAGTTTGCGGCACGAGCAGGATTGATTTATAATTTTTTTTGGAGAAAATTTACAGGACCTAGGACTCTGGGACCGGCAGCCTAAAAGAATTGTTCGGATCGTATTAGTACATTTTTGATACCACTGCAGTTTCCAGATATCTGCGTAGAGGTGTCTAGACAGGCGAACAAAGAGACCCCTATCAACTTGAACTTGGTGGCTCGCCTACTACCGGTGGAGTGTTAGGAATTCGCTTCACAGTAAAGTACTAGTAATTGTATGTTCTTGAAGTTTTTCTAGCTCGCTATCCTGCCGGGCCTGGTGTCCGGTGACTCCTCGGGTGGGTAGGTAGTCAGTCCAACCATGTCGCTCATGCCCAAAGGGTCGAATGCAGCAAGCAAAGCTGGGGTGCCTAGTGTTGACTTCCAGGCGAGCTGGTTCGAAACCCTGTAAGCACTTTGAATTGATTCTTACTGGACTGTCGGTATTCGCACGCGCCCCCTTTCTCCTGTCCGCATGCATACCAGATGCCCGGGGCATCATGAAGCCCAATCATGCCTGTTTCCATCATAGGACTCCGCCGCGTCCCCGTTCAGTCAGGCAGGTCCAGGTAATCGGCACTGGTCCTGGACCAGCATGCGAAGGGATGGTGTTGAGACACAGCCATTCAAGTTACTGCATGACGCAAGTCACCCAACGCGACTGTACGACGCGGCGGCGCGTATCGATCTGTCGAACATGGCATGTCGGGAATGGTGTCTGTGTATGATAGTGTTGCAGAGAGAGAGAAAGAGGTCCGGCCCTGTCCTTCAAATTCGCTCCAAGGGACTGGAATTATCGCTCTCCGACGTTCATCGCAACTCTGGAGCAGGTGGCGACGATGGGCAATGTCGATGACTCTGCAGAACCATGCCCGCTCAATCCCAATATCTAATGACACCGTCCAAGCCACCAGTTGCAACCTTGCTAGTTTCCTGCTGATGCCAGGCGACGCAAGTAACGGCGCCTTTTGACTCGCCGCCGGCCTGGATTTTATGCCACATTTTGCCCGTCTTCCAATCCCAGAAGCACACGAAACCGCCCGTGTCGCCACTGGAAATAATCCCGCCGTCCGGGCTGATGGCGACGTCGATCGCATACCCGCTTGTATTGTGGCCTCGGAACCCCTTTTTGCGGTTCTGCCGGAACTTGTCTCCGGCGGCATAGACGACGATCTGGTTGTCGGCGCTCTGGAAGGCAACATATTTACCCGATGGATGGGGCGCAGCGCGGACCAGTGCGTACATAGAAGGGTCGGCAACGAATTTAATCGGCACGGGGATTCCGTACTCCCACGCGCGCAAACTCTTGTCGTCCGATGTGGAGATGAACCGTCGCCCTTCGTCCACAAAGGTCAGAGTGTTGATCGGTCCGAGATGGTGGTCGTACTCTTGAGTCAGTTCGCCGCTTCGCGTGTCGAATTGCACAATCTTCTTGTCGCTCATGCCCGCGATGAACTCGTTGCCCTCCGGATGGAACCGGAGTGTATGTGGCGTCTTGCCAGTCGTGAAGCGGGAGATGACTTTGCCGGTCTCGGTGTCCCATAGCTTCATTTGGCGATCGTAAGACGCGGATAAGAATGAACGGCCTGTAGGATGAAAATCGGTGTCCGTGATGGCCTTGTTGTGGCCGGAAAAGGTGCGTAGGAGGGTCCTGTCGTGGTGGGCATCCCAAAGGGCCAGTTTGGCGTCCGCCGAAGACGACAGTAGCAGATGAGAAGAGCGGGGGATGAATCGTAACGAGGTGATCGGTTTCGTGTGGTATTTGTAGACGTGTATGAGCTTTTTGGGAACGAAGTTCTGCACCGAGCCGGGCTCTTTCCGCAGGTCAATGTCCAGGTCTTGAGGCACATGCATATACGTCCGGCCCTGGTAATCAAATTCGGATTCGCCGTGAAACTCGGTCGTTTCGGCCGTGTTGGAATCGCTGGAGTATGCGGTGGCTTCTTTCGGCGGTGGAGGCAGTGGCGGCGGCGCAATACCTTCCTCTACCCATTCTTCATCAGATGCCAGCTCTTGATCCGCGGCCGCCTCGAGTTCTTCGTAAGCCACATCGTCGGTCTGGTATTTCGCCCAAGGGCCCATGTATGCGCCTTCGCCGTCAACAATACTACTGTCGCCCTTCTTTTGTCTCTTGGCTCGTATGGCAGCACTCTCCCGTTTCGATGGCCGCAACTCAACGACATCTTTTCCCCCAAATTTTGCAACAGCACTTTGGTCGCCCACGAAACCACCATCTAGACTTGGGTCTCTGGTGTAACCCAGACTCTGGAACGTCCGATGTTGCGTCTTGAACGTCGCTTCAGACATGGCAGTCTCTTCGGCATTTCCAGTGAGCACATTCTTGCGCTTTAACACGTTTCCCGAAGCCGGTTTATACGGGTTGGCGGGGCCTTGCGAAGGCCGAGATAGATTGTCGTAGGTGACATTATAGCTGAGGGCGGTGCTGGTGGGATTTGCCAGCATTATCTGCGTCTGCGTGTGATCCTGAAACTTGTCAGTCTTGCCACCACGGTGTTCCAGGGATGTAGCCCGAACCTCTGTAGAGACATCTGGCGCCGTGTTGACGGGCTTCGCCAACGCGGGCGTGGGTTGGGCTGGGCTACTCTCATCATCACTTGACTCGTAGGCCGCCCCCAAAAGTCCAGACATTGTCAGGTCAATGGCGGGTGGTTGTGAAGGTCTTCGGGTGAAGTGCCTCCTCGAAAGGCTTTCCGCCAGACGTTGATTTCTTGCGCCGATGATGGCATTATTGAGCCTTTCGCGGTCTCAGTCGCGAAATAATTCCCGCGGCAAACCTTCCTTGTGCGGCTACAAACACTACCTTAACATGCCAGTGTTCGGCACCGTACCTACTCACTGCTGTGTACGCATTTACGAACTTGATATCACTTCAAGGGTAAAAAGCTCACAGGCTGGTGTGCAGGAGATCCTCTATATTCGAATGTTAATTACATACACTATAAGTCATTCTGACAAGGCAAATCCGTGCTATTAGAATGTACATTGGAGCCTGGGCTTGGAAAACTTGACAAGGCTGTGGCTGTGGCCCTGACGAGCCCACGAAGGCTACCACATCAAGGGAATTCTGTCATCACTGTGCTCAGTTCGGACAGATTTCTATACGCTATACGAAGACTTGCAACATCCTTCCCTCCATATTTTTTTCATTGCACAGAGGAAATCCACCACTAACAACGCGCCAAAGGCCTGCCTAACAGCATGACTTTGCACCACTTGTTGAAGATGTCCAAGCGGCCCATGCGCCGAAGTTGGCAACGCTTCCCTGAACCTGCTGCATGGTGAAAGGGCGACAGGCTAGTAAGCCACCGCCCATGATTCATAGTCGCTGAGTCTCATTCACTGTGTTCATTGTGGCATGATTCTTTGCAATGCTGCTTGTACCTTCTCCTCTGAAAGATGACTCTGCCATGGCACATCGCAGTTGGCCCGGACTAATTCCTCTGTACCATGTGTTGAATCCGCCCTATGCCATTCAGCGAGACAGTCGCGATCGATTATACTCATCTGCCCTCTCAAGGACGTCTTGTGTCTGTAGTAGCAACTTCTGATGTGGCAATCGAGATGATCCAACCGTCACTCAAGAGTAGCTTCCGTACAGCATTGCATTGGATGTATCGCCACGTAGTCAGTTGGATTCATCCCTAATGAGAGCAACAATCATGCTGTAGAGGTAGAAGAAGAACATGACCAAGTGGAAGCCGAGTTTGATAAAGGATTCCTGTGTGCCGGTTAGTTTCAAGAAACATGCGGGTATTATGAACATGTGAATATACCTTTTTGTGGACATTCAGCTTGCGGAAAATCTCCGTTGCGTCCAGCAAATGTTGGTTGTCGATGATCCTAGAAAACCGACTATCAGCCCTATGTTCCTACAAGCATAGATGCTCAAGGAAACCCACTTCTTTGCGTTGAAAGCCAAAAGAGGCAAGTTCAACAATATCGCCAGCCAGTATCCATTGATGAGAAACAAGAACGTCAGGAACGCGTGGACGGCAGCTTCGGGAACAATGTAGGTGTTGAGACGGTTGCAGAGGTCAATCGGGTTGATGTAGTCGCTATAACATGAACAGTCAGCGAGCGGCTCCGGTCAATTTCCATGCGAAACATCATAACTAACCATTCTAGATCGCTGTACATAATCGTGAAGAAGACCTGGAGGAAAAGATTGACCGCATTTATCAGAACGGCAAGCAGGTATAGCCACGCCTCGCCCGACATCTTGAAAGAGCTTGCCTCCGCAGGCAAGACTAGCAGAATCTGATGCTGTTGAGAAGGTCCAGATACAAAGGTCGGAAGCTGTGTGTGAGCAAAGCACAACTGGCGGAATCGCAGGAGGGGAAGCGGCTGGAACGTCAGAGGACAAGCGGAATGGGTGGCCCAGCGTTGTGAGAAATGTTTTCAGCGGCGCAGATAGAAGACAGGGCTGGAGCAGGTTCTGAAAAGCTACCAATGTGAAGACCAAGCAGTCCTTGTTGCGTTGGGTAGGAACGCTGAGGTGGCAGTACGGATGAAGGTCAAGATTGGGTGAAGAGACAAGGCAGACGAGCGGAAAGAATTGAGGTATGATGAGATCAATCGTGGGGATCGAAACTGTTGGCAGCTCTACCAATGATAGTGGCAGCACTACTGCCGCAGAACGCAGGTGGCAGGCCTGCACCACTGGAGCTTATCAACGTCACATGCTCATCGGAGGAATTGCTCCCGCCCGCAGCTCCCAAGGCTGCCCTCCAAAGGGGTACCGCCGCTACTACTATAAGGCATCTAAGTTACTCAGGCTGTCCATGTTAGATAACCACATAACACTGTCTATTATCTTTTCATTTGATTATTTATTCATCATTCAGACCCAACTCTGTGGGATCATCATCATCGTAGGCTCGTGTGCTCCTTTCTATAATAACGTCGACAAAAGCATCCAGAATCCGCTGACGAGAGCATTGCACCCAGGGTATCGCATGCCATCTGCAGTAAACAAAACCCCAACTCGAATACTTCGTCGCAGTGGCATCAAGCCCGAAGCTCGCATGAACATAATGAATGCGGCGACAATGGCCCCTAAGGCACATCGGCCTCCCATATACAGACTCTTCAAGCCAGTTGAAGCGCCGTAGACCGTCAAAACCGTCAAAAAAAATCCCATCAATTGAATTCCACTTCATGACTCCTCAGGAGGGGGCCGTAATCGCAAGCCTTCGGGGAACCTCAATGGATTGGTACACGGAGCATCGCATCCCAGTGTGAGATGGAACTTGCGAGACCTTTCGATGGTCCACAGTTGCTGTTGAAGTGCTGGATTGTGCCCGAACGATTCAAGTCCTCCACGCTGGTCGATCATGGTTCGTAGAGCATCTGCATGGAGACGGATCTCACTGCTCTGTCCAAAGTCTGCAGTATAGGCTAGCAGTAAAAGCACAGCTTGAATATTCGAGTCGCTGCTGGCATGACCAGGCATTCGTAATCGATTCCATAATATGTTGGTGCCTCGTCCAAGGTGTGACTGTGCCTCCACTTGGTCCTGCACTGTTTCAGGACTGGCTTGCAGCCTCCAACGCATCGCGTAAGAATAAGCGAGAAGTAAATGTTGAGCAGCCTCGTGCTCAAGTATGTAGGCGATAGCCGAATTGAATACGTCTCTAGATGATGAATGCTGGCAAAATGTCGAGCGATCTATAAGGCCAAAAAGTTAGTACCTTGAAAAAAAGTTCTCCCACTCAAATTTTATAAGGGTTCGTACACTCTCAACCGCTTCACCAAGAAGGACTTACAGAACTGTAATATAGATTCTTCATCAGAAATACCTGGCCCTGCGACAGGAGCCGTCCCAGAATTAGATATGGTTTCCGACAAGCTTGTTGATGTTTCTGATTCCTGCTCCGTCTGACCGCTGGATTCTCGGCTAGGAGGTTGAGGTCTCTCAGAACCAGATGGTGCTGGAGACCTGGATACTGAGCTGGCACTGCTGGTCGAGGAAGTCGCAGGAGTCACCTCGGTGTTCTGACTTGGGCGTCTGCCCCATTCGAGATATCGAGTCTGACTAGACCTTCGTAAGAGTCTTGATCTCGCATCTCGACGTTGCGCTGCTGAATGGTATGCAGTATGTCTTTGGATGGCACTCCTGACGTTAGGATCCTGGCTGTCGACAAACTCGATGAGATTGGGACGACGCGATGTAGAGCCACGTCTTTGACCGCTTTCGGTATTGCCGTCCTGAGAATTGCGTCGACTGGATGACATGTATAGCTGATTGGTGTTGTTGATTTGGTATAATATTCGGAGGGTTTAATAGAGACTGAAAATAAAAAGGAAGGAAGAATCTGTACGACGCAAAAATAACTCCCCTACCTCAGACGCCTTGAGGACACCGTAGCTGATTAGAGATGGGTATTCACGAGATGCGTCGCGAAAAACTGTCGAAAGACGTTTTCCTTCCGAGGTTCATTTGGAAAGAGGCTCAGCCTCAATGCCTGGGTCGGGAGAAGCGCACTGTAACAGAGAGTAACAGTAGAAGATCTTGGAAGATGGTTTGTTTAGGTGAGAGAAAAAGCGCATTCAAGAAGGGAGAAAATAGTTGTAAAAGATATCTTGCGCAAAAGGTAGGGTGAATATATTGGTTCTGGAAAACGCCGGAAAAAGGCTAGTTCTGTGCGGGCCTTTGTTCCGGCAGGGTGGAACGAGGCTGCGGTGCAATTAAACCCCAGGCCGATGCTTGCCACCGGTCGGTTTCGACAGGTGCTGGACGACTCGACCGGACGTTCTAGATCCCGTGATATGGGGAATGAGGAGCATTGAGAAGATGCTCCTCGGCAGCGTCAGGACGGTCACCGGACCTTGGCTAAGCTTTATAAGGCAATGAGGCTGTAGATAACGGCGGCAAGACGGCTGATCTGGTACCGTCCAGAAACACCGAACCGTCCACTCAGTGGCCATGCTTTGTGGCGATGCGGAATGCAACCCAGTCCAACGACCAGGACGAAGTGTTTCCGAGTCTGCTGGGAAGAAATTGGTCACGTGCAGCCTCCAGTAAGGGGACGACTATTCTCGAACTTTCTCGAAATAGACTAGCGTAGAAGAGCTTATCGCTTTTAAGCTATCTGGCGAAGATCGGTTATGCGACTGATTGGCTGGGGAACCCAAACAGCCGGCGTGGTACGTTACCCCCATTAGCCGGCTCCGAAGTGCCACGCCGCGTGAACCGTAAAGGCGAGAATCGTCCGGGTTTCAATGGACATGCTCCCTAGGTACAACCTACCAGGTAGCGACGGCACCTTGTTCCCCATGCACGCACGGCCTTTTCAATTGGAAGTTTCTCACACCAGTCTAGAATACCACCGGTTTTCCATGCTCGACGGCAGCGGGGTTTGATTTCTTCCACTAGGCTATTGTAAGAGCCTTCGCAAACCGTACTTTCCTGCTTGCTTCTCAAATTCGCGACCTCTTGGTTGTCCCTAACCTATCGGCGCTGACACATGCATACGCCGACACACGACGAGCATGGTAGCCTGGCCGAATGTTAGAGCGGTGGTTAGCCGAGCTTGCTGACGCCGTGCAGTGGGATGGGAAACCTGCTACGGCGATGCCAAACTGCAGACGCTGGCTGAACGGATATTTGGGATAAAAACACAATCTTGTGTACAATGTTGTATATATGCAAGGCTCTCTCGTGCTTTCATCAGGGGTCCAATCGCCCGTAGTGAACCGCTGGACCCTGCAGCCGCCGTAACATGAACACCTTGGTATGGATCAATAATGACAAGCTCTGCAACAGCCGGAAACATGTACATTGTAGGAGGTCCATAAATCACATAATATTACTGATTAATCCACCCCCTGTGAGCTGTGGACTGCACTCTTCACTGCGACGATGGGGTTGTGGATTACGAATTAAATCATCTGACAAGATTTGCAGTCCCATTTACCTTTGACACCCCACCTTCCAGATGTGCCAGAACTCCGTTCTCGTAAGGTCAGGTGACCCGATCGTGGCTGAACATGACGACCTAGAACGAGGCTGAGATCTTAGCTTGCTGATAGTGGCACTGGCCCAAAGCTTTTAGTATATATCTTTTAGTATCGGTATCCGAGTTTCTCGCAGAAAAACATATGGTTGAACCGCGATCACATGCTCGAGTGGCAAATCGTTCGTGCCGCGCAATATATGGCTTAATAATGAAATAACTGTGGGCGCTGAATTCAGCCCATCTCGGCCTGGGCTAATATGTTTCAGATTTGCCGCGGATGATTAAGCTCAAGCCTGATGAATTCTATTATTGATACAACGCAAGCAAATGCCAGAAACACTAGTAGTCTATCTTCTCTTTTTACCCTTTCCTGCTGTGGATTTCGGAGCGGGACCCCCTCTGCGGGCGGACCCTGATGCAGCGGCACTGCGTGTCTGAATGGTATAATCACCGCGTGGTGTTTCGGTCACATCGATTTGAACCCCTTCGTCGTAGTCACTGTCGTCGTCGTCGTCGTCGTCCTCTTCTTCCTCCGAGCCAGATGATACCAGGTACCGCATCACCTCGGGCGGCTCGTCGGGCAGAAAGAGTTCGTCTTGGGGCCGACGATATTGAGCAGCCTGGTTTGGCCGGATGTCTGGGGGCCCAGAAGCGACTCGCCGCTGAGGAGAGGCAAATCTAGGATCCGACGGATCGAAGCGTGGCGCTCTAGCTGTGCTGGACTGGTATGGAAGCTGGTCTAGCGGTACGTTCACCAGACTTGAGCTTGAGCGTGACCGCGGTTCCCAGTCGGGCTCGGAAGGATCAGGTCGCGATGCGCGAGAGGAATTCGAGCCAGGTCGGGCACTGTAGAGCGCATCTGGGGTGGAGGAATATCGGTGCGCATAATACGGTTGTTGGTAAAGAACCATTTGTGGCGCCTGTTGCTGCCGTAACGACGGAGTCGAACTCTGACGGGAGCCTTGTCTGGAGCCTTGCCTAGAGGACTCGGCTTGACGTGATCCAGACACAGGGTAGCCTACATAAGGAGCTCGTCGTCCGTAGTCTGAATCTGTCGTAGGTAGCGCATAGGAAGCCACCGCATCGTCCCGGATGGAAGCATTGGTAACAGCGCTCTTGCCACGACCTCGGCTGTCGACTGCTTTTCCCTTTGGCGAATTGCTAGCAGACTTGTCATTCCTGACAGGTTTCTTGCGAACCTCAACAGGCTTGCGTTTGATTGGTGCTTCCTTCTTGCCCCTAGGGGCAGCCTTTGGTGCTGCAGAAGGACGTGGAGGGTGCTGATTCCGCTCTAATCGTTCCAAAGCATCAATCTCAGCTCGACTCAACTTGACGTTGGGCTTACCCAGAGCCCGTGCACGCGCAATCCGTTCAAGAGCCCTCTCAACGAGCATTTCCTCCTTCTCCCGATACATTACTTGCACGTCTGGTCGGCGAATGAGACCAGAGGGCGTGCCATACTCGTCTTCGTCATCTGAAGGAGTGAGCTCATCGTCGTAAACATCACCTGAACGCCTTTGGCGGATTCCACCGCCGCCCAAATCAATACCAGTAAATCGAAGCTCATCAGAAACAAATCTTTGCTGGCCATAGTCTTGACCCAGCCCAACACCTGGTACTGTGTCATCCTCAGTGTCAAGCTCCTCCACACGATCCTCATACTCCCACGACCGTTGGACTCCCCAAGGTCTGTTGTTCTTCCTCCCCGGTCGTCCCCCTGGTGGTCTTCCCCAAGGGGGCATATCGTAAGGAGTTCGCGGCCGACCACCTAAACCGCCTCCTCGGAAAAAGCATTCTCAATAGGTCTGTCCATGAGAGAAGCATGGCCTAGAATGGTGACACCGGACGCACCAATGAGCCAGAGAAATGTCGAAATAGGTGAAGAGATGAAAGCGACAGGAATCGCAATGCATGCCAGACCGGTGTAAAGTTGGGACGTGGTGGCACGGAAAGTACCAATCTCTAGATCACCGCCTCCTAGCTTGCCGATGGTCCACATGCCTCCAGCGACAAGAATGATGTCGAAAAGCAGCCATAGATTGGTCAGCAAGCTGTAGATGCTAAGCATGACAAAGACAACGGCATAGTTGCTTGAGAAATAACTCAGGTTGTAGTTGACTCTGCTCTGAACTTCGCCGAAGTCGTGCGGCTTGGACAGTCTCTTCAGATCCAGGAACTCCGAGATTGGACGAATGTTGGCAAAGCGCGACGAGATGGACTGCGATCGGACGCTGTTGAAACGATCGGATAAATTGAAGCGGGACGTCAACGCGTCGAGAGGAATGCTGATGCGTGCCATGGTTCTTGACAGTGAGATCCAAGCGTGTACTTGTTTTTTGAAACGTGGCTTTGGGAAGGAATTGGCTCAGCTTGAATATCGTCAGTAATCAACAGGAAAGACGGCAACGCGGCCACCCGCTGCTGTAGCACCTACAAGTATTTTGTTTCGACGCGTTGAACGAGTGGTTGAAGAAACGCAAGGCGGTGGATGCGTAAGATTGGAAGTGAGTGACTGAGAAATAGGGAACAAAGGAGCTGAAGGAGACGATTAGGCGACGGCTTTAGGGCTTGACGAAGGTTTTCTCCTTTGTTGACTTGGGGGGTGGAGGACGTCGGGTCGAAAATTCGAGGGGGGAGAATAGTGTTTGCCTGCGCCCTGCAACTGCAGCAGTTGAGCTGAGGTCTCCGGTGTCCTCCCCCTGTGCCACTGCCACTGCCAGTGGCAGCGTAATAATCTGTCAGCGCGCTGCCCCCGGTTTGATTTCTCGCTTCAAGTCTCGCTTCTCAGCCACAACCCAAAATTGGCTACACTGCTAGTAGTGGAGAAGGTGTCTAGACACGCTGGTCTTGAGAGAAGCAGTTGAATAGCGACACTCAGCAAGAGATCCCAATCCTCTTGCGCCAGGATCAAGGTGCTGTGACTGCCATCCCCTGTTCCAGCGAGCAACCCTGAAGTCTACTGAAAGAAGAGGAGAATAAGTCACTGCCCGCGGGGCGAGGAGCAACGGTCCGATATTTATTATTCAAGTCCCTACGCTTCACTTCTTGGATGGTCCAGTTAAGTAGGCTACTGCACGTCTCTTCTGCCGTCTCGAGGTCTTCTCGATCATTGGGCCACGTTTTGGGCCGCCATCCACAACCTTTTCGAATTAATTCCCTGCTTCGTCCTTCCACAGTCTACCGACTGCACCTCTCTCGGATCGCCGCCATAACGTCTTCGTCACTGGGGGGAAAGCGGTGAAGAATGAGGCGGCGAATCCTATACCTTCTAGTGCTTTGCACCCTTCTTGCGTTTGTCGCAGCCTGGACGAAGGAGGACTACGAGATCTTCAAGTTGAAAGATGAGGTAGAAGAATCCGAAGGAGAGGGGGTGAACTTTTACGATTTCTTGGGGGTGAAGCCTTCCGCGACGGTAGAAGACATTGGCAAAGCCTTTCGCAAAAAGTCCCGCGCTCTCCATCCCGACAAGGCCAAGCATTCCTTCATCGCCTCGCGGTCGACACCGAAGCCCAAGAAGCCTGGCGAGAAGAGGAAGACTGGTGTACATGTCTCCAAAGGCCCTTCCGAGCGGGAAATACAGCGCTTCCTGAAGCAAGCAGGGGAAAGATACAGCCGGTTGGGTGTGGTAGCCAACATCTTGAAAGGTCCACAACGAGAAAGATATGACTTCTTCTTACATCATGGTTTCCCAACATGGCGAGGGACGGGCTACTACTACTCAAGATACAGACCTGGCTTTGGCACGGTCCTGGTCGGCCTATTTTTGGTGTTCGGCGGAGGAGCCCATTACCTGGCGTTGATTACATCGTATAAAAGACAACGAGAATTCATGGAGAGGTATATCAAGCATGCAAGAAAGACTGCCTGGGGTGATGAGTCTGGTATCAGTGGCATCGCCGGGCTTGGTGGAACTGTTGATGTGCCTCCGGTGACCGAGGAACCTGATCCAATGGCCAACTTGAACCGGCGGCAAAAGAGAGAGTTGGAACGACAAAACAAAAAGGACAAATCGAGCAAGACCAAATCAGCAAAGGCGGCTCCCGTTCAAGTGTCCTCGCCGTCCGGCGACAAGAAGCGCGTGGTTGCGGAGAACGGAAAAGTGCTGGTTGTGGACTCGGTGGGTAACGTGTTTCTGGAAGAAGAGGACGAAGAGGGAAATGTGCAAGAGTTCCTTTTGGATTTGGACGAAATACCACGGCCGACAATCTGGGACACAGCAGTCGTACGCCTACCGTCATGGCTTTATCACAAAGCCTTCGACCGATTTCTCAAGAAGTCAGGGCCTGCGCCGGTCGATGTTGCCTCCGTCGAAAGTGACAGAGAGCCCAGCACATCTTCAATCGCTGCTACTGAAGAGAAAGCGGCGTCTTCAGAGGGTAACTCAAGCCAGGAACAAGACTCTGGATTTGAGATCGTCGACTCATCAGGAATTGAGCAAGAGATTGCTAAAGCGTCTGCTGTGGCCGGCATGAAGAAAAGGGGCAAGAAGGGGAAGAAATGAACTACAATAGAACCAGGAGGAGGCCCTCCGTCTGAGCCTACATGCATATGACTTGGGCCGTCTACCAAGTTAACGTGGCCTAGATCCGACAGAATAAGCTTTGAATCAAGGAGTTAAACAGCTACACTCGCATCTTTTACTCTCAAATCCCAAAAAGTGTAACTGGTTTTGTACTGTAAGTGCTCAGCAATTCGCCTGCTAAAGGTTGAGACCTGTTTTGTGCAAGGAAAGTTGCAAGGAAGTCAGAGGCTACCGAGGCAGTAGTAGTAAACAACGCGCCCGTCTTGCAAAGTCGTTGTTCCAGAGCTTTCTCGTCTGGTTATCACATAAATTTCTGGGCAATGCCCACCAAAGAGGAAATACTCTCTCCCACACCACCACCCATTCCGGGCAGAGAAGTACCACCCGAAAAATCACGGGCGCCGCCACGGGCATAAAATCTCTCTGATTCCTGCCGATATCCGCGGCCTCCTGCCAGATTCTCCAGCCCACGAGGCAGCCTTACGCCAAACTGGGCAAGCAACTTGGTCAACGCACCGCCAGTGATCAAGGGCATAATGACAAGCAGAAACACCTTGACCGGATGTCGGCGCATGTACGAGTATATCTCGCGCAAGAACCGACGAATGCGGTTGATGAAGCCCGACCGGGGCCGGGGGCGGGCGTGGCCTCGAGAAGAACCGCCGCCGAAAGAGAAGAAGGAGGATGCGCTTCGCGAGTACGCCGGCCGGGAAGCAAAGTAGTATGTTTTTCGTGATGGACTGCGGCTGCGACTGCGGCTGCGGTCCCGGATACCGTCGTTCCAGAAGCCCATGTCTGAAGGAAGAGGGAGGGACGAGCAGTGTAGAATGAAGATGATTCCGTCACACAGATATATAAACAGAGGGTGTGGGGGGAGAGGATGTGGACAGTCCCCCGTCGTGCACGGTCGTGGAGATTATCGTCGAAAGACAGCAAAGGCAGGACTCGGTGCGGCAGGTCGCACAGTGGGTGGTTGAGGGTTGGTCTGGGTCTCTCAATGATGAGATCCTCGAACAAAATGCGTCAGAAACACGACGATAACCCCGAGCTGATTGAGATGATGTGTTTGTCCGCCCGTCAGCGGTGTCGAGATCTCTTTCAGATGCGCAGCGGAGGTGCCGTTCAATTTGGCTCGGCTTATGAGCGACTTGCAGGTTCGGTCATCCACCACTGGCTGGCATGATACAGGGTCGTCTAGAAATCTCAAGCCAGCAGTGTTCCTTGTGGAAGAAAAAGGTGCAGCGACTTGTCTTCTTCCTGACCTACCACAAGCACTCCGCAGAATGGGTTGAGCATTGGCGTGGTTCTCGCAGACCGCTCTATGGGCAATGTTGGTGGCTGGAAGCACTGCAACTTTCCAGGGTCTAGACAACGAACCACTGCAGGCTGACAACCCCTGTCGCTTCCTGCCGGCAGAATAGGCTACCATTGGCTGCAGGCCGCGGGCTCGCCATGATAGTACTAGCCGTTGGATTTGGCGCTATCTTTGCACTAGTACTTAAAGAAGCGCTACTAATATCGAGACGCAAAGATTCATTGGCCGGCGTGGAAACCGCCACTGTGGCTTGAACAGGCGCCCGATCCTCGTCGACGTCATTCATCGTCGGTCCCCTTTGAAGTTCTGACTGCCACCATCTTCAAGACGCCAGTCTCCAGGCTGCGAGTATAGCGGCCATCAGGTTCCTTCTTCGCACCAGGAGCGTCTACAATCCAGGAGGTTATTGTTCCAAAAGTGCATCTCACAAACCTATACCCTAGAGAGCAGGCGATCGCTCAGACATTGCGCTGGAGAATCCATACCTGATTCAACATTTCAGTGCATCACCATTGATATCGACTTCACTCGGCCGGGCTGCCACGATTTCCTCTACTACCGGTTGAAGAAAGTTTACCTGATTACCTCTCTTTCTTGTTCTTACGAAACTCCACCACTAAGTCCCTCGTGTGTTCCCATCGACTCGAATCTCGCCTCCAGTCCGTCTGAACAAGTTTTGTCAGCCAATTGAGGCTGATCAAGTTTCTCAAAAATGTCCGAACTTCCAGATTACTGTAAGCCAGACCTAGGAGTTTGATCCACTTCTCTTCCTTGTGTCCTGCTTTGCCAGGCCCTTCCCAATAAGCGACTGCCTTTCTAACCCTTTTGTACAACCCAGATGCGATCCTCGAAGTATCACCGACAGGGTCTGCCGACGACATCAAGCGCGCATACAAGAAAGCGGCGTTGAAATGGCATCCAGATCGCGTGCCGACGGACTCGCCCGAACGGCCCAAGCGGACCAAGATGTTCCAACGGATCAACGACGCATACTACGTGCTCAGCGACACGACGAGGCGGAAAGACTACGACGAGGCGCGCAAGTTCCACGGCACCAGTTTCGATAATTTTGACTACGACGACGAAGGTGAAGAAACGGCCGAAGAAGAGATTCCTCGCACCAACAACAAACCGTCTGGAGGCTTCGCCTCGTGGGCAAACATGTTTGGCTTCGGCAAGTCCGGCGCGACACAAGACAACAAGGATAGCCAAGAATCCCGGTTCGCCAATGACCAGTTCGGCTCGGTGTTTGAGGAAATGATGGGCGAAGATGGCATGGCCGCCGAAGAAGATGGCAAGAAGGTGCCCACGAAACGCTTCTGGAGTGTTGCTGGTGGTATTGCCGGCGCCGTGATAGGATTCATCATGGCCGATGTCGTCGGTGCCATCCCTGGCGCCATGGCGGGTGCAAAGGCTGGTGCTATCAGAGATGCGAAGGGCAAGTCTGTGTATGCTGTCTTTCAATCGCTCGAGCAAGACCAGAAGGCGAGGATTCTGAGCGAGCTGGCTGCGAAGTTATTCAGTGGGGCCATCAGCTAGTTGATGCGTCATGGAGGTGGTGTCTTTAAAAGGGGATCTCCTTGGTTGTGGTGTGGTTTGGACCGCTTCAGCGAACTTTTGATGGGATCAGAATTGAAAAATCAGAAGTATATGTGCCTACAGGAAACAAGGGAGGATGGCCGAGATAACTTGAGATGCGAGGGCGTGTGGCGTATGTTTTTTTTTGGCATTCTTCTCTTTCGTGATGGCATTGGAAGCCGACGGTATAGCGTAGGTATGGTATACTGGAGCGAAATGCATATTATCATTATAGATTGCTATCTGTCGTCCAGAACCTTGATACCTTGTGTTCAAGATCTATTCAATGTAGCCTTCCGGAGAACCCGTACCGTTGTCCTGTCCACTTTGCAAGGTAGTGTTAACATTGTATTTATATCAATGTACACATCGCAACAAGGAACCCATTCCAGTTCTACAATGTCGCAGATCACAGTCAACAGCTCCTTTGTGCAGAGGGGTCCGAAGCAATAATAACATACTCCATCAATCGAGCACTGCAACGCCACTGCATTATTCGCTTTTCCCCAAGATTTCAGTGCCCGGCTCCGATCGTGGACCAAAGACTCCAAGAAATACATGCACACATGCACGCACACGATCCGCATCTAGCTGGCGACTTTCTAGACGGCAGACGAGGATTCCATGGGTCGTCCATCCGTCAAAGGCTCCTATTCAACGCCATTTTTCATGTATTATATGACCTCCATCCATCGAACGCCATCGTGGCTCATCCCCTTCTGTCAAGAAGTATACAAGCCGGAAAACCAAAATTCCAAAAAGCCCACTCCACGGGGAGACAGAAGTCAAGATTTATAGGTCAGGAGTGCCTCTTCTAAAGTCTGAACCCGCCAAACTTCCATCTGCTCTCTGTACGAACCAGACTGAGGTCGACGTTGGGGCCGGCACCGTTGGTCATGGCCGTACCGCGGTAACCGCGAGACGCATCATCATCCACGCTCGAGTTTTGGTTCGGCCCAGCAGAGTCGGAGGTGATAGGAGCACCTGGCCCATCGTGGGCCCCATTAAGACCGGCGGCGGCCTTTTCCAGCTGAGCTTCCCTCCAGCCCTGGGGGATATGGTTCTTTGTCCTCACACTGGGCAAGAGATCTAGCAGGAACGAGAGGACATAGAATGTAAAGATGAGGGCGACCAGCCATTCAAAGATGGCCGCGATATTCTGGTGTTTGGTAAAGGTGGTGCTGGCGAAGACAATGGCCATGGCGACTTCGATGAGGATGAAAAATAACTTGACGTAAAAAGAGATCCGAAGGATACGGTGGTGTCGGTAGTGGATGCCGAGACGCTGGTACTCGGCGCACAGGAAGACGGCGGACAAGACATAGCCGCCGATGAAGAGCAGCAGGAACCCGTCATGCAGTTTGGGGTGGTGGTAGGTGTCGAAGATGCTCAGCAGAATCAACCCGGCGGACCCGGCAACTGCGAAAACGATGGCGATGCTCGACAGCACCTTTTGGGCAGTGGATGTGTTGGGCACCAGTCGACCCGTGTGTCGGAGCCAGCGCTCGGCCATGAAGCCCAAGTCCAGAGATACCGTCGTGATCACGCATCCGGTGATGAAGAGCGGTTTGAGCCCAAACGCGCCAACGTCACTGATGTACGCTATTCGTTGGCCCTTCTCCATGGACGGGTAGTGCGGGTGTCCAATCACTTCCCAGTGGATGAACATGGCAAGCAGCATGGCAAGCCACCTGGACACCAGGCTTCATGTTAGTGGCTTGGAAAGGGGGGTGCTGAGGCCCGGAGAATGATGTTGATACGTACATGCATGCTGAGACAATGGGGAAAAGCCAGCTCCCTAAATACCACATGTTGAATGACCTGAAGTTTCGCGCAGTGTCAAAACAGCGTCACCGACTCCGTCCGCCAGGTAGGATAAGTCGTCGAGAGTTCAGGTTTGTAGTTGTTGGTGTGCTGTCAAGCGTGGTGGAAGTTTCAAGATGTCGGGTGGTAGGGTTGGTGTTGTAAGGGATCGTGTAGCGTGCCGGTGTTCCTGGGAAGGAGTCGCAACAAGTTGGGTGTTGGCAACGAGTAGAGACCCAACGAGAGACAAGAGGGATTAGGGAATACAGATGGAAGTCGGCGAGACGTTGTTCAAGGAAACCCGGGCGACAGCACAATTAGTAGAACCGAAGTGTTGAATTATGGTGGAAATCTCGAAGCGGCGTTGGACTGCAGCGAGGTTGAGTGAATAACTACATCATCCAGCCGGGGTTCGAGGCTGAGCCACTGGCAGTGGATCTCAAACGTCGCAATTGGCAATGTTTGGAATGGCTTTCGAGGAGGTATCAGATCCGACTAGTCTTGCTTTGGCAGGTACTACAGGTCATGAATTGAACGAGAAGCAAAAACTCAGACATGAAAACTGTCGGGATCATGGCATTGGTAAGAACGGCAAATACAATGAAGTACATTTTATTGATTGCACTGGCAGGGCCTTGAATTTCTACGGAGATACCCATGCGTGTTTGGTTCACATTTCCGTCTTCAGCATGAGAAACACCTTCAAAATGTTCGGTTATCTGCTCCGGCGGTCTTCGCGAAAACAATTGCATAGTCAAGATCTACAGCGGTATGGTCGGGTTTTGTTCCGATTCATTATGTTGACTGCTTGAACTTGAAATGATCGTACAACACAGCAACGTGACGAGCACATGAGGCACAACTGAAGGTCCTGGGTTATGCAAAAGTCGCCTGGAGCCGGATGCCACATGCAACTTGAACTGTAACCGTGCATACGTCACAGTCCGCGCAACCAGGTCAAAGTGTTTGCATACCGTGGGCACTGAACCAATAATGATCTGGTTCCTTCCAGTAATAGTGTGGTTTCTCTTCACCCAGCCACAACGTACTACTAGTACTAATCACTAGTAGCCGCACGATCCCGCGTCGCTAGTACAGCAAAGTACTAGTGTCGCTCTATCTCTCGGAGGTGACGACATGATTCACAGCACTCAGATTATGGCTTCGGGACCTGGAATTGGCTTTCGGAGACATCACGGCTACAAAGTGTACGTAAACTCGGATTATTGTTCACCAGGTACCTTTTCAAGACGTACAACTTCGAGGCTGCACTGCCTATCCATGCTTCCATTCACAGCTGATTCGCTTATTGCAGTCCAGCTAAACTTGACAGCTTGTTGGAACCGGACGTTCGCTGTTAAACATCCCACTGCAGCTGCTATTTTGTTGGTGGCCAACTCATTCAGGGACATCCTCCAAGGCTCCCCATCAGCGCAATATCGTGTCAGCAGCCTGGAGCGCGGAGCAAATCGACCATGTGCCTCCGTCACATTCACTCATAAGGTGGTACATCGCCCAAGAACCCGGTTCGATATCGTATTTCTTGCTTGACTGGTGTGGATGGGAAGAAAGAAAACGGAAAGTCCGCCTGAACCTCGCACAGTACTGTCCACCTCGCATAGTGGGCCAGGAAAATCGAGCAATCTTCCGAAGAACTCAACCTTGTGATTTCGTGAACGTACCATTCTGACAAATGCCAGGATGGCCGGTATTCGAAACAGGCAATGTCTAGAATCATATCATGCAGAGGATTGAGAGGACCCCCCATGAGCTTAGCTGACAGAATTGCAGCAACGACGCTTGGTGCCAGAAAGACGGTCCCTTTGCGCAGCCTGGCCAGGTCGAGTATCTGATCCAGAGCTGCCGTCTTAGCGGCATCGTTCAGCTCGAACTTCTCAGCTTGGAGGGTAAAGTTCATTAATCGGCGTATGGTCCTGTTAAACTGGTCCAGTTCCTCAGTGGCACCAGCTTCTGGTTCGGGTAGGCGTGCTTGATACAGCCAGAAAAGGATCGTGTTGAATCCCTCACTATTCGTCGTGTCGTCCAAGACCAACCGCTGTGGTGCCGGAGGCGTGTCGACCAAGAACAACCGCTGTGCTGCCGGTTGCGGGTGGTCTGCCAGTTGTCGGGTAAGATATGGTGAGCCGTCCACAAGTACTTGCCTGTGAACGTGCCAGATCCGCTCCTCTCCCCGAATCCGAACCTGCACAGTGTCGTCTTCAAGGAAACTATGATTGTAGGTCAGCATGATACCTTGAAGTACTCGTATACTTACTTAGCGAATTGCTCGACTGCAGACATATCTCCAGCTGTGTTAATAAGTAGTAGGTGGGATATCTTCAAAGGAGACCCGAATCAAGAATGTATTAGGGTGATTCCACTTGGAGTTCTTCGCTGTCCTGAACGAATTCTGGCGGGAGTTGAGATTTGGGACCTGATGAGCCTTATTAAATATGGCAGGGTAACCTTCATCCGTTGCTCAGTGTTCACGCAAAGGCCAGCCCCTGTTGACATCGAAAACGATGACTGCGGCAGAACGGCCCTCAACGTTTGCTCAACAGGACACTCTGCACACGGGCACGTTGGTCGCTGTCAACGCCGATACTGTCCAGGTACTTTGCAAGGCCGCCGTATCCAGAATGGATGTGTTCTATAACTCTCTGACAGAACTCTGATGGACAACCGGCGAAAGTCTCGTCCAACCCTATACTGGCAATCTCTTCCATTCTCGCCTGTTTCTCTGGCTCCAATTCCGGCTCAGATTGGACATAGTCTCGGCTGATTGCTCCAACATCAACATCGCATAGAAGGAGAACCAGGAGGACAATTAAGCCTGTCCTGTCTTTGCCTTGGGTACAATGCACAAGGACTGGCCAGCATGCAGGATCGGACAGAACATTGAATACTTCTTTGATCTCCGGCCCGCTGTGGTCCAGGGTGTCTATTCCAAGGCCAATCAGTCCCCGAGGAAGCATGAGTTCTCTTCCTATAACAGAGATACCCTCGGTCCGATAGCCTAGAGCCATGAGGAAGACAAGCTTAGCCAGACTCGTATACTTTAGTTGCCATATCAAGTGCCGTTCGAAACCCTTGCCGCTGAGATTGATCCTTGCATAATCTATGTCTGGAATCTCAATCTCGCCCGCAGCCGCGGCGTTAGGCGAGGGGATGGCGGCCGACTGCGTGGTAGGCGAAACAGCTGTTCTCTTTTTGGCGGCATTGATGTGTTCTGTCTCAGAACGAAGGTCAATGATGGTTTTAATTTTGTACTCGTCCACGAGCCTTTTGCGATCTCGTATGCTGGCCTCGTCAGGTCGGGCGCTTCTGAAGAAGAGACCAGTGTTCAGGACCACTGAGCCAACGATGGCGTTGATATGAGCTCCCACATCACGAAAATTGAGTATATTCTCGAACTCAGTGTGGCTTGGAGAGCTTCTGCCCCCAAGTGCCATGCTATCAAAGCCAAAGATCCGACTTGATGTAGTTCTCCACTCTTGGATGTAAGAAAGTCAGTAAACAGTCAATGCAAGATCCGCTGCATTCCCGGTCCTCCAAGTTGTGGATAGTTGGCAGAAGCTGGGGTGCGAAGGAGGTGCTGCTTAATCCTGTTTCGCGGCTACACAAGGTCAGGAAGGTCGGAAACCATGAGCACAGCACCGTTTTCCCGTGTTAGAGCACAGGTGATGCACACTGCAGCAGCGCATAAATCCCCTGCTGTGAGGTCTGCCTGTGCTGAGATCTCAGGTCAAAGAGGATAAACAACAATGATGACGATCGACGACTGATGGACAGCAGGGTGGATACAGGCACATCAGTGCAGTGCTGCGACCGACCTAGTACCTGGTAGTAGGGACCTAGGGAGCTCTCTGCCTGACCAACGCAATTATTTTCATTTTGGTGAGGAATTTTCGCATCCTACATAGCATCTGCTGAGCTTTTAGTCTGACGTCGAGAATTTTCGGCCCGGAGTAACTGGGCTCTGAATCGGCACTGACTATCTATACCTACCTACCTACCTGCGCCTTGCAATTGTACGACAACGACTAGTACTTGCGGTGCAATAATGTAGAAAGAACGGGAGCCACCAGCCACTGCGATTCTGGGTGAGCAGTTCAAGTTAGTCCCGTGCTGGGGTCTGAGCTCCCATGGGGCCCTCAGGCCTGAGCAGCCCGGAAGACGGGCTCCCATAGGCTCGTACAGGCTGCCACAGGCAATTAAACACAAGCTAGGGCGGCTATGGAGGCTGCTCTGTTCGGCATCTCCAGACTAGCAACTTATGGCAGAACTGCAGTGCATTGTCTGCTCCGGGGCCATGACGTCGGTGGTCGATGACACCCTCATCATTAAACGTGATGCCAGTGCAGACCAACAGCCGCCGCGCTGCGTCGACGACAATCTCTCGTTCTCCTACTGTCCTTGCTAACAAACACCTTTGCAATTGTGAATCAAATACACACTGCTGTCGCTGTTCATCCAAGTCGATGTCACGGAAGAACTGTTGTTGACGGAGACTTCGTTACCACCCTCTAAGCACATTCCTGTTCCCCAAAGCTCGCTTGGCACGAGCCAAGATGCCAGCGCTCACTGCGACTTCGCGCAGTACGCAGACCTCTTCCGACAGACTGGAGGACCAAGGTGAGTTGCAAATTCAGAACAATCGCGATGGATGATGTTGACAGTTATCAGCGGCCTCTGCAGCTTTATACAGAGACCACGAGACGCCCTCCAAGCAAAGCAGCGCATCCGTTCTTGATGAGGACGGCCGTCTCTCATCTGCAAGTCTGTCTACCCCGCGGCGTGATCCTCTGAATCAAAAGTTAACCAATCCACCAGGTGCCGCACAATCTTTGAGATATGCTCGAGCCCAAGAACTGCCTTCATTTCCTTCGACTGGAGGAGTCAAATTAGCCTCAGCCGGGGCCGCCGCAAGTCTTGCTGATTCGAATAAGAAACAATTCGAGCACTGGACTCCTGGAACGATACCGGCTGCAAATCAAGCAGCATCCAAGGCAAAAGACTATGAGATGGATCCGGCCTGGAAGCCAGAACTAAGTCAGGCGGGTTCTCAGGCCGCCATGGTCGCACACAAAGATACTGCACCAGTGGACATCTGGCAAGCTCCAGAGACGGACCAGGGCGCGTCTGCTGCCTCTTCTGCACTTCAAAACAAGAAGTCTCCCCCGGCGATCACAAACAGAGAAGTCTCGACTGACAATCGACAAAAGGCGCTTCTGGCAGCCACTATGTCAATGTCAAGAGGTAGACGTCGCGCCGAATCAGCTCCTATAAAACCGGCACAGCCTCCACCACAGGCAAGTAGCTCCGGGTGGGCATTAAAGGCAGCAGAATCCTCACATCAAAGGAAACCTTCTGATGCTTCGACACGGTTGACCCCGGAAACATCCGGCGTTGATGCAGCTAGAGTGCAAAACCTGGCTAAGCATAATGTCGACCGCCAGATGTATACGGCCAATCCGCCCGTCGCAATCGAAGTCGAAGAAAAGAACAGACAAGATACGCTCCGAGCATCCGCGATAGCCATGGCCCGCAAGATGTACGCCATTCAACAAGCTCAAATCGACGAGGCGAAAGGAGTCCGGCGATCAGATAGCCACTATGCAGCCAACAGTGCTCGGAGACGCGCACAATCGGACGCGGCTAACCTAGCAGCAACACCTGACGAGCCGGCACCCAGATATGAGAATCTGGAAGAGGCCGCTCGAAGGTTGGCGCATGAACGCCTATCGAAACTTCACGACGAGCATGCCGAGTATCGACAGTACTATGGACAGCAAACGCCTCCGCCACGATCTAGGCTCAGTCTACGGCGTGGTCGGCGGTCGTCGAGCCTTCGGGAGGACAGTGACTCGGACGAAGAGCAATCCCGACGCATCCGAGCCCAGATGTCATTGTTCCAGGGGAAGTTGGCGGATGTGGATAACAAGAAGCGGCAAGCCGACAGGGATGCATTGTTGGCCATCGCGCATAAGAATGTTACCGCTCGCATGAACGCAATTGATGAGCAAGTGTTCTCGGAGACCGGAAAGGTCACACCACAACAACGGGAGATATGGGAACGCCAAGCACGAGAACGCGCTCAACGAGAAAGCGACGAAAGACTGATGCACGCAGGGAAAGTCCATATAGGAGGTGGAAAATACCTTGAGCAGTCCGAAATCGAAGAGATTGCAAAGGCCAGGTTACAGCCTACATTGGATGAGATCACAGAAAAGGCCGAGCAACAACGGGCAAGAGATGAAGAGATCAGATTGGAACAGGAACGACTCAAGGCCGAACAGGCGACCGAAAAACAACGACAAGCAGAGACCAAAGCCGAGCTAAAGGCAGCAGCTGGTAAGTTTGGCAATTGACAGAACGGTGGTTTCTCAGCCAGCTAACCTAATTCTAGAACGGGAGAAGGCTGAGGCCAGGGCTCGCAAAGAAGAAGAAAAACGAGCCCAACAAGAACAGAAAAATGCCGAAAAGGAACGACAAAAAGCCGAAAAAGACGAGAAGAGACAGTCAGCAGGGACGAAGCCTCGTCTGCTACCAAGTTTCCTCTCAAAGGGGCAGACCGGAACTGGCGTGGCAGACGCCACTGCGGAGCCTGCCGGCCACAGTGTCCATGATAAGGTTACAGTGGATGCTGGCGAAGGCCCTCACGATATCGTAGCTCACGAGCAGGCATCGGCCACGACACAAAAGGAAATCGAAGAGGGTTCTGTCCCAGTGTACACGAATCTGGGAGCTAAGGAGGATGGCTCTAACCCATTACCCTCTGGCCCCGATCATCCCGAGGAGCCTACTGCCCCGACGTCACCATCCAAGCGAGATTCAAGAGTGAAATCGTGGTTCAAGAAAATCCGGGGCGGAAGCAGATCAGACAATGAACTAAACGACAAACCCGAAGGGACGCAGACAGAGACACAACACCAGCACGTTACAATCACCAGTACTGATGACGCTGCCGAACCAACAGCCAAGGTTAGTGAGGAAAAGGAGGAAGGAGAAGGAGGCAAAGACATGCCACGGTCCGACTCAATGCGTGATGTTGCCCTGGCTGGTCGGAACGACAATGAATCTGATGATATGTATGGGGCGCCATCCCACACCGACGGCCGGGTGTCTCCACTTGTTGAAAATGAAACAAACACAACGGCTGCCCCCGCCACTGGCATGAAGACTGGACCTGGTCCGGCGCTAGAAGCCGTGGAGAGTCTTGCAGAGAAGAAGTCGGCCTCGATCAGCTCGCTATCCGGCTCTTCCCATCTCAGCCAAGAGCCGCATGAGATTGTCGCCGACGTCGCTTCGTCGAGATACTCGACCGATCTGCCGGCTAGCTCGAAGGAGGAGTCGGGTGTTGTGGAGCCGCCGGCCGCGCCACTTTCCGACACGGACGAATCTGAGCATCGAGGCAGAAAAGGATTCGCCGAGAGGTTCCTGAGTAAAGTGCTGCCTGGAAGTCTTGTTCCTGGTCTCAGTCACAAGGAGGACGACGCAGCTGGCACCACGACCGGGTCCAAGGAAGACGCACACGCTGAGGCCTCCCACAAACAGGAAGAAGCTGGACACCATGCGAATCCAGAGCCCGAGATTCTAGAAGAGACAGAACCGCTCCGCGAGAAATTGGATGATCCCTCGACTTTGGCATCGACCTCAGCCAACAAGGACGACGAGGAAGATGATGATTTCGAAGAGGCTCGCGATACGTTTGACGAGCAGCGTCTTGGCTCGTTGAACAGTAACAATGCCAAGCCGAGCGCGAGTCCTGCCGGAAGCCGCAGTAGCAATGCCACTGGAACGACTGGAGGAAGGGAAGGAAGTCGCTTTACTGAAGACTTGTAAGGTTGTTTCGGTAGATAGGTAATTGGGCAACCAGGCGTCAGAGCAGTTCGCAGGGAAACCAGTTTCAACAGATTTGATTTATAAGAGACTGAGTGAGAGCAATGAGTGGCGAGACGGATTGGTTTGGGTGGGCGGAATTGTTACGGTCAATTTATCGAACCTGGTAGTTTTGTTTGCCGACTTATTTGCTTGTTTACTTGACTGTTTGCCTATATACAGGGCCGGGCCTCCTTAGGCCGTGTGTCGAACCTGGATACCTCGACTCTACAATGTTGATTTGGTTCTTGCAGTTTGCGTTAAGGCTAGGTATTAATCAATCAATCCGTTAGTCAGACAGCCGGTCGATCAGTATAACTGCCTCGTTCTCATCCTCGTTCACGCTTGCCTCGCTTCGAAAGCCGCCATAGAGGAACCCGTGGAAAGAATCAGGGCTTTCCTTGCCTCGTCGGCCAAATTCAACTTCCAGAGATGAAATGTTTGGTTGAGGCAAACCAGCCAGGCAGTCCATGGCGGTTGCTGTTGCTTGGCCAGCCTTGTCTCAGGCACATCGAGAGCCGGCCTTGAGGTCGATCGATGGATGGGATGGATAGATCTGGTGTTCCTCCTTCGAGTGCTGAATGAATATATCACCAGCCAATGCAGATCTTGACGTCCGAGCACTTAAGCAGGCCAGTCAACACTCGACATCGAGAGGACGATAGTGAAGGCTTTGGCCCGCTGGGGAAAGCTGGTTGTTCTCTTCTGCTCCTTTCTCTTTCAGTCAGATAAGTTCTCTTCCCACCCAATTTTGCAATCCAGTGGCAACACTTGAACGATCAATGATTGTGGATAAAGAGCTCGTGAGCGAGTGAGGGGTGGGCATCTGTGTGCTCATGCTGTGTACATCTGCTGCCCCAGGTAGGTCGCTTTAAACAATCGTGAACAAGAGCGTGCGGTACAATACTTGATAGACAATGATAGTGATAGTTATGGCGATGACTTTCTGTTCTGTTTCCGTGTCTTTTGCCTTTTGCGCCTGCCTGGCAGTCAGCCAAAGCAGTCGGGCTCTCAGCTTCACGCAGGCCAGGCCGTCAAACACAATCCTTTTCGCGCTGTCCGTGGCATTTTGCATTTTGGTTCAGGCGCACGACCCAAAGACTATTCTCTGCACCTTTCTCTCTCAAGCGGAAGGACAAAGACGTCTCTTTTCTTCCTTACCTTTTTATCATCATCATCATCAAGAAGCCAACCATCATCAGAGACAACACAGACCGAAGCTGTGAAAATCTTTGAACACGCACTAGGCAATTCTTCACCCTTACCATCACGGTCACTGCCACTGAGACTCGACTCACCTCTCTCCCAGTCACCAAAGGCATTCAAAGCAGAGTCAGAATCCGAGTCGGAGTCGACTCTTCCGTTTACCCAGCCACACCAATTCAGAGCATAGTCGACAACCAATCAACATCAGCCAGTATGTGTTACCGAGAATACTGCCTGGAGTACTGCGAGCTCTGCGAAGATAGACACAAGGTCATCGTTTCCTACCGAGCCTGTATCCACTTCAAAGAGACGGGGGTCTGTCTTCGCCCGGTGTTTCGCCGAGTTCCCACACCGCAACCGACGCTGGAAGATATGGCTGATCTGTTGTGTGGTCAATGTGTTGCGGAGAGCGAGCGTCAACTGCGCGAGCTTGAGCGTGAGGTTGAGCGTGCGCTCGAGCTTGCCGAGCAGGAGCAGGAGCATGACCAAGACCAGGAGGGTGACCAGGAGTCGGACTCGGAGTCGGGTTCGGAGGATGTTGGAAAAGACGAAGAGGGAGAAAAGAAAGAAGCCAAAGAAGAGGGACGAAATGAAAGTGCTTAGACAAGACAGACTCGGAGTTGAGGTAATCGAGTGAATGTGGACGGATGAGCCAACAGCAAACCATTGGAAACTTGAAGGAAGAACGTCGCTGCCCGGCCCCGTGCTTTCCTATCCACCTCCTCTCGTTTCCACCTGTCAGACCAGAATTCAAGCACTGACTGGGGCCGACCATGGTGAGGGGAGGAGAGGAAGCAAAAATCGTTCGATCATCCTAATGGTGAATTCAGGAGGCCATAGCCGCAACCAAAAAACCAACGAAACATGCAGTGGGGCCGAGACTGTGTACCTGCCTACCTTAGGTAGCTAGGTATCTAGCAAGTAAATCAAGAAAACTGCAAAACTTGAACAACAAACGATTAAATTTACATTGTAGGTTCCTTCCGTTCTGGTTGCAAGAAATGATTCCGTTGATGCAGTCAGTGCAGGGCGGTGGAAATTGTCCAGTATGATCAGACCATGTATCTCATTCAATCATCACAGGTATCATGAAGACGCACGACGACGGCAAAGTAGGCTGGATCTCAACTTCAATACTGTGCCAGTCAGTCACAGTAGTTGGTTCAGGTAGTTAGTAGTCGAATACACTCCAACCATAGTCTCCTTCACCACCACCGCCATCGCCATAATCGACATTGATCCAATCCTTATTCTCAAAGGCTCGGTCCCAACCCAACATGACAGCCAAGATCCGGCACGCATTGCTCGACACGCCACACACGACCTTATCGCTCTGGGCCAGCATGGCCAGATCCAAAAGATAAGCTCGGCCAAGCAACTCTCGCAACTTTAGTGCTTCCTCTGTCGGATTCGTCTTGTAGTCGCGGACGGGACTCAAGCTGCTATGGTCATACTCTTTTGGTCGTTGCTGCTGATGAGCATCACCGTTTGCCTTCTTCGTCGGGGCAGGCGAGCCTACATGCTTCTCGTTCTCAACATGCGCCGGCAACCCCAGACTCCAAAAGACATCCTTGAAGAACCCACCTTCCCAGCCCAACCCGCCATCTCCCAACTTCTTCTTGCTGGCCAGCGAGATGCGCTGCTGCGCCCGCACCACTGTGTCTGCCAATGCCGGGTGGTCGTACATGTTTGGGTCGTCAGAAGCGAGCAATAACGTCCATTGCTCGGATTGGCCGACGAGTCGCCGTGCGGCGGCCATGTATCTGTCTGGAGGGAGGTAGGAGAGTCGATAGGCAGACTCCAGCGGATGTCGATCGCCTCGCCGAATGTGAATGCCCAATAGACCATTCTTGTTGTCGCTGTTGTCGTTCAGTTCAAGATATCCTCTGCCATTTACCCTGACGGACGGAAGCGCCGAAGGAGAGCTTCCTCCTCCTCCTCTGGATCTCAGCTTCTCTGCCCGTGACCGGACATACTCGGCATCGTCATCACGCAGCTTGAACAGAGCTTCATACCCCTTACGTGCCATGTCGAAGATCTGACGCTGTGTGTAATGTTGGTGGAATGCATCCCCAAAGATCCATCGCGTCGTGGCACCGGTTACGACTAGATGCCTTGCCTGGCGGGGACAAGGGACGCGCTGGGACGGCGGTGGTGGACGACATGACTGCCCACTGGCAGTAGTGGTCGTCGTATTTGTGGAGAAGAACGTGCTGTAGTTGCCATAACAGAAAAATGTGTCGTCAATGAAGAAAGTTCTGTTTTCCTGAGCCGCGAGACCGTATGAAAGCCACATGCCCAAAAGGGCCGAGCCGAGTCCGGCATCTGTGGCGTCGAGAACATAAGTTAGGGATCTGCTGCAAATAGGAAGGTCGTCGTTTAACTTGGTTGTGGACAAAATGTGGCCACTTGTGGCTGCTGCTGCTGCTGAGACTGTGTCATCTTTCGGTTTCGGAAGAAGATTTCGAGTCTGTGCCTCCTCCACGTCGACGTAGTTGGGATCGGACTGCATGTAAGCATCGTGGCCGTGGATCAGTTTGCTACCGCCATGTCGACCAGCGACTTGGCGAGCAACTTGCTCCGCCTGGGAGCAGATGTCTGCATACTCCGTCGACGACAATGGGAATCCCAATCCGGGAGGAATCGAAATGGTCCAGTACTGTTGCTTGCCCTTACTGTCCGTCACGATGACTGGTGTCGCATGTTTGGGCACGTTGGTTTTCGCTGCATCGACAATCTCATGTACCCTGCCACGCGAGGTCGAAGAGCTCAAGTCTGTAAAACCGGGTTTTGGGGCATTGCCGGACCTGGCCAGATAGTAAACACCGATCAACAGAGACAGCCATAATAGACCGCGAACGATTCTTCGCGAATTGAGCTTCGGTGGCTTCTTGCCATGGCGGGGCAGGATCGAGGGGAGTGATGGGGACGGTATCGGAGTGGATGGCAGCAGACTCTTGATGGACAAGTATCGTTCTGAGGAACCTCCTCCTCCAAGTCTCAGCGGTTTGGGAGGGTTGGCTCGACTCGACAGGAACATCTTCTTGCCTGGCGGTTGATCATGGTCTCTGTTCAACCCGAGAGACTTCATTCAATGGAAATGTCCTATACAAGACAGGAACAGAACCCAATTCTAGAAGCTTGGCCCAATCCGTATCGTCTTCACAAGCTGTTTCAAATATCATGTGCTAACCCAAATTCGTTCGTAGAGCGGCCGTTATGTGTGTGGTGATATCGTTGGTTCAAAGTGCCGGTAGTATGGGGCCAATACAGGAGCAGCTTGGGGCCAGGTACAAATCTGATCGTGATACGTCCAGATGCCGTAATCAGATTGCGCGGGCTGGATCAGGCAGAGGTCGTTTCAGTCTCGAAAGCTCGAATTAGACGCTATGCAAACACCCTGGAACGTAAATGCTATTCGATGCGATGCTTCATCCAAATCAGACCAAGAATGGCATAAATTCAGGTGGACGAATTGGATCAATTATGTTAAGCTCGTGACGAAGGGGTCAGATAGAGGAAGAAAGGGACCAAAAAATGGGACGAAAGAGAAGAAAAACCAACACTGGAGGTTGGGACGTCGAGTCCAAACAACGAGCAGAAACACGATCAGCGAACAAAAGAAGAAATGATGTGTCCTTCAAAAGCACACGCGAGGGAAGAAGCGACGAACAGAAAAAAAGAGGTCCATGGTGCTGGCTAGGTTGAGAAACAGAGCAGCATGTGCCACTTGCGGCCCGGCGGGTGCCACTCTCATAGCACTGGCTCCGGGTCGTAGCACAAGTGATAATAATAATAAGTGAACGAGATGAGGACCCTTGCGAGCAACCGTCCAATCCATCAGGCTTCCAACACAGGTACCACCATATCGGATTGCGGGTGCTCTCGTGTTCAGATCATATAACAGCGATCACCTGTCTCCTGCCCGAGGGAGAACAAGAGATCGGTTAGCGAGCTGTCAGGGGCCTGGGCAGACGTAGTATTGGTGTAGGTGCTGTGTGGAGCAGTAAAGGTGTCGGCGGAACCTGGTAGGAAAACATCTGAAACAAGAACGTGATACGGGATGGAACATCCAGTGTTGAAAGAAGCCTCGCTACAATCTCTTTGGTTTGTGTCCGCCTATCCTCATCTTCATGACTGATTGGGTGCGAGGGGAAGAAGCGTACCTACAGTTGTAGAAGGCCCCGAAGAGGAGGTGGATGTTGCAGTCCCAATACAAACCGAACCGGCTGCACACTTGAAACACCGAAGCCGTGTCAAACACTCGACGGTCAAAGCGGGTGGTCTCACTGCCGGAGCCTTGCCGGTTGCCGGTTGCCGATCGCCCCCTGGATATTCGCCCCGAACGATGCCCGTCACCTGACGTTGTACTCGTTGTTTCACCCTGCAATGGTACCTATTAATATACCAAAGTCATAACTGTTCAAGTGATACAGTAGAACGACTTGGACGTCTAATCTCTCACCTGGCCACAAGCTGCAGTTCATACAGAGCCTCCTGAGTGACAATACCTCTGAATGATACAAACCTCGACAATGTTAACGATTCTATCTGATCTGGGTATCTGCTGTGGTAACCTGAATCGCTTCCGATGTCTCTGGTAAAGTAAGTCAAATATGCATAATATACAATCCCCCGGCTCTATCGGGGTCCAATCGCTGCCGATGATGTCCCTTCCGACTGTAAACGGTGTACACCGAAACAGAAACAGACCAAGAAAAGTAACAAGCGTGCCGAACTCCAACATGAGGCTTGCATGAATTCCGTCCGGTCAAACTGTGCATTGGTTCCAACACCAACCGGAGACCCGACGAACTGATCCTTGACCAAAATAGCCGGAGAACGCTCAAATAATAATGAAAACAAGGTAAATGACTGTCGTGATATCATAGATAAAAATGAGATAACCGAGTGAAACGCGGTAAAACTTCTTCGGCTCATAGGGGACTCTGCGATTCTATCACCGAGTCCCGTTGACGCAGTGAGGCTACCAAGCTGCCCATCGCCGGAGCGCTGATGCCTGTCGCGCTGGATGTCCTTCGAGAACGTCGTTGCAAAGATGAGGTCCGTGTTGGTAAGCGCATGGACGGTGAACGCCCTTTGACCAGGTGTCCGCTTTCTACCTTGTCTTGGATCATTTCGTCCAGCATCCTGGACATCTCATCAACCGACTTGCGCTGCTTGCTCATGGCCTTCTGCGGGGATAATAGTGCCAGCGGACTTGTGGCCAGTAAGGGCGAGCGAGGTGGACCGGATGACTGCTGGTTTGAACTGTTTTCTGTGTGAGAGCTGCTGTTGCTGTCGCTACTCTGGTGGCCCTCCTGGGCACGATTCTGTTTGTACTCTGATGATGACATCTCCGGCGTCAATTCTGCAATATCCCGTTTCCGCACAGCCGATCGTAGCGCGGCCACTGTTCTTTGCAAGTCCGAGATGATAGCGTCCTTTTCCTCCAACTTCTTCAACATCTCAGTGTCGTCCCCGCAGTTTTTGTTGAAGCCCATCGAGACGCGCGAGTGACTAGATCGACGAGCCTGCAACAGCCTCTTCTCGAGCGTTGAGATATAACGTGTCTTATCTTGGAGATCGGCTTGTAAGGCCCGCACCTGAGCTTGGAGTGTAGCTCTGCCATCTCCATAGTCGTCGCCAGCCTCTTCATCTTCGTCCGGTATTGCTGAAAATGATAGATGGCCCGAATTCGACCGGGCTCCTCCCAGAGAGGCGCCAGATGGATATCGGCGCAGTCCAGGGCTTACCCCTAAAGTTGACTGGCTGGCAGAGGAGCGTACAGAGCGCGGGCCTGCGTGTTCTGTGCCCCCAGAGAGCCGCGAGTGCATTCCCAAAGCTGATACAGTGCCGCTGTTGACACCAGTAGATTTGGAGCACAGGATCAGCCGGTTGAGATGTTCAATCCGCTCCTTGAGAGCCGTTCGCGCCAGTTGCATCTCCAACATCTGTTCCTCATGCCTCTGTTCGGCCTCTCGCTCTATCTGGCGCTCTTCTTTCTCCGCGGCCGACTTTTGCTGACCCTCTAACTGGGCCCGAAGACTCTGAATTTCCGCCCGATACCGCTCTAGGAGACCGCTATTGACACCACTGCCCACCTCTTCTGCAGCCTTTTTGGCGTGACTGACAATGTTGTTCTTCGCTCGCGCCGCAAATTTCAGCGTGTTGAGCGTCTCTGCTGTGTTGTTGTTCCCGGCAACGGTAAGACCAGCTCCAATCTGAATAGTACAGAGGATGGATACCAACGAATTGCCAGAAAGTGCTGGCTGAAGCAGTCGGGTAAGTTTGCTGTCCCGGTAGGGCAGATGCCTTCCATCTTTGTCCGTGGGATTCCCATTCTTGTCCTTGTTGCCGGACAGTCTGGCAATAACAGTGCCCAAGGTCAACAAGGATTTATTGATGTGCGCACCCTCCGTCCGACGCTCCTTGTCGTCGGCAGCCCTTTCTGATCCTGCAAGGTCAATAAGACTGAGCGTCGACACGCGCACACCTCCAGGAAGCATCGCCACTCGTTTCCCGTTTTCATGCATGGCTCCAGCTCCCGGGATCCGTTCTCGACTCTCGACCACAATTTGGACAACGGCGTGGCTTCGAGAGCTCCTGGCATTGAACTGGGTACTACCAGTTCGGCGGGCAGTGTCTCCTCGGTGGATGACTCGCAGTAGTTGGGTCGGACTCTGTACAATCTCCTCCTTCAAAGGCGTAGCATAGACACCGCGCTTGCTATCTTCACGCAACTTGATTTCTTCCTGCTGCGAGCCGCCTACTCCCCCGCCCACGGGCACGGCCAACAAATCGTGGATCTTCTCGTTGTAGATTTCCAAGTAGCTGACTCGCAGCAGAAACTCTCGATGAGGTGTCTCCCGGATATATGAGAAAATGTCGGTGATCGCCAGAGGGATTACGCCAGGACTTGTCATGGTACCCTGCATAGAGAACGTCTTACCAGTCCCAGTCATACCATAAGCAAAGACTGTCCCATGATAGCCTTCCATCACTCGACGGACCAACCGTTTGGCCGAAGCATCGTACACTTTGGCGTTGTCATCGTAGGTGGTGAAGACATTGTCATAGTGGTAGTCTCCACCTTCTCTTCCACGGTAAGCCACCAGGGCTCGCCGGCCGTCGACCATCCATTCCCCTTCATCAGACTGATGACCAGTCTGAGAGCCTGGGTCGGGGCGGACTCGAACACTGACAATCACATTGCCCTTGGTTTCCTTTCCTTTGGGATTTTGTTTCATACCAGCAGTACTGTCCTCCGCATTACTGGTGCGGCCTCGACTGCTGTCCTCATCACCTTCTTCAATCGTGGTTGCGTTTGTCGAGTAGGATCCATTCGCAGAAGAGCTTCTGCTTTGTGGAGGAGAGTGTACACTCGATTGGGCGTCAGATATCCTATACCCTGCTTTGGCGGACACGGTCATGCCATCGCCAGCCGAGTTCAACAAACTGGGAGTCTGTGGTGCTCGGAAGCTCGCAGCGGCGTTTGCTTTGGACGATTTTCTGGGCTTGATAGACGGGGCCTGACTCGTGGACCCGTTACTGTCTGAGGTCCTTTTCTTGCTCGATGCCACAGAGGTCGTCGAGCCAGATGTAGGCGGGCGGGTGGCTGCGTTGGGTGGTTGAGGAAATGAACCAATGCTCACTGTCTTGCGAACGGTCTTGCCTGAGGGTATCCCCGATGCTCTTTCGCTGGGTTTGGTATATGATAGTGACAGATCCGGCGTAGAGGACACTGGTTGAGGGGATAGCGCCGAAGCCCTAGGGGCTTTCAAGCGCGACGTTGTTTGTGGTAGACTCTTTCGTGGTGGTTTGTTTATAGGGATGGGAGGGAGGGCACCCGTCGGCGGGTCGGCTAAGGGTCGTGTGAGAACGGGTAGAGACATGTCTACCAGTCTCATGTGGTACAATCAATATACTTCTCTTGCTCGTCCCTCAAGATGTGACGGTATATTGTGGGGTTCGCGTCTCGACGGACTTGGACTCCTTTCAAGCACGGTGCCAGACTTGAACTGTTTGCTTGTAATATCCGCGTGATTGACGTGTTATGGAGTTTGGGTCGTCGTTGGCCGTGCACAGACCAAGACTGACGGGTCTGGTGTTATGTTACCGCCTCCTACGATTTCAAGTAGCCCATTTATTGAAAATGCACTTTTCCTGCTCCTCTGTGTACCGTGCGCGTGGAAATCTGTCTGAAGCGAGGAATGTCGGAGGAAGGCGAGGGTATGGACCGAAGGTGTCGCAGCGTCACATAACAGTACACAGCATTGACCTGTGATGGCCCCGAAGCATGCGATTGGGACGTTGCAAGCGGCATGAGAAGCAGAGTGTTTGCCTTGGTTGACAGCTAGGTTCGGCGCAGATGGACGACACCCTGGAATATGGTGTTGATCATTGCGAGTTGCTACTACTAGTAGAGAGGAGAGCGAAATAAAACGCGGCGCAGGAGGTTCTCGGAGGACAGATGCTGCGTTCACTGGCACACCATTGCAGAATGCCAGCCAGTGCCGGGATCAGGGTAAATCTGCAAGGACCGTACCGGCGTCGCTGCTAAAATTTAGGCCCTGGTCGCGTTCTGGCGGGCGTGGCTCTGAGCTAAGATGGACATGATCAAGCGCGGCCGCTTAGCTGCAGGAACTGGCACCGCCGATTGGGGGTGAGCTGACAGAAAGACTGGACTACAATTGAGCCGCAGAGAACACAGAGAGAGCCAGAGTGCCAGTGAATTGAGGCCCTCACTGCTCGATTGGTCCTCCCAGTCGTTTGATGCTGATTACCTAGGTATCGTCACCAACGAGCTGCTCCATACTGAGGCGGCAAGCCCCCGAAAATGAGGGTCAAATTGGTTCAACAGTCTTTTCTTTTGGTCTACAGACTGCGGCCTTCTCCAATCCAAAAATCGTCGGTTGCGTTTATCGCTTCAGCAACGAGCATCCTGAGCCACTCATGCAACATCATCCCGTTTCTCTTCTGCAGCCACTTTCCACGTTCCTACTGCAGGGTCGCTGAAGACCACCATTCTACACGAGCTCCCTCCTAATTGGCCTTCCGGCCTGTCTTGTCACCCAAGGTTCGTCTGCGAGCTTGTGATCATCACAGGCATTTTATGGCCGGCCTCTCAGCCGGAGTCAGTTACTGGACGCCTCACAGGATCCCAGCACGGCACGCTCTACATGATCGACCAATTCGAGCTCAGGCTTAGAGAGACCCCGCCTCTGTGCAACCACAGCTGCATATGAACTTCTCGATTTCTGCACGTTCGCCTATGGCTGCAAACTCCTCCTACCACCCTCGAGAACGGGAAGACCTAAGCGATCCACACCTCCAGGACTCGTTAGTTGACAAATGGCCGGAGTCGTGTTGTGGAAGCCAAATAATAACTCAAAAAACATTTCGAGAGGGTTCTCTAGTACTGTGCTCTGAAAGGTAAGATTCCATACGGTAACAATAAAGTTCCTGATGGAACTATCCGTTCCGCACACTCCATACGGGACGAGCACAAGCAACAGGAGAATTTTCCGCAAGTGTGGTAACGCCAATCTTTTTGGTGGCTTGGAGCCGCAACTCTCCCCGCTGCTGGCTTCTTGGACAATCTACTCAAGCTGGTTAGTGCGTCCGCGCGGAAGACGAAGGCCATGTCCCTATCTACCCCTGCCGCAGAAGCGAGCACGGCATTCTGTTCTGGGTCTGCGATGGTAGAGCCCCGTGCACTCCATCGAGTATCTTCATCAGCCAGCAGAGTAGTACGTTACGGCTTTCCTTCGAACAGAGCGCTCAAGACTCTCGGCTGGTACTTTCGGGGCTCAAGTAACCAGTTCTCCGGCGTGGATGAGGAATGTCGGGATTCAGGGGTACCGTCTACCTCGAATACTACCACAGTAACCCGAAGTGCCCCAAACCTCATCCGGAGGATCCCTGACAGGGCGCAGTGTCCCGGAAGGCGTGGTCCTTTCCTGGCCTATTATCAAGCTAAGTCCAATTTCATCAGCCCTTTTTCCTTTGGCCAAGTCTGTAGCGGAATGAATGCTCAAACGACCGGGACTGCTTGTCCGGAAAAGATCTGCTGAAGCTTGATGGAGAGAAATGTCACATCGTACCTAGAGTTCGACCGACTCCACCTTTTATTATGGAAAGGGTATATACATGGGTCAGGTATACGAGACCCTCCTCCAAGAAAGCAATGTTCCTCGATCATGTAAGGACGCTTGATCCCTGTCGCCTGCCTGTGGCCAAAGAATCCTGACCGGGATCCAACACTTTGAGACGATTTCCACAGTTGAAGGGCTTGCTCTCCTTGGTTGGTGGGTAAGAGAGCCCAGATTGGACAATGCAGTGATATATGTCCACAGCTTGCCGAACATGGCCTCCACTTGAACCACACAATTGGGCACGAGCAGCCAATCTGACCCCGGATCGTCACTGGCAGCAAGGCTCAAGGCAAAGTCGAGCAGCTGGAACCGGCAGCTCCCTCGGAATCAGCCTCATATAAGAAGAAATCATCGATGGCCAGCAGACCGAAAGTCCTATTCCCGACCAGCCAGGTTGTTCTTCCCCTTGGACAGTCTTCACGATACCTTGTTGCAATATCTTGACATGTCGAGCGACTCGGCGCAGATATAGACGGACACACGTCAAGCTCTGCGAGTGCCGCACTTTCACAGTGTTTTTTCTCATCCTGGATATAGACAGACATGTCAAGCCAGCTCCACAGCCGACTTTCATGCTTTTTCGTTCCCTTTTCCATGTGATATACACCCACGAACAGACAGACGCCCAGTTACAACAAAAGCAGGCCACAGATTCATCATCTCGATATAGATTATCTCGCATTCTTCCTGCTCTCTTCAACCCTCAACTTGTGCAGAGTTTCTGCCCTTCTCCTCTCACCGCCATGCACCTTGTGTCCGCGTTTATGCTCCCAAAGCCCTTCTGTAACCTTGACCATGACTCCGCTTCCATAGGTTCCCTTGATTGGATGTGCCTGTTTGCCCTTTATGATATAGCCGTTCTTCAGCTTGAACCCCTTAGGCTTTTTGAGGTCTGCCGTCGTCTGGCCCGGTTGCAGAGAGTAGGTCGTCGACCCATTCGGCACGTTCACAATCAGCTTCTGCATCCCTGGGCTCCTGCCGACAGTGACAGGACCGGACAGCGGCTCGCCAGTCTCTGGGTCCTTTTTCAGACTAGGCACTTCGACAACTCTCAATTCGGCCACGCCGTCCTTGACATGTTGAAAATCCCCGCCAATTCCATAGTCGCCTTTGCGGAACTTCTCCCGCCACCGGAGCAGGTACCGCCGGGTTCGGGGCGGTTCAATCCCCCGCTCTTTTAGTTGTTGCGACGTCAATGTGAACAGCTCGTCCCAGGATTCAATCTTGCTCGCGTGCTTCGATAGTTCGCGTCCAATGAGCGTGAGGAACGTCGGCACGTCAGGCACAAATGGTGTCGGGGGAGGAACGCGCCCGTTTTCAGGGAGCCCGCGATGTAGATTGCGCCGGCATGGTGTGAATATGTAGGATTGTGGTATCGAAGCCGATGGTCGTAGGAAGGATGTTAACAGAGAGGAAGTTAGAGGTGATGGTCGGGGAACCATTTTGGAGTATTAAACAGCTTGTGCTGCCTGTTGGACGAGGGATAGCAGGCCTCTGTAGACCGGGCCAGAGTTCGACTTTTCCTTTTAACAACCGGCCTTTTCCTTTACGTGCGCATTGCTTGACCGTGGGAGAGAGAGGTCAGATGTGGTTGTTGGGGGCTTCTCTTGACAACTTTAAGCTGCGACTGGCGATTGAAACAAACTTCAAGTTTCAAATGACACAGACTCCCAATCATTGGCCATTGGTGCCAAGGCTCAGATGCCAAGCTTGACAGCCTCGTCGGCGTCGACTGCAACAGTTGACGCTGAATAAGGCGATGGGAATAGGTCGTAGATGCTCTAAATCTACAGACATACATATGTTTGCAGAATGGTGTTAACAAAGCCCTACTCAACAGGTCGAGAATTCGCCTGAAAGACAGCGGTTTACCTGAGGGCCACGGCTCTGGTGTTGTCGACCTGCCACAGGCAGTATTGTGACCAGCAGCCGCCTGGATACGATCGTCTTGTGTCCTCATTCACTCAATCACTCAGCCCTTGGATTTCCAGTCAACTTCACAATGGCGTCGCCTAGGATAGGGTCACCGCTTATGCCGCGGTCACCCTCTAATATCAATGCCAACATGTCACCTTGTCGCGCAAAATCTCTCGCCATGAGAAAATCTATATCGAAGCCCTCTACACAACCACCACCACCACAACAATCCCAGAGGCCCGATCCGGATTTTGACATGGCCGAGCAAATGAATGAGGAAATCAGCAACAAGTATGTCAAAGGTCTGTGTATCTGCTTGAAGTGTATCGCGGAGTTCACATTACTAAACCCACTCTCACAGGCAAGAAGCTTGGTGAGGGTACTTATGCCATTGTCTACAAGGGCCATCTGAGATCAGATCCGCACAAGACTGTCGCCATCAAAAAATTCAAAGTCGACCCTTCACAGCAGCGAGAAGGTCTGAATGTGGACACCATCCGTGAAATCAAATACCTGCAAGAAATATCTCACCCAAGCATTGTCGCATTGCTCGATGTGTTCTCGTCCAAAGACCAAAATATCAACATGGTCATCGAGTATTTCCCAAACGGCAATCTTGAAGAGCTTATCCGAGACAAAACCGTCAGCTACGGCGCCGCCGATGTCAAGGCCTGGATGGGCATGTTATGTCGAGCCATCTACTATTGTCATTCCAACTTCGTTCTTCACCGAGATATCAAGCCAAACAATTTGCTCATTGCTGCTGACGGAGAAGTCAAGCTGGCCGATTTTGGTCTTGCACGGTCATTCGGCGACCCACGATATCAAATGACCTCGGCGGTCATCACCTTGTGGTACCGGCCTCCAGAACTGCTGTTTGGAGCTAGACAGTACGGTGGAGCGGTCGACATGTGGAGTATAGGTATGGTCTTTGCAGAGTTGCTGATCCGTCGGCCTTATGCTGCTGCAGACGTTGCGAATCAGGAGGTCTTGGCTACGGGTGGAGGAACGGTGGCTCAACTAGACAAGATCTGCGAGGCGGTCGGCACGCCTAACGAAGAGAACTGGCCAGGAGTTTCCAAATTGACGGACTATTTCGACCTGGAGAAAAAGATCCCAGTCAGAGACAAATCCTTTTACATGCAAATGTTCCCCACCGCAGGATCGGTCGGTGTTGACCTGCTCATGGCAATGCTGAAACTGGATCCGCGAAAGAGAGTCACGGCCAGAGGAGCCTTGGAACATGAATGGTGGACAGTAGATCCGAGACCTACCGAGAAGGAACATCTACCGAAACAAGGCGGTGGTGCATCGAAGATGGCGGCTGCGGAGGCTGCTGCTCCTGGAGCCGTGATGGACGAGAACAAGTTCAAGGGCGTGGCGAAAAAGCTTGATTTTGGTGCTGCACGCAAGTGATGATTGGTGAAGAATGAGAACTAATGATGCCTTTCGGTGGTGAGATGAGTTGGGGTCTAATTTGCAACAGTCGTGAATTACGTTTGAGCACGTTGTTCGCCAAGGAGGCTCTTTCCTGACGCTTCGACCGTCTACACACTGCCCAGATGGATTTCAAGTCCCGATGACCTGAGCCTCAGTTGAACTTCATTTCATTCACCTGAAAACCTTGGCTCCGCTGACCGAGCTATGACTTCCCTCTCCAGACGACAGAGAGACCTGAGGTCAAAACAATTTCGACTCAACTTACCCGTCCATCCACGTCCGTAACCTTCTCACCTTGTCTACCCTCAGAACTCTCGTCTCCGCCCCGGTAACCTGAAAGCCTGACACGCCCTCACAGACATCTCGGGTCAAGTCTAGCGTTCCCTTCAACCAGCTCCAAGGAGTGTTAAGGCAACTGGACCTCGCCCTCTGCCTGTCTGTTCAACGATCAACCATCCCCATCCCCTCGACAGTATCACTTACCCGACAGGACGATGAAGACTGTCATCTACATCTACAAGCCGGTCAGACTCGTCGCCGATCTGTCAGGTTGTGCCGATATGGGCGATTTGGTGGCATCTATCAAAGCCGTGCACCCAACAGTCCTGGAAGAACATGATGGCCTGGAATATTTCCCATCCGGATGCCAGGCGCTAGCATCGAAACAGCTTACTGGCCCGTACCACGATCCTGAGTCACCTCTGCCTTACCTTCCAGGCCCACAGCTGGACATCATGACCTTTCCAAAATCAGTTTACGACATTAATGTCTGCGCCTGCGGGTCTGGCGAATGCTCCAGAGACAAACACTTTGCTGTATCCCTGGGTGCGAATTGCCGGATCTCTCAGCTGAAAGAGGGCGTGGACTTCAAGCTCGGCACACCGACCAGCGACCAGGTCATCAAATACAACGGACGGACCATGGACGACTCTGCCTACCTGTTTCAAGAGGGGATTTGCGAGAACTCCACGGTGGCGGTCACAATCAACGCGAAGATATCCCTTTTCTGGAAGAACAATTGGCATTCTATGGTAGTCCCATTGGATGCAGAATTCTCCTCCCTGTTGGGGGCTTTTGCACGACAGGAATGGGCGGATCTTTCGAACTTGTGCTTTCAGTTTGATAGAACCTCGCAGGTTTCAGGCCGTGCGAAGGATTGGGTTGAGGATCGAAATCGAATCTACCTTTTCAAAGCGGAACAAGTTGTCGGCACTGTCAAGGAGAATGGACTTGCTACAGGAGATAGAATTCGCGTCTACCAGATGATTCCCAAGCGGGAGCGGGAAACCCCTGACGAAGGAGATCTCCTCACAAACGTGAACCCCCAGCGCAAGGTCAAGAAGCCAAAAGGACGAGCCGCGAGATCTTAGCAAGCACTATCCACGGGCAACGGCGACAGTCCTGAACCAGCGGGCGGATGGGGCTCGGATTGACATTCTATTCGAGCATACGGAGCTGACAGCCTCAAAATCCACACCCGGGACATGACTCCATGAGCTTTTCATGGATGAGCGTTGGGGATTGAGGCGTCGTCTGGGCCCAGCGCTTGATGATGTTTTGCACAACCGAGCCAGATGATGGAATGACAATGGAAAGATGGCGAGAGTAATCAACTGCTCTGAATGCATGGCTAGAACTCCATAACCGACACTGAGCTGAATCGAGGCGCCGTTTTATGCTCGCCAGAGTGGGCAACGAACAAGCATAGTGTCTGAGAGAAGAACGGAATACAGGAGCTATTCCAGGGGGAAGCTCTTCACCAAGCAGGTTGTGCAGCCCATAACCACCTGCTCTTCTTGCACACTGTAGCTGATACATTCTCGAAAGCTGCAAGCTGCAAGCTGCAATTTGAAGCTGACAACGACGATAGCTCTGAAAATAAAGAGTGCTTTTCAATTTCCCTTTTCCTTTTTCCACGCCAACAAAGCTGCCTCGTCACCTCCATTTTTGTATTCCAGTGTATAATCTACCTCTTTACCTAGCCAGACTCCTCTTAGGTAGAATCCCGACCGCCTTCCAAAAGTCCCGGGCATCCAACTTCCTCCCCAGCTGATCAATGGACCTTGGCAATCCGCGGACATGATGTTCTTCCATCAGCTCCAATATCCATTGCCTATATTGTCTTTTTATGATTGTGTCTGTGTCTGTTTCCGTTGTTGTTTTTGACGGATCCTCTCTCTGCTGTTGTCGTCGTTGTTCATCGGAAGCTGTAGCTGTCTGAACAGTCTCGACTGTCCCCGATGTCGATGCCATGTTTCTCCCAGTTTCAGTCTCATTATCACTTTGAGGTTCATTACTCTCGCCCATCCAGTCCCAAACCAAACTCCACCAATCATACGAGACACAATCCGCCACGATCCATCGTCTACCGAACAGACTTGAGGACGGCAGTGACTGAATTGGTTCTTGGTCTTGCTCCAGATCCTTTAATATAACACCCACCACCGCCCTCGCCACGTCCTCCCCATGAATCAAATGCACCGCCCCCTTTGCGGCCAACTGGTCTTTCGTCTTCGCGACCCTCGACACCCAATTTCTGGGGTTTCGGTTTGCACCATATAACCCTGCCAGATTGAGTATGCATCCATTTGCCACTTGTATGAGTTCGCGCTCCGCCACGCCGCGCGTGTTGGACTCGTCGATGGGGGAGGATGAGTCGTTCCAGTCGGCGGCGGTAAATATGCCGGTGGAACCTAGTTGGATCCATTTTGTTGCAGAAGTTGTCCTTGACGATGTCTGTGTGGATGACTCTGTCGGTGTCGTCGTAGCGGCATGTGTTTCGTTGTACATCCTGACCAATTTCGCACTTTGCCCCACTCCCTTTAGTGGAAACGTGATGAGTACGTAGTCTGCTTGAGGGAGGGCTTTGAATTGTTCGTTGCTGTTAGAGTCGGGGTCGAATTTGAATGGGATGGTTCCGTCGCGGCCGGTGGTGGTGGTTTCGGCGTATGTGACTTTATGGTGGTGGGAGAGTACTGGGTGTAGGAATTGGTATGTCCATCCTGCTCCGAGGATGAGGAGCGTTACGGAGGAAGGGGGATGTGGAGATGCGATTTCTGATATTGATGTTGATGTAGCTGTGAAGTTTGGATTGGGATTGGGAGTAGTAGTAGTATACATTGGAGATGACGCGTTCTGCTGCGTTTGCGTTTGCGTTTGCTGCTGTTGATGTTGTGCTCGTGTTTGATCTCGGTCTTGAGAGACGCCTGTCGGTGTCATGCGAAGAGTCATGCTGTCTTCTTTCCTGGGTCAACTCGGACCGTCCACAGTGTGCCGATCGATTGAAGCAAGTCTTGCAGTATCGATACTCCGTAGGTAGGTAGTATCGTAGTCCCCAGCCTCACTTGTTTGTCCCCGGGGGCGTCAGTGAGTAAAGCAGTAGCTTCCACCAGTTGTTGATTTAGTACCGTACCCAGATGTTTTGGGCCTCTCGCTCTCGCATCAAGACTGGTTTCTTCTCTGGCTGCAGTGGTACTAGCAGTACTAGTATCAATATATGATATACCAGTCAACAGCTCAGTCCAGTTCAGCTGTTCTGTTTATGTCTGTCCATATGTCGTGGTGGTCTCGGCTGCGGTGTTCTGGCTGTTGGTTTGGAGTTGGTCCAATCAATAATGGCGTGCAGTGGGAGGCCGGGAATTATAATAATCCTCCATGATATCATGGAATGAACTCTCATAAATCGCCGCGTACCACGACCACCACTACTGCGCCGTCCGCAGCACTACTACTGTACCCACAAACATTATTCTCAAAAGCCTGTAACAAGAATATAATTCCCTGACTTGATCTTTTCGGAGCCAACTACTCAACGATTCTCGCTGGCGCTGGGAACATGCCTGGTGGCAAGGCAAGCTTACAGCCCAAACAGGTACCTGGTGGATTTTTGATTTTGCAGTAGCCGAGCGCTGGCTGGCTTGCTGTATCTAGTCTACCTTGTTCCTTATGTAGACAAACGTTCCCCTGTTCTAGTATTCCCGAATGCTGGAAAAGGAAAATGAGATTACTGAACCATAATACCTGGTCGACATGCATCCGAAAGTGAAACACACTCTTCCAGAACACCCGCTTGCTTGCTTGCTCGCTTCGCCCAAAGCTCGATTCAATTACCCGTTCCGTCAACCCGAAAACCCGAAAACCAAAGCAACAATCTTCTTTTCCCTGGAGTACCTTGATTAAGGCGACTTGAAAAACTCATGCTGCATCTGGATCGGACCGAGCTGCGGCGCGGGCGATTTGCTGCTGGTCCGAGGTGAGGAGACCATTTCAAACTCAGGCTCATCTGCCGACCTGCTGTATCCCAAGCGGGATCGGGACCTCTTTGAGAAATAACTGCTTCCCGCTGCGGCTTTGGTGAAACATCGAAGACCTTGGTAGACCATGGGCAAATTGGCCACGACGACAGCGACAAACGTCTCGCGCACAGCCCAGCTGCCTGCGGCTTGGGCACCTCCGACAGGATCCTACGGCGACAAAATGTGTCAAAAACAAAATTTCAACATGAAGGGGTCTGACGACACTTACGTGGATAACAAGGGCAGCACGCAGAATGCCGGCCGCCATGACGAAGATTGCGCCGCCGAAAATAAAAATCAAAGACATTTTCTTCACCAGCGGGACATCGGCTTTCCACAGTAGCTGAGAAACATGGGTTAGCAAGTCAGGACGACACATGGGGTATGAAGGCGCAAACTCTGCTCACCGGAATGGGAATGGAGAGCAAATAGAGGTCGGAGAGGACGTTAAGGATGACGGTGACATAGAGGTCGATCTTGGAGATGGCGGGTTGACAGTGATCTAAAGAAACCCATTAGCCTTGTGTCTGCTTTCTGCCAGCGTAGCTACTGACTGCCCGGGTTGGGGTAAATCTGCCAGTTCTTGTGGAACGGATGGCAGCCCAGAAGAATCGAGAGTTCAGTGGCCACGTACGTGACCACGACGATCACATAGCCCAGACGTATGCGGGACTTCATGTAATCGAGGCTTTGTCTGTAGTCCAGTCAAGTGTGAGCGTAGTGATCCTCGAGGGAGAAGGCTGAAATTTGCCATGGTAGCACCCACGTAAACCGATGATAGAAGATTGCCACGCAGAGCTTCAACGTCCACAGCAACAAGGTGTACAGGCTCCAGCCGACCAGTTGCGTTTTGGAGCCGTTGACCCGAAGTCTGTATTCTTGCGAGTGAGGGTCTAACGTCCGACGTTGTTCATCCGTCATGCCATTGTTGGCCAAGCCGTGCCACGACGCCCCGACCATATATGCAGCGCCCGTTTCTAAGCCGTAGATGACCTACAGATGTCAGAATCGTGGCATTAGAATGTTGTAGACAGTGAGTGTACCGTAGCAAATAGCATCAAATAGTCACTGGAGGGCCAAGTCAGCAAATGCAGGCACCGTGGACTTCAAATGCGCTACATACTCGAGCCATAACCCTTTCAAACCGGCCATATACACCCGTGACACCTCCCTTGTGACCACGACGAGAACACCAATGCCCAGCAACGTAAAGGCTTCTGTGTTGAATTCGCTCGCCATGTTGAAGCACGGACTGTCACGAAAATCGATGTTCGAAGGTGAGCGATACTGCGCCGGGAGGGATCGAGAGGTTATCTCTTTTCCCGCCGACCGAAATATCTCGCTTTTGAGAATGCAGGCCTAATGTCGGTAGATGGCACGCTTTGATGGCTAGCAGAACTGTCGAACCATGCGCGGAAAGGATCTGCTTCCCCGGCGGGATGGCGGGATCCAGAAACAACGGCCAATGGCGATCTCATCCACTGTGTCTGGGAGGCAATACATGGGTTTGCGGCATGCCATCACTCTCCTGTCGTCGGAAGGTAACATTATACTGAAGAGTAGGGATACTGAAAAGCGACAGATATGCTACACTTACGGCGTGATTGGCTTCCATCGTCCATTCCATGGATCCGCCGAGGTATATGATCCACCTAGATTATACTCGGGCAGTGCCAGTGCAGGCATGCTCGTCAATCGCGGATGCGTTCAAGAACTTCCCTGACATCCGGTGTGGGGATAGTAACAGTCGCCCGCTGGGCCTGCGGCGTACCTGACATATGCAGCTAACAACCTCGGTGGTGCAAGGAGCGGATGGCAAAGCCAGGAAATGGTGGTTCTGTCCACTACTAGCAGAGACAACAGAGAGGGCTAGGGTCTAGCTGGCAGCTTGGAAAAACTCAAAACCCACATCTTGATCTTTGGTGTCGTGGCCAGATACCAGGGCACGAGGAGCAAGTTGAACTGGGCCACCATGTCCAACGTACAGGATTTTTCAAACAGCGACGTGGACATGTTCGTCCTGTATGAACGCGGCCTGCATGAGGTGGCAAGACATGTTGTGCCTCAGGACCCGAGTCTTGGTGGAGGCAAGTGCATAGTCGTATTGTTCCATGTGCAAGCAACTTGCACTGGACTTCTCACGAGAAGCCTGCATGTGCCAGTGCCTGACGTGAAAATAAGAGTTCAGAGTCGCGAATCCTACTGGAGGAAAAGCCGGACAAGCCACTCGCCGTCCGCCATGGGTCCCGTGAGAGCTAACCATTCCCAGATTAGCTCTTCTCTTAACCCACACGGACTCACATATTCGGTGGCAATACTGTCGTCTACCGTTGTGCCGCCGGGTTGCGATATTGTGGCAGCAACATGCGTGGGTCTAAGCAAATTCTGGTCCGTGTCCACGGCGCCTGCCGCGTCAGTAGCTCAACGGCCCAAATGTTCCACCATCGACTACGCGAGATACACTGGCATGTTCCTGCGAGGAGTACAACGTAACGAGGACCCCGGCTGCTGCATCCCGTGGTCTCCGTCGTCGGAGTTTCCAGGCTCGGGAGGCGCATACGGGCACTGCGGCTTAGTTGTAGTAGAGAGTTTTTCGGTTATGCATCGGATCTGCAGGCAGGGTTGGTTCACCTCCACATTGCTTGCCCTTGTTCTATCAGCAGTGAAAATGTGCGTAACTGGCGCGCTGCCAGAAAGCTGTCAAAGTCCTGGGCGAGCAATACCGGGACACTTACAATGTTGTAGAGTCTTGAGGACTCTACCTGGACATGTGCCGTGGTGGGCTCAATTAATGAAGTAAAGTCACCAGATCTGGTCGGGAGTATTACTCTCTTTGTACCCTTCATACCGGTCGCGCAAGTACAACTGTACAACGTTGTACCCTTCCAGTGGAGACTGCCCAGCTTTGAGTGGTGGAAGAAACTCGCACAGTGGCTGATGGAACGATACCCCAGCAAGCCGGTAGGCTAGTAGGGAAGCCTCTTACAATGTTGTATGTGTTGCAGGAACTAACAATTGTAGCGTTAGTAGCTTTTGCTTGGTGCGGTGGAACCCTGAACCTGTTACATGTGTGGTTGGCGGTGGAGGAACTTAACGACTGTTCCTGAACCCCCGTGCCGGTCCTGGCTACTGCAACTGCAACTCCCTTGGAAAAATGTGTAAATCATCCACTTCCCCCCCGAACAGGGCAGTTCCTCGTCTCTCGCATCTGAGAATCCTCGATTTCGGATGCCTTCCGTAATTCAAAAGCATCGACAAACAACTGCAGTGTGAAATATAACGATCAACAAGTAAACAATGGATTCATTCGATCTGGTCGTTATAGGCACCGGTAAGTCGCACGGTCCAACTGTGAATTACTGGGGAAGTGGACTCTTGCGAGCCTTGACCATGTGGCCCTGACAACGTGTTCGCTGGCTGACATTAAATGCGTTTTTCCGGGGTTGTAAAGGCTGGTATGGGCTTGCAGCAGCAAAGACATACATTGAACTGCATCCTTCCGAAAATGTGGCTGTCCTCGAGGCCAACTCTTCCGTTGGTGGCGTTTGGGCGGAAGATCGGTTGTACCCCGGACTCAAATCAAACAACATGCTAGGGACCTACGAGTATCCGGACTTCCCCATGGATAGCGCAACATATGACGTGAAACCTGGAGAGCACATACCAGGAACAGTACTGCATCGCTATCTCACCGACTATGCGAAGAAATTTGGGGTGTACGATCGCACGCATTTCAACACGAAAGTCGACTCTGTCATGGCCACCGAAGATGGTGGCTGGATGCTCAAGACATCGTCTCCGGAGCTGCCAACCGTGCAGACCAAGAAGCTAATTGTGGCCACGGGGTTGACATCTCAGCCGTACATACCGCAACTGACTGGCATGCAAGAGTTCCAAGGGTCATTGTTCCACGTGCGAGATTTTGCAAAGCACGCAGACGCCCTGAAACGAGCCAAACATGCCGTAGTTGTCGGAGGGGCCAAATCCGCCTGGGACGTGGCCTATGCGTTTGCGGAAGCCGGGGTCCCTGTCGACATGATAATTCGGAAGTCAGGTCACGGGCCAGTGTGGATGGCGCCGCCTTACGTGACGCCCCTCAAGAAGTGGCTGGAGAAGCTCGTCCACACCCGGTTTATCACCTGGATGAGCCCTTGCATATGGGGAGATGAGGATGGATACTCTGGCATCCGCCATTTCCTTCATGGCACCTTTATCGGCCGTGCCATTGTCAGCACTTTCTGGAAGATCCTCGCGTCCGATGTCATTTCCTTGAACAAGTATGATTCTCATCCCGAACTCCGCAAGCTCAAACCCTGGGACCCGGCGTTCTACATTGGTAGCTCATTGAGCATCCACAACTATCCAACCAGCTTTTTTGATCTTGTCAGAGAAGGCAAGGTACGCGTGCACGTCGACGAGATCGACCAGCTTGACGAAAAGTCGGTCAAGCTGGCGTCTGGTGACTGCATCGAAGCCGATACCATAGTGTTGGCGACGGGATGGAGGAAAGAGCCATCGCTCGAATTCCTTGGTGGCATTGAAGCCGAGGTTGGCCTTCACCACTCGCCATCTGACCTGGAAGAACAGACCAAGACTGCCGACGCCGAGATTCTGAAGCGGTTCCCCAGCCTCAAGACCCAACCGCCACGCAAGGACCAGCTCGAACACGCCCTGGCAGAGAGAATGAGACAACCACTCCGAATGTATAGATTCATGGTTCCACCGGCTTTTGCGGCCAGCGGCCGTCATCGCAATCTTGCCTTTGCCGGCATGTTGTCCTCGATTACGACCTCGATCCTCGCCACTGTCCAGGCGCTCTGGATCTCGGCCTTCTTCGACGGCAAGCTTGACAGGTTGCCCAACAATGAGGAGGATATCAAGTGGCAGACAGTCTTGCATACTCAGTTCGGCAAGTGGCGGTACCCGATAGGATATGGCCCGAGTTTCCCTGATTTTGTCTTTGACGCGGTGCCGTACGTGGACATGTTGTTGCACGATCTGGGCGTTCAATCTCATCGCAAGAAGGGAATGGCTGACGTATTTGACCCGTATGGACCCGAGGACTATGCTGGTCTCGTGGACGAGTGGAGGAAGGGACATACTGCTGTCTTGTCAGATGAGAAGGTTTCAGAGTCGGCTTGACCAAATTTCTAGAAGTTCAGGGGGTCTTGCATGTTCGAGCTGGGGACAATGATGTTGACCGAGTACCTCCGGATCGTCCAGCAATAACCAGCCAAACCTGAGCATGCATGTTTAGTAGGGCATAGTCACCAATTCCATCACACAAGACAGCATGTACAGCACATTTTGATAGATTCCGTTGGTATTTATTCCAACAGCCATCTCAACCTGGTCTCCCTCACACCTCCCAAATGCGTAGAATTAACAACGGCACTGCCGGCCACCGTTCCCCAATCACTAAGGTTCAGATCCGCGACAGGCCCAACGGTCGATGTCGCCACCAAGACGATGCGGGCATGCTGATCGGCGGTGTCGCGGTAGTTAAAGTCCAGTGGCTCGCCACATAGCAAGCGGGCTTTGCCGTTGGGGATTGTTTCGTTCAGCCACGTTTCCAGGGCGGGTGTCCAGTGGGATGGGTAGAACTCGATTTGGATCTGAGCCTCGACTTCTCGTTTGCTGTCAGTGTTGCCTTGTTCAGAAGCAGAACCGTGGCTGCCGTCATCATCATCATACACTTCACCGACAACCAAATCACACACCCAGCGGTCGTAGCCTTCAGGGACAAATTTCGTAACGACGCGCTTGACGACGATGGTATACCAGTGGCCGACTAACGAGCCCAGCTGGGCATCGAGATCGCCGTAGATGCGGCCCTCGAGCCGCGCCAGATACTTGGGCGCCCAGGAGTAAGGGGCAGGCAGGCCCCGGGGGCCATGCATGGCGGCGATGCGTGCGGCATGCCGAGGCTGCGAACGCAGGATCTCCAACATGCCATCCTCGTAAGTATAGTGCGGCTTCCACTCGAGGCCGAGCAAGGCAAAAAAGCCTCTGGCGTAGTCGACCTCATTCTCGCAGGAGCGGTGGTCACAGCTCAGTGCGATATCGGCGAGCGAAATGCCCTGTTGATGTAGGGGCACCAAACGCTGAAAGGTCAAGTAGATCTGATGCCAGCGGTCCTCGTCGCGAGATTGGGCAGTACTGAGGGCGGTGACCATGTCCTCGAAATCGACGACGTGGGTTGCCGTTACAATCTTGAGTTTCTGTGCCAACTTGGCTTCCTGATATGTCCAGACGCGCGAAAGCCACATGCCGCACGACAGGACGGCCGCGGTGATGAGCGGATCGCCGGCACAGTTCAACTGCAGGGTAAGGCTGTCAAGAACCACGATTGCCGTGGCATTGGCGTAAACGTGCCGCAGGTTGTTGATCAGTTTGGTCTTGAGCACTTTCGTGGCCGCGTCGTGGCCCTTGGGGATCGCCAGCAAGTCGAACCAGACCCATTCGCTGCCACTGCCACATCGCCGGACGACGTCCATGATCCGGATGAAATGGTGCATGTTGAGCCCGCGCTCGTCTTGCTCCGTCTTCTCGTCGTGATACTCCAGCGCCATCGTCTCCGCCCACACGTGCGAGATCGCCATGTACCCGCTGTCCATGATCCGGAAGGTGCCCCATCTATTGACGCATAGTGCTTTTCCCGACTGGGCGGCTTCTTCCAACAGTCTGACATCGGCCTTGACGAAGAACGACGACGAGATTACTCCCACGTTAAGATCTGCCATGTACTGCAGCGTCTTCTTGCGTTCCTCCTTGGAGGCCAGCAACAGTAACGGCGAAAATGGTATGGCGAGCGCATCTACGGCTCCCACCATGGCCACTTTGGCCGCCAGGCCTTTCCACCGGCTTTTTGAGTCTTGGGCCACGGTCCTATACAACGGTCCCAGTGGGTACAGTTTTCGTGCCTCGTCGCCATTGTCATTGCCTTCCTTGATCGGCGGCATGTGTTTGTCGAACAGGTCGCGGACCTCCTGCGGCGGCCAGTGTCGGAACTCGTTGAGAGATCCTAGTAGGCTTCGTTGAGCTCCTATCCAGTTTGACCGCAGGATCTGGCTGATCTGTTGGCGTCGCGCCTTTCCGGCCTTCCATGCTGCCTCATTGCCCGTGCTGTCGGCGGTGGTAGAAGTAGAGCCCTGCTCGTCGGGACGCAGCCCTGCTGTGGCCATTGACGCGAGGATTGTTCTGTGGGTTCTCAGGAGGTTGAACAGCGGAGCCGGGGCCGGCGAGGCACAGGCAGACCTACCACTAAATATATGCCTTGGGTAGCCGTTCGGAGAGGCTTGTCTGCACAGTGGTCGCGCTTTCAGCATGCAATTTGAGCTGTGCCCGCCTTGTCAGCCTCACGCACTCACCCATGAGCCCCTGGACACCGCAGCAATTCAATGTTTCAGCCCAGTGTGACATGACCAATCCGGTGCCTGGCCGCAAGCAAATGTGCATGATTCCGTCCTCCTTACATGATCTTTCGGCGTCTGGTAAAGCAAGCCTCGAGTGGTGTAGGCAGCTTTGGCTGGCAAGGTTTCCTGACAAAGTAAGAGTAGTGACCGTTTCGTAAGCACATTCGGGTTTGGTTGACTCAAACCAAGACGAGGGGAATAATCATCTTGCTTCTGACATGGCTGCTATGTCCAAGAATAATAATAAGTGGCTATCTACATGATTGATCTCTAGAAGCAGGGCTGCTTCTGCGTAAGAGACAACAGCCCCGACAACCAATCAAACCTTCCTATTTACATCACACCAGAACGTACAAACTGCACATCGCGCTCAAACCTAGGATCATGCTGATCCAGAAAGCAGCATTATTGAAAACCCAACGGCCGCGAATGTACTTACTCCGTTGCAGTGCGACAATCGGCAATTGGAGCATCATGGCGATGAAGCCATAGCCGCGCAGTTTCTTGGTGATGCACCCCATGATCAGCTCATGTCCGAGCGCACTGATCAGGAAGGTAATGACCATTGCGATAGTCGTGGAAAAGTAGGTCTTGGAGGCGAAAAAGACATGCCTCCGCAGGAAGTGGTACACAGGGATATTCCATTCCCTCGAGAACTCTAGCCAGTCGCTGCTATTCCACCAGTCAGAGTAAAAATGACGGTCGGCAAAGCAGGTGATTTCGGCAAAAGCGCCCAGGATGTATTCCCAAATGACAAGGAATACCAAAAGGAAGGTGATCATGAATGGGAACAGCAACATGCTCGTGGTTTCGGCCAGAATAAGCGCCATATCGGAATATGAGTTGACGTGGCGTAGGCGGATGGCCGACTCGGATAACACAGGTGTGATAAACTCTTCGCTAATGGTGATCATGAGGAATATGCAGCCAAACACAGCCAGCGTCTTTTGAAACAACTCAAGCCATCGTATCTTGGGCGTCCGTGGGTATTCGAGCTCATAGCACAAAGTTGGACACAAGATATAATCGATATAGTTGCGCAGCGTTAGGTTTTGTGGATACGTGACTTGCCCAAGAGGAGAAGTCAATTCGGTCGCCAGGTCTTGTCGAAGCTGTACAAGTTCTTCCAGCGACTCATCGTCCGTCGAGCTGTCGGGATCCAGCTCATGCAACCGGGACGGGGAACTGGGGTATTTGATAGCTTTGGCCATGTCCGCCGTTTCGGGTTTGTCCAATTCTTGCAATCGCCGTTCGGCCTCGCTCAGATGGCCGTTGTAGAATGCGTAGGAGTGCATCTTCATCAAAAAGGTCAAAGTGTGTAAAGCGAAGAAGACCTGCGCCGTCCATGTCCAACGCAGAAAAAACGGCAACTCGACCCAGATAAACAGCCAGATGGCTTGGTATATGCTCTGCAGCCAGATCCCAGCTTTTCGCCAACGCAGCCACCCTTTTTGGCCCCGAACCATTTTTTGAATGGGTAAGCTTATTGCTGTACTGGCGACCATGGCAGCATCGGCCAATGCGAGTGAGACGACGTTCCTAGACAGCAGTGAATACACCTCCACCCGCAACGGATGGCCTGTCTCTTTGATGTTGCGGAGACCTGTGGTAATGACCATGATGGACAGACTGATCCAGAACAGGACGAAGAACCCTCGGAAGTCCCGGTAATCGCTTCTTGGGTCAAAATAAGAGACTCGGTCCATGTAATTGATCGTGTGGAACATGCGGTGCTTCGCTTTGGCTCGAGCATGTTTGCGTGCCGTGGAAATGTGACGGACTGAGGGCGGCGCATCTTGAGGAACAGGTGTCGAACGCCCACTACCGCGCAATGTCAGTCTTTGAACAAAAGCACCGATGGCAGTAGTACAGACTTACCTTGAGACACTGGAAGAGGCTTCAGCAAAGCCGTTGGGAGCCTGCCCGGCTGCCCGCAGTGCCTCGGGCAAGGCTCTCGTCGGCCTGGGACGGAGCAGATTTCGCTCCTGACTGGCAGAACGACGAGCGTCCATGACGAGACAATAGATAAACGCTGGAAGATGGAGAAGCTACGAAGGATGAAGGACAATAATATTCATGCCTATGGTTGAGCAGAAGGCAGCCATCATTTGGCAGACCTGGCTTCTCTTCTGTAAAACTGGCAATAAGTCATACGGAAACCGTCGCGTCGATCGTGTCGAGAGTGATGCAAACTGGATTCGGGATCGTGGCAGCCGAATGCGCAGAGACAAGAAACCAGGGTCCATTTTATTATGGGCTCTGCCCTATGCATGTGCAAGGAGCAGGGTTTTGGGGGCTTTAGGCAGCCTGAGCCCTGGATGGGCGTTGTCGTATCCCGTATTCGGCCCTGACACGGTGCCGCCTGCGCCATAGAAACTCGAGAACTGCCACCTCGAACTCCAGAAACTCCCAATCCAGCTTCTTCTCGAGCCTCACGACGTCACCCGTGACCTTCCAGTTCGTAGCGAGTTTGCATTCCCCATTCCTCCGATTGGATACGTTTGACGGTAGTTGTTACTGCTGGAGCTGCTGACTGTGATGTTACGACTGTCTCCATTCTCACCATCACGGCGGCCGAAACCTCGCAGTCTGTCGAACACCTGTGACTGCGCTCTGCAGCTGTCTTACCGCTTGGCCCGTTCCTGAGCTCATCCGCTGTTGGAAACATGCCGAACAGATGGAGTGTATAGGAAGACGATCCTCGCGGCGGCTCGGAGAGAATCTACGATGGGAACAAGAAGATCTTGCATTTAATTCCGTTGCTGTGTCTGTGAGATCACCACCGAAACAGCCAGTTGTCACGGTCAATTGATAATATACGAAGAGCCATATCGAGGTGAGCACCTGTCGAAGATGTAAGTTTTATCGAGTGGGTGCGATTGCAATCCACGTTACTGCGTATTCAAGAGCTGTTCACCGTTCTCGGCCGACTTCCACCATATACCCAGCTTCCAGCTTCCAGCAGGGGTATGTGGGCAAGGTTCTACTTCCTGACAATCACTCTCTTGATCCGTCATACGGAGAGCATGTGGGAAGTGTTCACAATCTTTGCAGCACACCTCCAATGGCGCAGGTGACTTCGAAATTACTGGGAAGGACTTGGCCTGCTACCTCAGGTCCAGAATGCGATAGGCACTGGGGCTGGGAGATACCCAACCATGGCCGTCCACTCCCTTAGGCAAGGAGACCGACCATCATAAAGTGGTCATTCATTTACCAGTCACAGTTGAGACTGGTGATCCGGTCGGATAGGCTTCTTGTATAGGCAGAACCGAAGGAGATGAGTCTGCCGCTATGTCAACCGTCTCGTCAGGGCTAGATCACCATGATGGAAATAAGCTTCAAGTTTATGATGTACCTATCCATTCTCGATACCTTCAGACAATTGGTGTGTCCGTAGTGCTTGTCCAGCTGGCCCTTCCTAGACGTAGAAGTAACACTCATGCTAAAGTGTCGTGGTCCACATGAGCGAAGGAGACGGCGCAACAGTTTAAACATGAATTACCACCCTGTGGCTACTCGGAGGACCAACGTACATTTAATATTGTCGATAAGTCCAGCAGCACAGTGCAGTATTGACAGTGCCTGGGTGCCAGTGACAATCTGAACTCAGGCTGTCATCATCCCCCTTTACAAAAACGGCTTGGCGAGGCGGGCTCCGATTGGACAGACGCGGAGGACACTTTGTGCCGCATCAAGTCGTGGATTGACAGTTCAAGCGTGCATCAACTCGAAACGCACACACCTCGTTCAGCAAGAGCCGTCTGCTCACAGAATTTCAGCGGCTGCGGCGGCAGACTCTGCATCCAAATCTACCTCAATCTCCACGTTGACCTCTATGAAAGAGTGACAAGTTCCTCGACCCTGTGTAGGGTCAGCTCACGATGACATCCCGTGCGTGTTCCATCAGACTGTTAGGCGGATCAGGCTGCTAATCTTCTTCAGTCAAACAATTCATTCGCAATGTGCGCGCCGCCAAAACCATTGCCGACGAGCGAGCCGTTGTCCAGAAAGAAAGTGCGGCAATTCGGGCCAGTTTTCGAGAAGAGAGCCATAACCCAAACATAAGGTAGCCCCTCGGGTACCGCCTACGCAAGGAGCATTGGCTGATTTCATTGAGGCGCAATAATGTTGCAAAACTCTTATACCTTTTCACCCTCGGCGAGAGAACACACTTCGGCCAGATTGAATGTCTAAAACTGTTGGCCTCGCCGTCTTTCGCGGACAAGCGATTGGGCTACCTGGGGACGATGCTGCTTCTCGACGAGAATCAAGAGGTTCTGACGTTGGTTACGAACTCGCTCAAAAAGTATGTCTCCCTAGAGTCAATACAAGCCGGCTGCTAACATGATAAAAGTGACCTCAATCATCACAATCAGTACGTGGCTGGACTCGCTCTCTGCACCCTCGGCAATATTGCGTCGGTGGAAATGTCCCGCGACCTGTTCCCGGAGATTGAATCCTTGATCTCGACTTCGAACCCTTACATTCGTCGAAAGGCGGCCCTCTGCGCGATGCGGATATGTAAAAAGGTCCCCGATCTCCAGGAGCATTTCCTCGACAAAGCAAAAGTGTTATTACAAGACAGAAACCATGGAGTGCTCCTCTGTGGGCTGACATTGATTACAAGCTTGTGCGAGGCGGATGAGGCAGAAGGAGGGGAGGAAGGTGTGGTGGAAATGTTCCGACCAGTTGTGCCTCATCTCGTGCGGACATTGAAGAACCTGACCAGTTCTGGGTACTCTCCGGAACATGATGTCTCAGGGATTACGGACCCGTTCTTGCAGGTCAAGATCCTCCGGCTTCTGCGAGTTCTTGGGAGAGGGGACGCCGCGACCAGCGAGCAGATGAACGATATTTTGGCACAAGTAGCCACCAACACAGAGGCTACGAAGAATGTGGGTAATTCGATCTTATACGAGGCCGTCCTGACCATCCTCGACATCGAAGCCGATTCCGGCCTGAGAGTGTTGGGAGTCAATATTCTTGGAAAGTTTCTGGCCAACAAGGACAACAATATTCGCTACGTGGCGCTCAACACACTGATCAAAGTGGTGGCCATCGAACCCAATGCCGTCCAGCGCCATCGAAACACCATCTTGGAATGTTTGAGAGATCCCGACATCTCAATCCGACGACGGGCGCTGGATCTCAGTTTCACTTTAATCCGGGAAGATAACGTGCGGGTGCTGATCAGAGAACTGTTGGCGTTCTTGGAGGTGGCCGACACAGAATTCAAATCGGTCATGACGACGCAAATCGGCATTGCCGCCGACCGTTATGCGCCAAACAAACGCTGGCATATTGACACAATGTTGAGGGTGATCAAGCTGGCCGGAAACTACGTCAAGGAGCAGATTCTCTCGTCCTTTGTCCGCCTCATTGCAACGTCGCCCGACCAACAGACGTACTCGGTACAGAAACTGTATGCAGCATTGAAAGCTGACATCACACAAGAGGCACTGACGTTGGCTGGGGTCTGGGTCATTGGTGAATATGGCGATGCTTTGCTACGCGGAGGAACGTACGAAGAAGAAGAACTTGTCAAGGAAGTAAAGGAAAGTGATATTGTTGATTTGTACACGACCATTCTCAACTCGACCTACGCCAATCAGGTCGTTACCGAGTTCATCATCACCTCCGCCATGAAGCTCACGACGCGCATGTCGGATCAGTCACAGATTGAGAGGATTCGCCGCCTGATGCAGTCAAGGACGGCAGATCTGAGTGTCGAAATCCAACAAAGGGCGGTGGAATACAGCAACCTCTTTGGCTACGACTCAATCCGTCGCGGCGTCTTGGAGAAGATGCCACCTCCAGAAATCAAAGAAGAGCAACGAGTCCTGGGCCAGGCTGCAGCCCCTGCCAAGGATAAGCGGAAGACGTTGAAGAGCAAAGCCAACACCAAAGTGGCCAAGACCAGCGAATCGGACATGCTCCTGGACTTGATGGGTGGATCGGATGTCCCCGCGGTCGACACCAGCGCAACAGTCAATGGACAACAACAGACGGCGGACTTGTTGGCTGACATTCTCGGAGGTGGTACGTCGGTGTCGAGCCCTCCGCCCCAGAGCAAGGGACCTGCGCCAGCCTCAAATGCCAATTCTATAATGGATATGTTTGGCAATGGTACACCAAAACCGGCCAGTCCCGCTCCTGGTGGCACGCCGGCACATCCCGTCTACAACAAGAATGGGCTGTCAGTTGCTATACAAGTCTCCAGAAGCGGAGCTGGAATCCAGGCTCTTGCTCGGTTCAAGAACACCACATCGTTTGAGCGGTTAACTGGTGTCGGACTGCAAGCAGCGGTACCAAAGAGCCAGAAGCTGACGCTGCAAGCCATCAACAAAAGCACCCTCGAGGCTGGCGAAGAGGCCACTCAAGGGATGAAAATAGTTGCGGCAACAGGGGTAAGTCTGTTTTATCTCGAAATCATTTGGACATCTGCTAATCTGAGCTCTTCCAGCCACTGCCACCAAAACTCCGCTTACGACTAAAGATTTCATATACCAAGGAGGGAGGTGCTCCTATCACCGAGCAAGTCGACTGGACGGAGCCGTAGATAGGGCGCATTTGGGACAACACGGCAATTTCTCGGCTTCCGAAGGTGAGGAAGGCTTGCCTTCGCATTGCCCGTCGCCCGCTCAGTCAGATTCCGATCATTAGAAGCGCATTTAAACAGTGTCACCGTATAGAGGGCGCGTGAGGGCCAGTCGAGGGCACACATGGAATCATGAAAGAGGCATTCATTCAGGATATCCACCACAGGGTACCAACCTACAGTAGTAGGTCGGGATATAGTGAACAAGCACTCGAGCTGCGGACGACTGTAGCCAAGGCGCATCTACTCCGTCCTCGCGGTGTGTGTGCAAATGCGGTGCAAAATACAAATACCGAAGGCAGCAAACGTGGATATGTCCCCATATTTTTATTCTTTTATAGTGGCCATATCGAATACTCCATCAGCGACAGATAAATTGTTATTTGTCCCATACAATTTTATACAAGCCCCCATCCCGCGGCCGCGGCCCCGGCGCCGACGACTTTTGCATCCCGCAATGTGGCACTCCAGTTGGCGGAAGTTTTCCGCTGCTCACATCCCGCCCTCCACTCAGCCACCCACCGTTCATCTGCGTAGACACTCTTTTGCCCCGTCTTTTCGCATCTCCGTCCCGTGGTTCCTTTCTCCAGAGACTCGGAGAAGCATCAAAAGAGACTGTGGGATTCATTAGCTTTGCTTCTATTGGCCAAGTCATGTACGCCACGGAAGTCCGCCGACTGGCCCAATAGTATGGGTATGTATTAATCTGACCCTGTCCGTCATGATGCGGGATTCAAATTGGGTTTGATATCTTTCTACCTTTTTGATTCTACGAAGACTTCGCATTCCAGGAAAGACAGACATTTTTGTTCTTCTCTCCAGCCCTGGGTGGCTCTGAAAGCCCGCTTGTTCCCTTCTATCTCGTCTCGTCTCCCCGTTCTAAGCGCCCGCCCACGATTTCCCCGCAATCATGTTGCTTCAGCTACTAATCTACGCCGTACCGGCCATCCTGGTTGCGGTCTTACTACAAAACTACTTCTTCCTCAGGTCGATCCCGGGCCCTTTCCTAGCCAAGTTCACCGACCTATACCGACTTCTCCTGGTACTGGGACGAAAACCGCACGAGAAACATCTGGAACTACACAAGCGGTACGGCAATGTGGTGCGGCTGGGCCCAAAATGTGTGTCTGTGACCGGGTCTGCGGGCTATATCGGCCAGATCTACGGGATTGGCAAAGGGTTGGTCAAGTCAGACTTCTACAGCTGCTTCCAGAACATCGTGAACGGACGTCGCGCGGCCAGTTTGGTGGCCATGACGGACGAGTCGGAGCATGCCAAGTCGAAGCGGCAGATTGCGCACGCATACTCGCTCAGCACGCTGGTCGAGTATGAAGAGCTGGTGGACCGGACGACAGATGTCTTTCTGGCGACGCTGGAGGAACGGTTTGCCGCGAACAGAAAGAGCGAGAGTCAACTGGCACAACGAGGCCAAGGCCAAGTCCTCGATCTTGGACGATACCTACAGTTCTTTGCATTTGATGTAATCGGCGAACTCACCTTCAGCCGACGGCTGGGATTCATCGAGTCCGGAACCGATGTCAACGATATCATTGACGCCATTGGCGCCAACTTCAACTATTTCAGTGTTCTGGGCCAGATGCCTTGGTTGGACGAGGCGTTCTTGGGCAAGAACCCGATTTATGTCAAATGGTTCCGCAAGAGCGTCAGCTCGCCTATCCTTCTTTTTGCGCAGTCCCTACTAAAAGAGAGACTACGAGATATCGAGCGGGGGGAAAAGGAGTCGGATCGGGCGCTGGACAGACCGGATTTCCTGAGTCGGTTTCTGAAAGTCAGAAAGGAGGAAGCGGATCCAGAATCGGCGTTGACGGATGCCCAAATTTTGTCTCATTTATTTGTAAGTCGAAGACTTGTCTTGCAAGGAAACCCATGATGGAGTTCGTACTGACTTTTTTGTTTGTTCATAGATGAACATCAACGCCGGCAGCGACACCATCGCCTCGACCCTCCGAGCAATTTTTTACCATCTGCTCAAACACCCAAGCACACTATCTCAACTAGTCAACGAACTAGACACGGCCGTGTCTGAGGGCAAAATCGCCCACCCTCCGTCTCCCACGTGGTCCGAGACCCAACAACATCTACCTTACTTATGTGCCGTGGTCAAAGAGGGGCTCCGCATGAACCCGGCGCTATCTTTGCCGCTGGAACGAGTTGTGCCCGGCGAAACTGGCAACAGCAATAGCTATAATAAAACGGGAAGCGGTGGTGGAGGTTTAGTTCTCCAGCACGAGGACGGATCCACACCTACTATTCTCCCGCCGGGTACTATCGTCGGAATTAACCCGTGGGTATTCCATCGGAGTCCCAATGTGTTTGGACCCGATGCCGAACAATGGAATCCGTCGCGGTGGTTGACCGAGCATGAGAAACAGACAAAGCATATGGAGCACAGTCTGTTGGCGTTTGGAGCGGGGAAGAGATCGTGTCTGGGGAAAAACATCGCTATGCTCGAGTTGCATAAGTTGGTGCCTGCTCTACTGCTGCAGTTTAACCTCGAGCTCGCCGATCCGCAGAAAGAGTGGGATGTGAGTAATGCCTGGGTGTTGAATCAGACGGGGTTGGATGTGAGGTTGACCGTGCGGTGACGGTGATGATCACTCTATGGAGCGAAGTCAAGTAGGTATTGCCTCATACTATGGAGCGTCGCGAAGTATGTACTATGTTCTATATACTACAATGTTGCAGTAGTAAGAGTAATATGTTTTGGTCATCAATCACTACCCCAGATATCGGCATAGTTGATTTGTGCGATATCTACTGCACAATGTCATACTATCAGAATTACTTTATGTAGAAGACTTGTGCCTTGGACCACCCATGAACAAGAAGCCCTGGGCGACTTTAGGCGTTCAATTGGATCCGACTGGCTCGAATGAAGTTGAGGCAGGTATATTGATTACTTTACAATGAGGATGTCGCCCCAAGCGAGTATTTTAGTCCATTATGTATAGGTCACGTAGCGCAGAGCTTGGGGTTGCATGTCCGTCAGGCAGTACAGTCCTGATCCGGGTTCTGGTCCACCGAAAACATCACCGTCGTGATAGCCATGACCAGCGCTGCGATTATCGAATTCGGCGGCAACGTTAGCGGGGTCATCGAAATCTTCGTCGTAGTCGTGATAATCATCAGCCCCGCCAGGGGTATCGTAGGGACTGAAAGCAGAGACTTCGACGCGGTCCTGCACTTTTTTCGATGCTCGGATAGGCGTAGATGGAGGGGCCGCACCGACGCCTTCGACTGCCTGCACAGACTGGCTGGACATTGCAGAAGCGGCTGAAATGGAAAATGATGCCAGAGTCGGAGCAGTGACTGGTATTGAAGGATTAGTTGCGACAGCAACATCTGCTCGTCCATTATCTCGTCCGACTCCGGTAAAAGTAGGGATGGGGGCTCCCGATAGTTGCTGCAGGTCGATCCTAACCCGTCTCTGGCTGTTGCTATCGCTCTCGCTGCCACTTCCACTCGTACTGTCGCTTACTGTTGGAGTCCCAAGGTCCGTCTCGATCCTTGTCGACGGCTCAATTGGACCTAAAGGTGTAGGAGGACACCGGGTATCTAGACTCGTCGACCACCTTGAGACCAGGACTGAGTCGGAGGCACGGTTGGAAATCAAACTGGACGAAGGCTCGGTGGAGCTCGTGCGAGAGCTCGAAGATGCGGGCCGTTGTATCTGTATCAATTTTGGTTTCCCAGGCCCGATCCCAATCAACAACGTTGCTATCATCTAGAGCAGGGAAAAGAAGTGTCAATTCAATACGATACGAGCACACCGGGTTAATACGAAACTCACCACTGTTCCCTCTACACCAAGTCCCTCATCCTCATCGCGATCTCCATTCTCACAATCCGTGCCGCAACCGTAGCCATAGCGATGATTGTATCTCAGTTCAGCAGTCCAAGGTCGTTGAACAACTTGACATAGACGCGCTTTAAACCTCCGACGTCTCTCTTCGTGAGACGTGGTGTTTGCCAGCCATCCAGACTCGTCGGAGGAACAGAATGCCACGGCCTCACGATTGCGAGCTCGTTTGAGATCGCACCTGACATTGTCATTGCCGTTGCCGTCTTCGTAATCGTTGCAGCGATGGTTACGACACTGACCAATATCATGATTAAGGTCCAATGGCGTGGGTGGCGTAGATGGCTCCAGAACGGAATCAGTGCTTGATAATGGGCTCGACGCACTGCAGCACTCTCCGCTACCAACTGTACCTCCTTCATCTTCGTAGAAACCAGAAGTGTTTTGATATCCACTGTGGTGAACTCTCTCCGCAGATTTGTGTCTGCCGTCGTCAAAACCGAGAGTATCTCCTTCGACACTCTCATAGTCTTGCTCGTGCTGGTGTCCTAATTCGTCTGCCTGTGCTTGTTTGGGTGTTTTCTGGGCGAAACCAGTGTGACCCACCACGACCGTCTCGTTTGATTTCGTCGATCCCGTGCTTTTCTCGTCGACCTGAGCGGGAAGTCTGCCAGACTCGTTGTAGTAATAGGACAGTAGTTGTGCATCGTCTTCCGTGCTGGAGTCTGCCTCCGAGTTTGTGTCTGAATCCTCCAGCTCTTCATCAGTCGAGGAAGCATTAGATTCCTGTTGCAAGGGATGCTTTTGAGCTACTGTCAAGCAGTCATCGTAAGTGCCCCGCTTGTAAGAACATGAATAAGAGCATGACTGTCTCGTGTCCTGTAAGCAACTCAAATAATCATCATTCCACTTCCTGTTGACGATATAGCGCTGCCATTCGTCATCATTTTGTGTACTGCTCCCTTTAGGGATTGGGCTTGGTAGAAGGCGCTTGACTGGAGTCACATGCGAATTGCCGTGTCGTTGTGCGTGTGCCACGGCACGCAAGTCATAGCTCGTCGGCGTCCTGCGCAGAAGAGTTTGCAACCGTGAAGGCGGATGGAACGGCAATGGCAATGGCGATTCGTCTCCCTCTTGCTGTGGGTTAGCAGGGACAGGGTCATGAAGTAGTAGTGGGAGCTGCAACGGTGGTCCCCGGTGAGTTTCAAAGTCTGTTCGCGAGATCATCACACTCTGGTTCTTCTCGACTCGTGTGATATTGCTATCCGACTGTTTTTCGACGTGGTTGCGAATGTTGTCGTCCTGATTTGGCCATACTGCTAGAGGTACCCCAGAAGAAGCCTCAGTCTTGAATATCCCTAGTGTTGCTGTAGAAAATTGTAGACGGGATCCGGGACTGTTGGAAGAAAGACTCGTTGGCAATGGAGGGCTCGTTTGTCTGCCTGTGGTCATGCCATAAATGCGACAATGGTGCAACGAGCGTGAGCGCGAGCGCGAGCCCGCGCGAGGTCCAGAAAAGGACGGTTGTACCATATCGCCGCCATAGCCCTGGATTAGGCTCGCGTGGAAAAAAGGGTGTTCCATTTTTGCTGTAGGTAGGTAAATCAATAGCTTGACAAGGTAAGCAACAAGAGGAAACAATCGCGTTGGACGTTTTCTCCGTCTGGTCCAAGAAGGGTGATATGAAACATATATTCCAGAGTTATGCTCAAGGAGAACAGAGAGGGCAAGGGAACGAAAGGGAAACCAAGGCACAAGAAGGGGGTTAGAAAGAGCGACAAGTCTCCTGTTCAATATCCGCTTCGCAGCGCGTCTTTCAAATCAAACCGCCCTGTCATAATGTCCTGGACCCGAGTACAAAGCGCCAGCCGTCGGGAAGGTGCCTTTTTACAGACTCGATAATGTCGTCGAGGTACACGTCCAGTTCCATTTGACCCTTACATGCAATGATGACCCCCAGCAAGCAGCCGAAAGGGGTGTTCGGAATCGGCCGTATGTTGCACAGAAAAAGAGCCCAGTCATAATGAACGGGGCTATAGGGAGTTGGTAGTCCAGCCACGGCGTCCTGACACACGCAATATCTGGCGTTGGATATGAGCATTGCTTGAAACACCCCTTACGTTACTGCGCCATCGGGGGAAATTGAGGCTGCCATTTTCGCGACGCAACAAGATCGAAATCAGATCCGAGGATTCGTTCACAGGGGTCAGCTCAAAGAACAAGATCGTTTTCGCAAATTGTGAAGGGCGAAGTGCAGCATGTAATTGTCATGCCCTGTAGAAGATCGTGTACAGGGCGGTGACCTGGTGGTGTCGTGTCGCCATGTAGCGGTTACAAGCTGCGCAGTTCGAGTGTTCGTGCAGATTGCAGAGATTGATTCGCTGCCGAGTGCGATACTTCGTCCCGCTCCTTTTTGTCTCGAGCCTTTTCCCTTCAACCCAAAGCAACGACGCGACGACACACCTAGTTCAGCACAGCATTCCTATGCGGTACCTGCATGAACAGGAACTTCCTCTCCTTGTAGAATGATCTTTCTCTACAGTAGTATATTCGTATATCCATACATCCCCTCTACATATGTTCGATCGGCTCTTCCGGCAAAAGTTCACCACGCTCTTCTGCCTCTTGAGCCCGTGGCAAAAGAGCCTTGATCGGTGGTCTGATCAGGTCATTGAACATGAACGTGCCGTAGACGAGCTATTGAAGACCAGAATATTAGCATTTGTTTCTCACCCAACAGCGACCATTCTCCAAAACTTACCAAAGCAAACCCAACCACCTGGAGCCACTTGAAAGTCTCCCATCCCAAACCCAACGAGACAATCCAGATAAACAGAGTGCGACAAGTGTCAATGATGGATCGAGAGGTGGCCGAAATCGTCCTGGTCACCGACAAACCGAAAAAGTTAAACCCGCCAATGGACACCATGATAGCCAGACTAGAAATGCCAATGGCTCGATTTGTCAGAACCTGACGATATCCCTCAGCAGCATCGAAATAACCATATTTCCCGCTCTTGGAAATGCCGACTGTGAAGTGAAGAATGACCTGGGCCACGACAGTGACGATGAAGCCAAAGAGACCTTCCCAAGCCACGACTTTGAGTGGTTCCAGAGCGTAGTTTTCCAGAATCCATTCTTCCAGGCAGAACTGAGTGGCCGTAAAGATCTGCGCAAAAGCAATCAGACAGATTCCCAGCACTGTCTTCAGGACCGCCGGATCAGTGGCTTGAACCACGACCGCATCTCGAACACTGAGTAGGGTCTCGTGGAGGAGTAGTTCCGCATCTGTTGATCCTTGCGCGTTTTTGTCGCCCGAGTAGATGGCCCCGGCAAGGCCCACGAGAGCCACACCCAGCACCACAATCAGCAACGACACCCAGTGGTACAGAAACAATCGTCTCTTCAGAAACACGACGCTGAACAATCCGACGAACAAGACCAGTGCTCCTCTCGTCATCTGGTAGATGGATGCCGCCACGAACAACAGGCCGGCGTTCATCAGCGTCGTCCCGGCAATGTCGCAGCAGGCCGGAAGTCCCAACAGCACGAGCTTCCATCCTTCAAGTGGTGCTCGGTCGTCGGCGTTGGGGTAAAGCGGTTTCAGTGCTGGACTCGCGGCACCTGCACCTCGTGATGATGTCGGACGGACTGTATCGTCGTCTTCTTCCTCCTCTTGCTCTTCGTCTGTGTTCACAGGCCGATATAGGAGAGGCGCGTCGCTGTAGCGTAGGGCAATCAGGCGATAGAGGTAGAACCCCAGAATGACGATCCAGCTGCCCATTTCTCCAATGAACATCTGAACACTGTACTAGTGGATCAGCTGGTGAACACAGACTGGGACAAAGTAGGACTTACGTTTGGATGACCGGCTGCTCAAACGTCTGGTGGTGCTTGGGGTTCTTGTCGTCGCAGTTGCGAACACATTGTTGATCTTGGTACTTGGTGAGGATCGTGTTCGAGCAGCCCGTCAACAGCATCATTCCCACGAGGAATGGGATTATCCATTTATTCGCCATGTTGCAGGAGACGGCGTCGCCGCTGAAAGGAGTCGATGCTGGTCTCCCCGAGTCGTCGTGAGTGAAGTGCGTGCCTCGCAGCTTTCCCGGATACTAGTAGAGATATATGGTGTTCTGCTAGTAGCAGTCCTTCGAGTCGATCAGGGACCCAGCGGCGTCTGGCAGGTAAAGAAGTACAAAAGCCGAGGGCTTGAGGTTGTCGTGACGGAGATCTGAGCACAGGACTGGTGACAATTGAGCGCCCGCCGATACGGAGCCGGGGGCGGAATAACGCGATCAAATGATGAGAGGCGCAGATGACCACCGCAAGGGACCGTACCAGGATGACTGCAGATTCACGCCCACCGTGACTGGCCGGGGGATGCCTAAAGTTAGTGCTTGCAAACAAAGAGTGCTTTCTTTGATCAAGCCAGATTGAGAGATGTACAGGAGGTCTCTTCATCACAGCCCGAGGTCATTGTTATTACCATATTCGCAACCTGGGGCTGGAGCTATCGATAATCCTATCCACCCGTAGGTCCGTGCTGGAGGGATGGTCCTAGACTCAAAGCTCATACCAGGTCCAAGCGGTACCTTTCCGTTTCATGTACATATATAACTATCCACCCCTATCTGGGCCGTCGAGACTCCATGATGAATTTGGGTATATAGCCAGCTCAACGTTCCACCTCATCTCATTAACATCTTTTGTCGCAATATGCGGTCGTAAGGCGCTGACTCCAGGCCATGCTTCGGCGAACGATAATGGCGTCCGAACAGCATCTCGCATGAAATATACAAACCGAGAACACAGAATGACAAGTCCAACTGCTGTACCGCACCGTCCGTACATAGCATGGTAGGAAGTTCAAAGGTGTGATCCCGTGCTAACCGGCCGTCGAGTATACTCTGCTCGGCCGCCGTACACTGGATATACTACCGCTCCGACTCCGACGATGTCTGCGACTACCATTGCTGCGGACTTTGCGCTCCACGATCACCTCTTCCCGGCCTGGTCGTGAGTTGTTGTTGTTTAACGAATTGAAAAGGTAAATCAACAAGATCGTGCCGAAGAAAGTGCCCAGGATGGAGCCAGCCAGCGTCCCTCCTGAATACTGTCCTGAACATGACGGACTCGAACTGCTCTGGACAATGGTCGTCGTGGCCTGTCGGGCGACAAGAGCGGGCGTTGCGGGAAGAAGCGCAGAAGCGAGAGACGCCGCGAGGGGAGCCTAGCACAAACAGGCGCATAAGCATTTAATACCGCGCAGAGGGATGTTGGAATGGGGCGCGCATACCATTGCAGGGCGCTATAAGCCTCAAAGAATATCTCCGGATTTCAATGCGACACAAGATCGTTTGCCTGCGAAAGATCGTGGTTGCCGGCAGTGTTTGTCTCCTAGGGCGCTGCCCAATTGCGATGCCGCAGCTGTTCGCTGGCGCTGCGGAGGGAACAGCCGATGGTGAGGGTGGATGATTTTCTGTGTTTCCTGGCTCTCGCGTAGTATTGTTGCGACCTCACCACGAATGTATTGATTTTCTAGGTTGCAACATCACCGAAGGAACATGGCAGGAGTTCTGGTAGAGGGGTGAATTTCTAAGAAGGGGTTCTCGAATACATAAAACGGCACACTGACAGCGTTCCTGCGACGGATGCCCACCAGCAATGCAGTCCCGGATGACCAGGGTAGCAACGCGGCAACCCAGTTCGAGGTGGGCAGCACACACACATGCACTGGCAGTACGTTGTAGGCATGCAGTGCTGCAGCACAGCTACCTAGTAGGTAGGTAATCAAAGTGGACTCGGTGGTAAGAGGCGGCCTTAGCCCCTTGCTAGCCACCAGCTTTGACGTCAGCCGCCGTCTTTACCCAGTTGTTACCCCCCGGCAGGCGCCCCGAGGCTCGCGGATTCGGCGCACTGGCAGTCCAGCATCCACCGCGCCTTCTTGAAGCGCTAAGCACCAACTCTGAACCGTCAAGCATTCACCAGCCTCCAGCTCGATTCCACCCTTCTACTCCAACACCTCGGACGCGCCCCTTTTGGGCGAATATCGGGTTATCTAAGAAGTGGGATCTTGTGTCAGCGATCCATTGTCTGTTTTCCGCGATATTTTTATCATGTATGCTGACGTGGTGACGTCCATATACTACTACTAGTACCTAGTACAGACATTTGCAAGCAGTTTCCGGCCTTATCCACCATCCAAAGCACGAGAAGCATGACCTTTTTCTCTCCCAGCCGAGGTGCCCAGGGAACCAATTATGCCCCTTACTAGTATATCATCTGCAGTACTCCTGATGGCCTGATTGAAGCGATCTTCGGGTTTATCCTCCGGGGTCAGGGTAGTGCTGGCCGGCGTCCAATGCACTGACTTAAATGCAATGAAGGATGTATAGCGGCGTTTCTCCTGGCATATTGAACATTGCTGCAAAGGTCACCGCATTTGCGGTTGGCGAAGGTTAGCAGCGAGATCAAATGCCGAATTCCGACGCAGTCCCTGGATAGTCGCAGAAATCGACTCGAAGCTGTAGCCCACGATCCGGTCCTTCTTACCCTAGCGAGGGACGCGGGTTCCATAACCAGGACGATCGTTGTGGGCTTCCATCTAACGCCATCTTGCGCCGCAGTCCAAGCAGTCTGGTATCTCAAGTATGCAACAAACATGTGATGCCGGATCTGCGCTGTACACCCGGGCCCGTTTGGTGGCTCCGGACATTGAGTAGTCGCGTGTTCCACCATATTCATAACTTGGCTTCACGCGATCACTGTCAACGGTAGGTCGAATAGTTTGGTCTTGACGGCCGCCACCCGTCTATTCTCTCGACAATACCTTGCCGAGTTTATGGTCATCGAAACTATTTCGTCTTCCCCAATTCTTTGGTTGTCGTTTGAGGAACGCACCGACGGCGCCAAGATAGCCTTCATGTCGCAAAAAGTAGGCCTGTTTCTGACCCTGAGACCAAAATTTGATCGCGTAGGAAAGGGTGTTCATTGTCTGTGCGTGTCCGCGAATAAAGGAGCCACCAAAGTAGATATGTTGAAGATTGTGTTTCTCGGATTGTAAATATGCAATCTGGCCGATATTGTTGGAGATGGCATACAGTAGACTTCGCGCCATGTCTTCGATCTTGAAGCCGCCCAATCGATGATCACTATCACCATGGTCACCATTGAACAAGCCTTCGCCGTCTTCCGCATTCCTCTCAGCCATTCTCTTCATGCGGAAGACTTTTCCGAAAGTGCTGGCAATGGTCGTGCTCTTTAGCCCGATCTTGCCGTAATCAGTGCCATAGATATCGCCCACAAGCATGTCAACACCAGCGTTGTCGCCCTTTTCAGCCAGTTTGAGCATTTCGTCGAACGTGCGCGCACCAGTGAGAAGAGACAGGATACCCCAGAAAGTACCACCGCCCAGGGATGTACCGCCAACGCGCTGAAATTCTCTTGGACCCGACACTTTCACCATGGAAACACCCGAACCAATGTTGACCAGAAGATACGGATACACATCAGGGCGAGCTTCGGCGAACTGCATCGGCTCCTCTTCGCTATAGGTAAACACTTCCTGCGGGATCTCGGTAATGAAGAAGTCAAGGCCTAATCAAACCACCGTCAGCCATACTCCCGGGGGCCGCAGTTCGGATCTGTCAATCTCACCGATGATAAGACACTCCATCTCGTCCTCCTGCACCACGTCCACATGAAGAACCTCCTTCATGCGGTCATAGAACTTGTAGGCTCCTCCTCCGGTGGCCATAACGCACAGCTGCTGGGGCGTTGAGCCATTGAGTTTGGATTGTGTCTGTTTAAGCTCTTGAATAAAATCGATGCATAGATCAATCCGATCGGTTTCGAAGTTCACAAAGTTCAGTCGGCCACCACCATGAGTCTCTCCGGGTTCGCGGGAGAAGTAAACAAGTTTCGCGAGGGAGCCGCCAATCTAGATATGCGCATTAGCGACGACTAGGCGGAGGTAGCAGGTAGTAAGCTTCGGCAGAGAACATACATCCACAGCGACATGACTGACCACGTCATCATGGTAGGGCAACCGGATGTCTTTATCTTCCCAATGAACGTATTCGCTTCCTGTCCCGATTCTCGGGCTCATCTCGTCCTCCACGATAAAAGCGCCCTCGACATTGATCTTCACCGAGGCCGGCTGCGGGGGTGCCCGGGGCGCGCGACCAGGCGCATCGTTGTCTGCAATTGCAGAAGTCTCGTGCGGGTCGCCATGTGTTGAGGACCCTTCTAGCGTCGACATTATAGGAAATGTTGTTGAAAAAGTGACAAAAGGTCCATAAGCGAGGAGTCGGCCGGGGTGCGGTCGTGTGATTCAATTGTCAGCCACGTCGACAAACGTCTCAGGTAGAATAAGAGAGATAGAAGTCCATTGCTCGTGAAGTACTATCCCATGTACATTTGATCTGATCCGGCCGCCCGAGATCGTACGAGTCTGGTCGAATCGGGTCAGATCCCACAAAAGAAGCAGCCCATGAACCGTTTGTGCAGGGTGTATGTTGAATATTATTTGGCAGAGCACTAATAATAAATAGGTGTTAAGGCCCAGGTGCTCAGTCGTAGTAGGAACTTTAGGCCTCGGTCTTTCCCCAAGGGAATCTTCGGTTGGGCTGTTGGCGCCTACCAGGATCCGCTGGCCGGCTCTCGGTGAACCCCGCGGGGAGTTTGACCAGCGATAACAGTGGCCAAATTGCAATCTACACTGGCAGGCCGAGACCCTGCGAAGAGATACAGCTGTACAACTTGAACATCTGCCACAACAGTCTGCAGTATATCTGATAATCCTGCTCAGTGCCATCATCACTGCAGTGCTACTATGCTACTGTCACCTTACAATGTAACCCGCAATTGACCTTCACAGCTGAGAGACTGCTACTACTGTATTACAACACCACTATTCCACAAATCCAATTCGATCCGGCCTCATTGACCCACGGTAAGCGTCTCGTACCACTTTTAATAAGCCTGTCCTCGGTTCCCCGAGGCTATGCAATCAGATCAACCCACGATAGCCACGAAAACTCCGGGCATTCGGAGCCTTGCTTGCGGTCTGCACAGGCCTCGCTTCGAATCCTTTGTGACTTTACCATGTCTGGTCCGATCATGTCCTCCGCCGGTCTTTTTATTTATTCTTCATATCGCACATATGCTGGTCGTTGTTAAGAGCAATGCCCATGTCCAAATCGCAGGTGAAAGGTGCATAGCCAGGCTTGCTGAGTTTGCGCTTTGTGGTTCCGAGGTAGGAGTTGCAATGGCCGAGACAAATGTGGCCGATCCTACCAGCGTTGCTTGAGCACATTCTTCTGGCGTTGTTCCCTATGCCTTGTCAGCAACTGCACCTAGATGAATGGCATTCCCCCCTCTAAAACTGCTGAAGGTATAAACTGGCGTGCTACGGAAAAAGTACCATACCGGTTGACAACAGCGGTCGGCGGCTACCCCTGTACCACAATCAAACCCTCCACTGCACACCCCTGACAGGCCATTCATCAGCTGGGGACTCAATGCAGCACCGCAGCATTGACATACCGCTGCCATCCGCACAGCATACATCGCCGACGCTGGTATCGACACAACTCTCTCCGCTGAAATAGACGCAGAGGCTGCTTCCCGCAGGGCACTCTATGTCAGATTGTCGATTGACCAACTTTTCGGTGCTGGTGGCGTTCGTCAGCGAGATGGATATCACGATAAGCGGAGCGTGAATGAGAACGGTGAGCTTCATGGTGCTAGGGCAGGGATCCCAAATCGGCGCTGCTTTAAATTGCCCGGAGGAAGCAGGAAGAGATGCTATGCCTTGGGCAGTGGGCAGCATGTTCCTGAAGAGTGTATTCATACCTAACCAGATGGTTACTTCACCTATGAAGCCCTTTTTCTCTTTTGCAAATGGGCTCTGTCTCAGTCAAAGGGAACAGTATTGCCTAATTCTGGCATACGACTGGGCGTGAGCCGAATCCTGGACAGTCCAGTTCAAGATAGAGGTGCTGAAGTGGCCCGGCGTGTTTAATGAGCCAGTCCCTTTCGTAACAGTCTCCTAGAAAAGCCCTTTCGAAATTCCTACCGAGCACCTAAGTGCCGGAATGTGGAATCACAAACGTGCACAGCTGCGAGTGTCGATACACCGTCCGCCTTGAATTAGCAGCCACCTATGGTTAAGTGCTAGGTACAGTATGTTGCTGAACAGGCTGCCTTGTTGCCAAATACTTGCAGCCTTGCGCATCAGCTAAGCCAGCCTCGTGCGGAGAAAAAAGTTGTGGTCGGACTCCGATTTGCATGGGCCGGAGATCCAGATCCAAAACCGATCTTGATTTTCATCACGAAAGTATTTCCTCGACCATGTGAAAGTCTACTCTACTTTCTTCCCACCACTGACTCGCCAAAATGGGGGAACACAAAACGAAACCATCGAAGCCTGCAGGCACCAAACGGAAACTCGAAAACGCCCCAGATGCGGACGCGAACCCCGAGCCCTCTCCGAAACGCGCGCAGCCGCAGCCTCAGCCTAAATCTGCAGCCCGCCAGGAACAGATCGAAGTCGACGACACAATCGCCATGATGGACCCGGCCTTACTGGCAGATCATTTTGCGAAATATGTTCGAAAAAGCTTTCCGGACAGCAGTGCGATCGAACTGGACGATCAGCTATTGCCTTCCAAAGCGTTCCTCAATACCACGGATTTCGACAAGCCTCATGAGGCTGCGAATCTGCCTGCCTTTCTGGAGAAATTCTCGAAAGAGGGCAAAAGCGGCTTATCATCTTGCGACGACAAGGGATCGCCCCATACGCTGGTGGTTACATCTTCCGGGATACGGACGGCGGACCTTTACCGTGAACTGCGCGTGTTCAACAGCGACAATGCAAAGGTTGCGAAACTGATTGCGAAGCACATGAAGCTAAAAGACAACGTGGAATACATGCAGAAAACCAGGGTCGGAATTGCTATCGGAACTCCGGGCAGACTCAAGGATCTGATCGATGCCGGGGCCTTGAAGACCAAAGGAATTCGGAGAATCGTGGTCGATGGGTCATACCGTGACCAGAAGAAGAGGACTATTTTTGAAATGGATGAACTGTTTCGACCGTTGTTGACTTTGCTCAATTCAGACGAGATCCGTCCGAGATATGTGGCGGCCGACGACCGGATTGAGTTGCTGGTGTTCTAGGGTATACCCTAACAGATTATGGACGGAGCGGACAAGCCTGGAGTGACACCGAATCCAACGCTTTCTCGCATTGGATCAAGCAATGTCGAGAAGGATCTGGTCCTACTGGACTTGCACGAGACCTGGCTGGCAACATTCGCGAATACAGTGACTGTATGTCCACGCCAGACACGTGGGTAAAAGGAATATCTCACTGTCAACGACCCGAAAGTTATTGCGGCTACAGCACCACTCAGTGAGATATATCGAATCGAAACACCAACCAGCAACATATCACCCCATCTGCTCGATTTCTACGCCTAGAGGTGGTGGCAGTGATTGCGTGAACTTGCCTGTGCTTGGGCGAATTCTTCTCCGCACACAACTTCATGTGAAGCTGAGGAGCAAAAGCGGAACTGGCAGCGAACTGGAGTCCTTTTGCTTGAACATGGTTGGAGCAACACCTGCCAAACCTCATCCACCCAAGAAAACCCCAATTATCTGGTCCTGCGTCTGCCTTGCACCTCAAACTGCGCCCGCGATACAATTCTTTCCTCCAAACTTCACACCACCGACCAGTGCCAGTCGTTACAGCACATTACCTCCAGCTAGCTCGCCTCTTTGTACATATACACCTCCTTCACTTTCCGGGCAGCACCACGAGGCTTTCGCTTTCTGGGATTTACACTAATTACTCTGCCACTAATTCACCGGATGTGAGCTGCGCCGCACTCCAACCTCAATCCGCACCCGTCCAACATCGCCTACACACAGTACTGTATATACGACCTTGCTCGACGGGCTTAAAGTACCTTAGCACCTACATATAATACTCAGAAGCAGAAACGAAGATGAGCTACCAACAATTTCTCCAATCGACTGGCCTCCAGCCCACAGCCGGCAAGACAACATCGTCTCCGGGTTCAATTCATCGCAAACCTCCGAGCGCTTCAGGATCACCCTCCATCCACTCCGCCGTCACGCGGAACGCGCCCTTGACGTCCCACTCAACCAAAGCGCCGTCGTTCTCCTCTCCTACACCATCCTCGACCAATTCCCCAGCACCGCCTACCCGACAACCACCGCCGCCGCCGCCATCAACGACGCAACAACCATCACCAGCAACAACAACTCAGCAGCCATCAACGCCAACGCCAACGGCAGCACAGCAGCTAACACAACGCACACCATTGACAAAAACCCAGATCGAAAATGCCATCCAAACATGTCTCGACCTCCAAACCACCGCAACCACAATCCACTCCAAACGACCCTTTGCAGCACTCCTACTCGGCCCAGACAACACGACCGTCTTGCTAACGCACTTTTCCATCTCTGCCGTCCAGCGCGCCGAAACCGAACTTGCCCGTCTAGCAAGTCTGCAATATTCCCCTACATATCTAAACACATGCACGCTAGTCTCCACATGGGAGCCGTGTCCAATGTGCATTGCAACCATCTACTACACCAACATCGGACGAGTCGTCTATGCGGCCTCTGCGTCGAAACTCGAGGATCTTGTGGTGGGCGATGATAAACCGTTGTTCATGCCTTGTCGAGATGTCTTGGGTAGTGCCAGTGGGAACAGCAAAAGGGATATCGAAATCATTGGCCCCTTGGAGGGCTGGGACGATAAAGTCGTTGAAGCGAGTAGGAGTTGGTGGCAGCAACAGCAGTTACTAACAGGCGAGGATGGTGCTAATGCACAGATGGCAAGCCTGAGACTAAGAGAGGGCAGTGTCAATGGAAGTGAAAAGCCGGCTAGTTTGTCGAGTACCAGTATGCGTCAGGGTACGCCTGTCACCTGGGTCGGCGAGGACAGCGTGCTTAGCAGTATTGATGATGAGGGCGAATATAAAGCCGAATTGGACATTGATTGGATGAGGTGAGGTATAGATGTGTTAGAAATAAATAAAATTGGTTGGTTGATTTGCTTTGCTTTGCTTTGCTTTGCTTTTTCTTTTTGGTCTAAATGGTACATGTATTGAATGCAAAGAGTTGCTCCATACAGCGCGCCGGCAGCCAGTCAGTGCTCGATGGCAGCTCGTCCATTGTGGAATGGAATCCTCTGGGCTGGATACTAGTAGTTAGATATTCACCATTTAATAGCAGTCACCCGCAGTAGGTGTGTGGCTTGCTTAAGAATGAACTGTATGTTAGATATCTACGGTACTACCTACTACTGTGGTGGGAAGACAATATGCAGCTCCAACGAACATGCGTAATCTCCCAAGTTACCTATTCGTGGTTCATATAGAATGTGAAGAAGGAAAAATGAGATCGGATCATTCCCAATACCAGTACTATACGACGGTATGTATAACGCGCAATATGAATTTATCAATACCATTGCCGCAAAGACAGCAATGCTAGCATACTTCTATAGAGGTAAGATATCTGCATGAGTACCTGACAGGCATAAGGCAGGCTCGGCTGGAAGAGCAGACGCCAAAAGCAATCGAACGATTTTCAGGGTCATGTTCCTCGCATCGAACAATCCGGCTGCCTGACATCACACCTCGTTCCTCGCTTTGCGATCCTTTTTCAATTTCCTCCGCCAGCCATTAACATCCTTGCCGGACTCGAGGTCACGCAGAGCCTCCATGCGAGCCTCCGCGACGTCCTTGAGGGTCCTGCCCTTGACGACGCGAGTTTCGACATTGACACCCTCCTCAGACCACTCGGCCATTTTGACACCGACATAGTCCTCAATGGCCAGAATCAAAGCCACATCGCGCTGGCCGACAAAAGTGATGCTGGTACCCTTGCGACCCGCACGGGCCGTCCGTCCAACTCGATGGACATAGTCGGTCGGGTTGCGCGGGACGTCGAAATTAATCACATATTCCACGTCGGGAATATCCAAACCTCTTGAGGCGACGTCGGTGGCGATAAGAATCCGGGCTTTGCGGGCGCGGAAATCTGCGAGGTTTCGAGTACGTTGGATTTGCGCGAGGTCCGAATGGAGCGCCGTTACCGGATGCCCTAATTGTAGGAGCGTGCGGTGTAGAGTGTCCGCTGTGGTGGTGCGGTTGACGAAAACAATGATGCTTGGTGAAAGTCCGAGTTCTCCTCCTGCTTTTGGGTCCGCGAGAGACGGAACCAGAAGCAAAACATGCAAAAACGCATCCTTGTGCGTCATTGGAATCTGGAGATATGTTTGTGAGAGTGTCGATGGAATGAGAGAAGTCACGCTAGACGGGTCAGCAGCGTCTGTGATTTCCGACACGAAGATCGGTGGACGGTCTTTCGGCCGTGGCAGGTCCTGCAGAGCACGCACTTCAGGCGTCACGGTCGCTGTAAACAGGAGCGTCAACCGTGATGAGGAGGGTGGCAAGGCGGACAAGCATGTGTTGAGGTCCGGGAGCATTGATCCTCGTCCCGGTGCGAGCAGCCGGTCGGCTTCGTCCAGTACCACCACTTTGACGCGCGACAGCCCACCCACTGTGTCCTGGCCGGAATTGAGGATATGGTCGGCTAAACGGCCAGGCGTTGCGACCACAATGTGCGGCCGGCGAGAGAGTGCAATTGCTTGTGGTCGCATATCGGTGCCTCCGGTGATCAGGACAGTCTTGAGGTTTTGAGGCGTCCCTAGCGCTTGGAACTGTTCAAATATTTGTAGCGCCAGTTCTCGCGTGGGTGTGAGCACCACCGCATATATCCCGAATGGATCTTCCGCCCATTTCTGTAGGATGGGCACTGCAAATGCCACTGTTTTTCCTGTTCCCGTCCGCGAACCTCCGATGCAGTCCCGCCCTTTCAGGATTTCGGGTATACAGGCTCTTTGAATCTCCGTGGGGTGCTGAATAGCCATGGCCGCGAGCGAATGCACCAGCCAGGGCGCCACGTTCAGGGCCTGGAAAGTCGTCGATGTAGTGGGTACCGAGGGCTGGCCTGTTGATGTCGAGCCATGTTGTAGAGGAGCCTGAGCGGTGATAGTAGAAGCAGACGGATTGGAGTTGGAGTCGGCTGATTTCTTTACTCGAGAGAGTGAAGTTGGTGGAATCCGACTTGGTCGGTCTTCGCTGTCTTGCGATATGCGCCTGCGCTTCGGGGGCGGACTGGGAAATTCTGCATCACTTGCGGAGGCGGAGTCAGTGTCGACTGGCTCGGACGAGCTGGAAAAGTTGATCTCTTCGGGCTCGTTCAGTCTGGAACGTGGCATGGTGTTAAGACTGGCGTTGATAAAGTCGAAGAAATGGACGCCTGTGTTGGAAATATTTTTCGGCGAGACATGCGAGGCTGGTGATGACTAAGGTGGGGGCTAGTACATACTAGGACAAGTGCAGCCTTGTGGCTTTTGGACATTTATCTCTCGGAAATACCCGCGTGTAACCCCATGCCACTGCCACCAGTTGTACTTTGTCGTGCGGGCGGCCTCAAAAAGGTGGACAGGGACTCAGGCTGTGAACGGGCAGTGGATCAAGGTCCTGCATCAATTCTGTACAACTTGTTGTACAGAACCTAGGTACTGGGCTCTACTAAAACCAGATACTCAGGTCGTAATTAATCTATCATCAAACCGAGTCAGTTACAACGTCGACTCCTGCATACAGTATGTATCTCGCTGGCTGATACTAACACCCTACTCCACATTTGGCAGTAGGCTGGAGTGCACACATGTCCCAGTGCCAGTGCCAGTGCCAGTGCCAGTGCCAGAGCGGTGGCGCCTCATCTCGAGTCGAGTCCCATCGTTACAATGCTATGGTACCAGGAAGTACCTATGTACCATTGTACTCCTTCTAGTACCTCGGTAGTAAGCCATCCCGTGGACAGGCCTATCCCCAAAGTGTGCCATTTGGCCCCTGTAACGAATCTCTCTCCGCCTGAGGCCACAGCATGCCACCGCAAAAAGGTCTATACTATGGGGCTTTCATTCGCTCATTCATTCATTTCATTCATACCTGCTGTTGTACCATTACTGCACCTGGCTGGTCAAGCTCAGTGTCATTCTGTAACAATGTCTTCAACTTCGTCAGGGCATCATCACAACCAATTTCCATCCCCGTGATGACATCGACGGCCTCCGCGCTCGTCATGAGCAACTGTGAAACAAGCCAGAAATTATGGGCCGCTCGAAACATGCCCGCGATCCTGAGTGTTTCTTCAGACACTCCCGCGCACCAGGCCTGCCAGAGTTGGCGCCATCGTTCTAATGCGCCTTGGATGTCTTGACGTAGCGGACTAGATGAAAAGAAGTTATTGGTCGGACTCGGACTCGGTTTGGTATGGGGTGCGACTGGTTCTGAGCCGCCGCCGCCCTGACCGGCGACGTCTCCAATACCTTGATGTCCAGGTTGACGTCCAGGTTGTGTTTGGATCGAGGGAAGTGCTGTGGTGGGTAAGTGGAGTGATACTGTCATTATGTAGGAGTGGATATAGAGGTAGAGATCTAGATGTGTTAGCAGCTAATACTTATACTTTCCTTGCTTTCGCTTAAAAGAATATCGTGTATTGGCAGTGGATGACGCCAAAATGTGTACATTCGACTGCATGTATCATGTACTTACAGTGGATCAGAATAAACAAATTAAATACTGTCAGATCACAGTCAAAGAGATTGTTCAGTGATTGCGATGTCGCTGCTGCTGCTGACGAGAGCTTGGGGTCGACGACAGATGTCGGGGCGGTCGACAATGGTGGTGGGGATAACTTGTCAAAAAGTAATGCAAAGGCTTGAGAAATGGTAAGTCGTGGGGCGAAGATGGACTCGTCTTGCATGAAGGGGTGCTGCGATGCGAATATGGCTTCTTTGCATGGTAGGTCGACCTCCAGCTCGGCCAGAGCCAGGCGACATGGATAGTTGGTGTAGATCCTCATGGCACAATCGATCAACCCAATCATCGCAGTGGTTCTAGATCCAACAAACCATTTAGCACAACTTCGCATTTGCAATGTGGCGGAAGCCAGGGAAAGCGATAGCACCGACAGAGGGTCATATCTCATGTGTTAGATGTCGTACATACCTGATACGAGACTCCTTCCGTAACCATGCCGTTTCAGAGATGCGGTCGGAAGGCTGATGTCGAGCATGGAGAAGATTGAATTTCCTGGCGACCTGAACAGAAGGGAAAAAGGTCAGTTCTCGGTTCTGTCTCGACCTCCAGGAGAGGACATTAAGTTGCAGAGCAGCATAATCAGTCCATACATACTTTGATGACATCTCCGAATCGAGATTCCATGGCTCGACGTTTCGAAACCGGTTGTCCGGCTCCCCAATACTGTGCGATGACCATCAAAAAGCCAGCCTGTAGTTCTTGGAATCGTTCCCAATCCTGATCCGGTCGGGAGTGGTCAGGACCGTTGAATCCGCCTTGGAGCACTCGATTGATTTCCATTTCGAGGGAGAAGACCTCGGAATCAAAAACCACCAGTTCTGCCACGTCCAACAGTCTCTTGGCTGCCACACGCTCGCTCTGCTCTTTGGAGTACATGGCTCCAATAAAAAGTATACTAATGACCAGGTTCAAGGGAACTTTTGCCGGATCGAACGACGGTCGATGAATCATCGGACAATTCAAGTGCCAGTTCCGAAAGTATATCGACATGAATTTGGGCACCTTGTCCGCCGTGACGAGGAAATTGAAGCAGGCACTGAGTTCCTGCCGAGTTTTGGCATCTATACCCAGACACCACAACTTGTTGTAGATGGCCGTATGGATCGCTGAAACGTATGGCACCTGATCAGGTAACGTTTGAGTCGAGTCGTACGAAGTGTGTCGCTGGAGGGTTTCTGAAAAGGCGAATGCTGGATCATAAAGGTCGAGCTGCAAGTCAGAGTATGTTGTCGACGGGTGGATGAATGAGAATGGCCCGGTCCAGATATCCATCTCGGGCTCGACGGAAGAGTCAAACACACCAGCATAATCTATGGAATTGGGGCTTTTGTCGGTGCTGGCGGCCAGCACGTTGGTGTTGGTTTCATTGTCTTCCTCCCCTTGTTCACTCCGTTGTTGATGTCGATGGAATGGAAGGTTTCGAATTTCCTCGTCTCGCACGGGAAGATTGAATTTCTCCGTGAAAGTGTCCGTTCCTCTGTTGAGAAGGGCCTGGATTGACACTCGATCATCAAGCGGTTCTAGTCTTTCGGCTGGTACAAGTTAGTTTTTGCATCAGGAAGCTGTAAAAAGGCTCATGGCTAGAGGCCAAACCAACCATTGGAAGCCGGTCGAGGCGTTGTTCTCTGCCGGCATTGCACTTTCTTCTTTTTGCATTGCGAACATGGGAAACAGCCGTCACACCGGATCTTGGACGAAATACACTGGAAGCCCAGACCCATTGTCAGCATGAACCTGCCAAGCTGGACAACAGATCATCAAAAGATCGGGTTTGGGTTCAATCATACCGTGACACAAGCATGTGGTCGTCGTCCTTTCGGTATCGTACTGGGAGGCTCCCGGTCTCCTCTCCGCTGACAATGATTGTAGTGGCTTTGCAAACGGTCCCTACCAGTTTCATATCAAAGTCAATGTTGTACAGTTGACGACCACGTAGTTCTTCCTCGGGAATTGACAAAAAGGGAGATGTGCCAGGTGGAGCAGTGTGATAGACTTACTTTCTCGAGAAATTCCTAGAACAAAACACGCATGAAAACGGCTTTGCTCCAGTATCTGTCATTTACCAGCAAGTGTCAGCCGCTCATACACTTTTGTTCTAAACCAAGCCAATGCCTCCAGCAGCGACTGGGCCGGTTGGATAAAGGTAGTCGCTCACGTCTCGTTTGGTGCCGGGTCAAATGTTCGGCACGTGAAAAGCACTGTCCACATGTCACACAGCGATGTCGTTTCTCGGGCGCTGGATTGCCTGTAGAGGTTGTGACGCTGGTCCTGGCCGGACTGGCAACTGGTTTGACGACCGCCGAGGAGAGGAGAGCCTGGTTGCGGATGAGGTCGTCGAATATTTCCATCTTGCATTCCAACAGCACGCAGGGGCCCAGAACCACCCAGTAATAGGTATTCGATTGAAGATGAAAGTGGCAATTGGAAAGCAATCGGACGACATTGACGACGACGAGGCCAAGAGGCCGGGGGAGGAGTACTTACAGAAAAACTTGAGGCCGAAGAGGCGCTTTTGCAGCCCAGGTGATTGGGCCGCCCTGAACGTCAAATTGCTAGCCGAGCATTACAGTGCATACAAATTACTAGTACCTTGGAAACAGAGGTACATGGTAGCAGTGGTAGTGGAGTATCTACTACGCACTTTGGACCCCTTGTGTGCCTGAGTAGCAAATAGCGAGTAGCATTGGGAAATGCGTCGACGTGCGATCGGATGCGGGATGCGGGGACGACCACGGGAAACAGCCCTGGAGGTGCCAAGAGCGGCTGGGGGCGTGGAGAGGAGACTCGGGGTCTCGGGGCAGCCGTGGGGAAGAATAATTGCCAGGTACCAGGTACGATACTTTGATACGAGTATATTACACCAAAACAACTTGGAAGTGATCCGACAATCAATTCACATGGTCTTTTACTTCTCTTTACCTCCTTCATTCTCCGTCGGCACGGGCGGAAAGTCGATCTGGTCGCGGTTCAAATAATCCACCCTGACCTGCTTCGTTTTCTCTTCCACCGTCCAGCCATTCCCAATCCAGCCCATCGGGTTATCATTGACATATTCATACACAAAGTCTTCCCACCTAGGATGGGCCAAAGCCTTCATTGAATGCAAGGACGATCCTGCCATCAAGCATTAGCACATAGCTAGAATAAAGCAAACGCTGTTCAACTTACCCGGCCACAGAGCGCTTACTCTGCCATCCGAAGTCCCACCCTTATACCAGCTGCGGCAGTCGAGGCTGAACACCGTGGTCTGGAAGTACTGATCGCAGTATTCAACAAACCCCTTAACGGCGTCTACTCGAGGCGCCATGCTCCGGATATTCTCTCTCTGCATTTTGCCCACACAGAAAGTGATGTAGTCGATGACCTTCTCGATCAACAACAACAAATTGCCACTGCCCAAGGCCGAATTCGGCCCCAGGGAGAAGAAATAATTGGGAAAATCGTCCGTCGCCAATGAGAGGTACGTCGACGGCACTTGTTTCCACTTCTCTGCGAGACTCAGCCCATTTTTGTTGATGACGGGGAAACGGGGGCAGAATGAAGTGTCGAATCCTGTCGCGCAGATGATGGCGTCGACTGGGTGATGATGGCCATCGGTGGTGATGATTCCATCGTGCACCACTTCGCGGATCCCCGTCGTGATCACGTCCACTTTCGGATCGGTAAGGGCCTCCAGGTACCCAGGTCCTGGCGTCAATCGGCGACAGACGGGAGGAAACGACGGCATCAAGGAATCAGCCAAGTCAGGTTTCCCTGCGAGTCTGCGCTTCATGTTTTCGGTGAACACTTCAAGCGCCCCCAGCTGCTCGGGGGACCCTTTAATGGTGACCGCATGGACGGATTGCAGTTCAAGCTCGATATCTTTACGCAGATAAGTAAGTCAGCCCAAACCCAGTCTGTGGAGTCAGGAGTCACCGCGCGGTGAACCCTACCTTTTCGGAACTTCTCATAGAAATCCGGGTCTTCCTTAAATCGTTTGATGTCTTCAGGGGAGAATGAAAAATTATCCAGCCCCTTGCCCATCTGATCAACCTTCTCTCGCGCGAATGTAGGAGACAGCCACGTCCGGCCACGGATATAATGATCAATATGGGCCGATTTGGCCAACACAGCCGGGACTATCTGGATCCCACTTGATCCGTTGCCGATGACTGCTAGTCTCTTATCCTGTCATGACCGGTCAGCCTCTAGCACATAACACGTGTCGGTCAACGTACAGTCCAATCGAACTTCGGATCCCATTGGGCGCTGTGTAATAAATCCCCTTTGAAATCAAGCAAGCCCGGAATTTGTGGCCATTTCCAGGCATTTAAAGCACCCGTGGCCGACACCACGACATCGCACACGTCTTCAAAGTGCTCTCCGGTTTCCACGTTTTCAACCTAAGCCGAATACTGGTAAGCGAAACGAATCCCTCGGCCCATTCCGAAACCATGGGAACAAATTTACCTGAACCACCCATTTACTCTGTTCGGGATTCCACGTGGCAGCAATGATCTTGTGATTAAGCTTGATATATTTCATACTGTCGTATTTCGCCGCCACCTTTCGCCAATACTGGTGGATTTCCTGGGCCGTCGCATAGAACTGGCTCCATTCATGATTCGGCTCAAATGTCGCTTGATAAGTGTGTGCGGGAATATCTAGATATTCTGCGTTAGCCTTCTACCGAAGGACGAATGTTCCTGGCGTTTGCATACCGCAAGCACATCCCGGATACCGGTTCTCGAACCACGTCCCGCCAATATCCGCGTTCTTCTCATAGATCTGAAGAGAGAGATGGGGGATTCGCTGTGGAAGACGGATCGACGCTAGGATACCGGAAATGCCAGCTCCAATTACCACGACCCGCATTGGTCGAAGGTCGTCGATGCAGCGGTCTTCGAGCCATGATCGTGGTGCTTCGCCCATTGTGAAAGAATCTCCTAAGAAGTCCAAAAAATACTGCTGTACCAGCGGCGCGATGAGCGGTGCTATGGTATGGGACACGTTCTTATGGTGGTCACCTGGAAGGAGACAGGCGATATTTGATAGATCTGCCGACCAGACTTCCGGATGAGGGCGCGCCACCGGCAAGTGTCATGATCGCAACGACTCGGAGGTCATGTTTGTACTTATTCCGCACCACACTTGAGATCCGGGGTACTATGTGGGGGCGAACCCACGAGGGGGAATTCACCCACCGGAGGCAAAACGACCACGGGTGGGTATGTCGGGAGATGTCCCATTTGGGCCGAGGTACAACTGTTCGATCCCCTGCCGTCTGCAGGTGGGATACAATCGTTGTGAACGCAATCTAGGATTGGATCTACAAACCATAACAAACGGTAGGTATCTTAGATGGTGTTCCCTGTCCTTGGTTCCGCTGCCAGATGTGATGCGTGCAGGATCTGTCGTGGATTGGTCGGATAATTGGTCTCGATCGAGACAGGCACCGACCGTGTTGCACATGTCGAGGGGTCAAAACATGGACCATTTGATGCACAACTGAACGTCAGAAATGTACCGAGATATCGTTTAGTATAACAATAATGCAAGTTTGCGAAAGGCCACTTCATGTCTGTTTAAGCAGTTGCAACGGTGCGGCAGAAGCAGGAAGCCTGAATCGGCACATCCGCAATACTCAAGGCGGATTTCAACTGCGGCTGGACCTTCTCAGCTTCAGCCACACGGCCAAGTCTCCTGAGACACTCCTCATAGCCATGCATGGCCCAGACATTGTTGGGATGACGGTGAGCACGTGGAAGGGTGTCGTCAATCCCCAGATCAGCAGCGTACACTGCCAACGCTTCTTCCAAGCGGCCCTGTTCGGCCAGAAGCGCGCCATATGCATGGCAAGGGGGCTGCATCCAACCCCAAGGCTCATCGTAGGGAAGGGCATCGCACAGCTCAATTGCCCTTCGCAGGTGTTCGAAAGCCTTATCAACGTCACCCCTGCGGTATTCCAGTTCACCGTCAAGCATCGCGTTGGCAATAGCAAGGACATCCGTACAAGTGTTGTTGAATATCATACGCGTGGGCTTTACGCGTGTCAGGGCGTCCCGAAAGTGGTGACGTTCTTGCTCGGCTTCTTCCACCTTTCCGGTGGCAGCCAGTGCCACCCCTTTACCATAGTGCATCAGCGCCGTGGTCACACAGTAGAGATCGGCATCATGCGGAAGCTGTAAGTCCAAGAGATCCTGCCACCGACCAAACCGAACCAGAGCATGGACACGCATCGCCTTGAAAACTTCGAGCCAGTCAGCCATGGGCGGTGATTCTATTCTGAGTAGATCCTCAGGGATGGATTCTTCCAACCACCCCACAGTCTCCAAGGCAACTTTGGAATCTCCCGCAAACATTGCAGCGTAAAGCCGGAAATGGTAATCGTGCGACCTGTACAGGGTATAAAACTTTAACGGGCCAGCTATTGCCAAAAACTTTTCGTCCGCTCGAATCGCGTCCATATTCGAAGTGATTGCCCGCCCGTAGTGGCCACAAAGTACATCCAGATGCGTCGGCATATGTTCCAGGTGGCCGGCGTCGGGGACAAGTCCCCTCAGGTGATCAGCGATAGGCAGTGCCGATTCTGGTGAACCCGACATTTCCATTAGATGGATGTAGAGGTGCAGAAGACCTGGGTGCCTAAGTCCGCCAGGCTGGGCAAGGGCACGGTCAAGAATGGCTTTTGCTTCCAAAGTGCGAGCCCCGGGAGCTGGTTGGCCCGTGGAAAGATCCCAAAGTCGCCAAGGGGTCAGATTCATCAATGAGTCCGTGTAAAGCGTGGCCACGTCAAGGTCGTCGGGGAACTGTGCATACACGTCCTTCATGGCATTGGCGTAATCTTCATTCCATATCGAGCAATCCGCGGCAGCTTGTGCCTGCGGGTAACGAAATTCAAGCGCGTCGATGAGAGCCTTTTCAACGGGTGAAGCTGTGCCTGCTCCTGCTTTGCTTTTGGCTTGCTCGACTGCCGTATGGGTGCGAGATACTGTAGATTCAAGTTCCGCGCCGTCAAAGAACTCCCATGGCTTATTGTAGTTGGGTCCGAGAGCGTAAGCAAGCCCCCAGTAGGCCATGGCACAGTCGGGGTCAAGCTCGATTACCCTCTGGAAACACTCCACCGCTTCCTCGTGGTTGAATCCATAGCTCCACACAAGGCCACGGGCGAACCACTTCTGCGCCTCTTCGTTCTTGGTGCTCACCGGACGATGGTATGTTCCGAGGTTATAGTATTCCCCGGGCTTCGATGGAGTGCTCATGGTGAACGTTGTTTACTAGCTTTGCTTGCAAGAGCCTCCATCCGAAGGTAAAGTCGCGGACAGTGCCTAGGTACCGTTATATAGAGTATAGTTTAAGGCGAACCAGGAGGCTGCACTGGCAATCTTAATGGGGTGACCATGAGTCCAGTTCCGATACAAGAGACACAGAAGGACGTCGGTTTGCGGCACCATAAGGCTTCTCCCCCAGGTTACGGTGGAGCACTGCACTATATGCACGAATAAAATTCCCAGAACACTGTTGGCATCAAACTCCCAGCCTCATTGCGTCCGAGCTCGCCCTCTGCTTTGAAGACTCTTATTATGTACAATTTTATCATAAACCTGTATCGGGGTATGCAAGAACCAGCCAAAAACAAGGTAACGTGCGAGTGCTAACCGTGCTTACGGATGTTTAGTTGAGTGCGAGGTGTTCATCTCCGACACAAGCGCTGTGATCGGTTTGGGCTGCTGAGGCTCGGAGCCCGAGACGCCCGGGTCAAGGGCGATATTCTGAATTCTGAGTGTTGATATCTCTTGTCGAATTCCACGAAAGGCCGGAGTAAGTCGCTGCTCAATGAGGTGGAGGTGGATGTCCATGCCCTGGGCCACCACGGCCCCAATACCCGTGTCTATCGTATACCTCAGAGGGTTTGCGGCACTGCGGATGCTCCCGATCCTCCACCGCGCCAAAGGGCCACATCGGAATGAAGCAGATCTGGCCCAAAGGACATGTTGGACATTTCTTCCACTCGGTCCAGTTGAGATACTCGATCAAAGACTGAAGGCTCTCGATCGACTCTGACAAAGACGCCTTCCCATCAAGCGCTGTGAAAAGGGTTGAGCAGATCTTCGTGGTGACGGCGCGGATGGATTGGACTGCCACCGTGTCTCTGCGCTCTCCAGTGTTTGGGATGAACTGGTTCGCACACCTGGAGACCTCAGCTGTAGTGTTGCGCGCGTCGGCATCGATGAAGACTCGGAGGAAATCCTTGAGCTCATCGTACAACTCCTCGGCAGTGGAAAAAGCGCCAGATACCAGATACTTCAGCTCTCTGGCATATCGCTCTACCACCATGTCTGCAATGCTCTGCCAATCGATCAACGACGAAAGTGTAGGTTGTCCTGGCGAAGGAACCCAGTTGGTGACCATGATGTCCACATCATGCCGGATTTTGTCCAATACTGCACTTGAAACATTTTCCAGTCTAGGTAAGCTATCGTCATGCGTGAAAAGGTTAGCGTCATAACTGTACGCAGTGACGAAGTTATCATAGTCCAACGTGACTCTTCGGCCACCGATGCCATCATACCGGGCTGCGATGGCCCTAATCCAGTTCGATTCCTGGCGTTGAGCGGCATGTTTGTGGTCGACATCATGTCGTGGGGAACTGTCGCCGTGGGCGAATCTATCCGCTCTGACTGCTTGGACAAAGTCGAGATTGTCGGCAAAGGAGCACAAAATGATCTCAAATCCGGTCTCCATGCGGATGAAGCCTTTGATCTTGCCGTCCCATTGCTCAGTGGCCATTTTGCACAATCTCTCCGCGCGCTCATTCTCCCAGAAGAAATCGCCGCTACCGCTTTCGTTCTTGGCATTCAGCAGGAGGATGTCCTGTGAGTCAAGCGTGCCTTTGTCGGTTTTGCCGGCGGACATGCCGTCGATGTAAAGCAGAGGCAGGACAGTCTTGGTCTTGTAAGTATGCAAATATCCAGGAGCCGGACCTCCTGGCCCCTTCGGTGGTGGGCGTCGGTCGGCATCCAGCATTAATCGGTCTTGCCCTGGCGAACCAACTGCCGGTTGTCGGTGATGGCGGTCCGCTGGTGGAGGAGCGAAACTCCTATCCTGTCCTCCGCTTCTGCAGCAGGGCTTTCCAGCCTTTCTCTCCGACGGGGGCTTCCTCGGAGGTTTCCCAGGCCTTCCGGCGAATTGGAAAGCATGTTCGGGCTCGAATGCCAGCCATTCCATGCCCTCGATTGGCTGGGAACGGCTTGTCCCATGGTAGAAGGCAGTGCCGGCAGGGACTTCGGCAAGGAAGAAAGACATGCCATTATGGTTCAACGACGATCCCCATTGCCGCATCGAGGAATGTATGGCGTTGAAGATGTGATTGGCATTTCGCGGCTTTTCGTTACCAGCGTCCGACTCCAGGTCCCTGCCCAAGATAGCAGCCGCTCCAGCACCTCTGAGCTGGGCACAGGCGGCCAGCAACAGCCACGACCATAACATGGCTGAGGTGAGGAGGTATTACAAGGCGGCAGGAACGGCAACAGGGACGACAACCAACTAGACATCAGGATGGGTGTGCTCATTTTATATGAAGGTACCTACGTGGTAGGCGACCCACGGAGAATCTAATCTTATCTCCACTGGTACAACTACTAGTTCTGCCGATGACGCGGCCTTGCAACGCGTCAATAATGATAGCGAAATCGGCTCACGCCATAGGAAGAGTCTGCACAGTATCGCTGGTGCTACGCTATCGCACTTCCAGTTCGAGGTAATATCTTGATTGTACTATTGACCGTGGGTGCGCAAAGACTCCTTTCCTCAGAGTCAATAAGCAGTAGTAGACCACCCAATGGCGCTCGTCCCCGCCGCCTGGGCCTAAACTCATTCCGGCAGAATACGAACTCTCATTCATCATGCCTTTTCAATCTCAACCACCTCCTCATTAACAAGGCTCTTGTCGAGTCTAGCTCTCTCCTCGGCAGAAAGATGCGTCAGATCGACCGCGACATCGTCGCCGAACTTTGCAGCGATTTCTTCCAGCGCTAACCCCTTGGTCTCCGGATAAAACAGGCCCATCAGGGTCGCACCGCAAAGCGGGACGATGATGAAGATCAAGTAGTATTTCCAGCCGATATTGTTGAACGCAACCGGGGCACACATTGTGTAAATCAGACTGAAGCAGAACAAGCCCGAAACGCTGAATCCGGCTCCTTGGGCACGGACCGAGGTAGGGAAGATCTCGGACGAATATACGTACGAACTGGCGTCCATGCTGCCGCCGAAGAAAGTGACGACTGTGTGACATTGTCAGCGTATATCTTCGGCAGTGAACCAATGTGTCTAAACTCACACAGGTATAAGAAGAATACCCCGAATCCGTTCCCCAGTTTGTTGTCGGTGCCGCCATACCGGGCCAGACAGGCGGTAAAGCCAGCCACGGAGATTGAACAGCCAATCTATCAAGGATCAGTACGACTTTTATGATAACAGGAGGGAAAGTCTGTTTTACCTGTCCCACTACCATGATTGGAATGCGTCCGACCTTGTCCAGGAGCATTGCGTTGACAAAATTCATGAACGCCGCCTATGTGTCCCACAGTGCATAGAGCATCAGGGGCATGGATCCGTACAAGTTCAAGCCGTTGTAGAGCAGGACTTGGTAGTTATTGATCACGAGGCAGTGTTGATTGTCATCAGGATTCAAACACTTCTTGTGTCCTTTATACTTATGTTTGCTAGCACTAGTATTAGTAGGAGGGCATCTCCCATTCTAGGAGATATTCCTTCCTTAATTATATCAATCACTTATATAAGAATTTAAGTAGTTATAAGCCCGGGCGCCTACCCTATAGAATACCCCAAGATTCACTACTAATATAATATACCTAGATCTACTATAGCGTAAGTTAACCTAAGAGTAAGATATAAAGAAAACGGAAGTTCGCGTATTAAATATTTAATAAAGATAAGAAGTTTACGACGTAAGCTTCTAGAATATTATATAAATATTTAGATAATAAGATATTATCTACTTCCACTCTCTTATTTCTTAAACTTCCTCTTTCTTTATTATTATTATTAAGCTTAGATAACTCTTTAAGATATCCGATAATATAGAGAAGAGTAATAGTTATACTCTTAAGAGGTAATCTAACTAGTATAAGTAGCTCCGTACTTTTAAATCTAAGACTAGATCTATCGGTATCTTCGAATAGTTTCTACTAGCTAAAGAAGGCGGTAATACTTTCCTAGTCCGACCTATTTATAATTCTAACTATAAGACTAAAGATTAACTAAAGACTAAAGATAATAAGAAGATTACCTTTACTAAAAAGATTAAGGATACTATAGAGTATAAGACTAAGACTAAAATCTATAAGAAAGAAATAAATAATATAAATAAGGTAAATAAGTTTCTAGTTAATCGTATCGATAAGTCCTTCTTCTTAATTATAGAAAGATATTCCGATCCGGCTAGTAAGATAATCGCTCTTATAAATATCGTTAAACTAACTATAGCTAACGCTTTAGAAATACTCTATACGAAGATAGAGACTATTAGACTTTATAGTAAAATTAACGTCTAGGAGTATATTAATAAACTCTTAAATATTAGAGCTAATATTAAGTCTATCTTTAGAGGCGAATTTACCGAGTACTAACTTAAGAGTAAGGTACTACGAGAACTTCTAAAGATATAGATATTCTTTATTAATTAATACCGCTTTAATAGTAACGCTACTATAGATCTCGCTATATTCTAGAATAAACTACTTACTTAGAAAGAAATCTTAGGCGAGCGTAAAGAGAATACTAGATCGACCGAATTAAAGAATAAGAATAAATTAAAGAGTTCTCCGAACTCTAAGAAGAAAGAATCTAAATACTCTATCTATAAGAAGAATTATTCTAGAGAAGAAAACGAATACTAGTTTAAATATCTAGATAAGAATCTATAGAAGAATAGCGTAAAAACGAAGAACGAGAAGTCCGACTAATTATCTAAATTATTAGTACTCGTTAATATCTCTCTATTTATAAATAAGAAGATCGTAGTCTATATTAACGTCGATCTAACTAAGTTTAAAGAACGTCTTTATCGAGAAATATAAGTATTTAATAAGTCCCTAGGTATATAACTCTCTCTCTAGATAACTAACTATACTCCTAACTATATATAGTATCTCGAAAAGTTATATAAGGTAGCGAAGGATTTACTAACGTAACTATATAAGTTAAGGGTAGTAGAAGCTAGAGAGACGAGAGTATTTATAGAAGATAGTTATTTATATAATAACGGTTATTTATTATAAATAGATAAGTTATATTAAACTGCTTTATAGATAGAGTATATCGCCTATCTTAGTAAGATTATAAAAGAGGATCTTAATTCTATAAAATTATTCTTATCTTCCTAAAATATTTTCTATATATAAAAAGGATCGTATATTATATTAACTTTATCTTCTATCGATATCGAAAAGAATATCTAGCTTATCGATATCGAAGTAAATAGATATATCGTTAACGATATTAAATAGTTTAAAGAATTCTATAAGTTTAACTAAGATATAGATATAGTAGATAGTTCGTCTACTCTCTAAATTATAGATAGCGGTACTACGGCCCTTATACTCTAGATAACTAAAGAAAGAAATATCGATTTAACGCTCTTAGAGGTTATACTTATCTCTACCGTACGATATAATCTTCTATTAGTAAGTACTCTCTATAAAAAGGCCGATATTAGTACTATAGTAACGTATAATATAATTCTTTTTAAGAACTAGAACGACGAAGAAGTCGGATACGAGCTAGCTAAGAACGGTCTATACCGCCTAATACTAGACTCTAACTACTATTTAAGAATATTAGAAGATCTCGATAACTAGAAGCTTATCTTAGTTATCGAGTTTAAAAAGAACTCTATATAGCTCTAGTATCGGCGTCTAGGGTATTTAGATCTCGACTTAATAAAGAAACTTCTAAAGTAAAGTTAGGGTATTAATCTTATCGATAAGTAACTTAGCGCTCGCGTTAAGATTCTTTATTCTATATACGCTATTATAAGAGTAGTAGTCCGAATCCTAAGAAGCCTAGCACGTAGACGTTTTTAAGAGAAAGGGGAACTCCTATATATAGATATCTAGAGGCTATATTCGATAGTCGACTACGATAGTACTATACGCCTTCTATTTATTACTAACGACGCTATAAGATAGACTTAGATAGTACGTCTTAAGATAAAGAAAGAAATAGAGCTTACCCTTCTTAAGATATATAAGAAAATCGAAAGAACGGAAGGTGTTAAGATCCGACGATACCGTTTCGATAATAAGTTTATTTAAGAAGCTATTAGTAGCTTCGCGGAGAAGTACGGTATAGAATTAGAACCTATCGTTATCTACGTATACTATTAAAATAGGATAGTAGAAAGAACTAATCGTACCGTCCGCGACAAGACTTTAGCGATAATATAAGAAATAACCGTTTATATATAGATTACTAATATAGTTATAGAACGAGGTAACGAACTTCTCCGTAGCGGAAAGATCTCTAAAATCCTTTAGTCGAAAGCTATATCTTACGTAGTCTATCTTAAAAACCGTTCGCCTACTAAGTCGTATAAATATAAGAAGACCTCTTTTAAACTTAAATAAGGCTTTTAACCTAACTTCGCTAAAATTAAGATTTAGAGAAGTCGAACTTTTATTACTAAACTCTATATAAAGCGCGGAAAGAACGGCGATAATAAGGTCTAGTTCGCTAGAGATTAGCTCGAATACTTTATAGAATACGATTAAGAGAGCGATATAATATATCGTATCTAGAGCGATAAAGATAAAACCGTCTACCGTATCTTCGAGATAAATATTAACGATAGGGAAGGCCTCGACGATCTCTATCTAAACGATACTATAAATATACGAATTCTACCGTCTATTATCTTTAATAATTCTAAATAATAGAGTATCTCGACTAAAGATCTAGAAAACGATAAGTTAGTTAATAAAGTCGATTATAACGAACTATCGTCGTAGGATAATAACGAGGTAGAATCCACGTTAGGTTAGACCGATATCGGAACGATATATATAGTACTAGTAAAACGCCGCTTTTAAGTCGAAGACGACTCTAAAGAAGTATCTAAGTACGACTTAAACGACTCGAATAAATTATCTAAGTACGAAGAGGCCGAAGCTAACGAATTAGAATTCGAGTCGGAAGAATCGAAAGGTAGTATAACTAGACCTCCGCTCTCGTATCGAGACGTCGACGATTTAGACGTAGACGACTTCGGTACTTCTATACGAACCGACTACTAGAAATATAGAAGAAAGGATAATCTACGAGTTAGAAAAGGCTTTAGTTAGATCTACGGAAACTAGAGAGGAATCGTTCTAGAAAGAGTTTCTAATAGTTTAAAATATAATAACTACTTTATTAACTAACGAGCGTATAACGGTAAGAGGCTCTATAGCTCTTATAAGAAATTAATAATTAAATATTAAGATTAGACCGCTTACGTAAAATTACTAATTCCTAAGAAGAATCGGAATCTTCCTAATCGCGCTACCCTTATTAATATATCTACTAAGCCTTATAAAGCCTACTTCGTTAATAAAAATAAATATATTTTCGAGGAAGGCGAAGAAAGATACGCTCCGTATATAAAGTACTTACGCAAGTATTACTACGACTACGACCTAGCTATATAAAAGAAAACGGTAAAGACTTAAAGAGAAGACGGAGAATATAGACCCTACCGTACGAAGAATTAATATTATAATAAAGAAATACTATATAATTAATATATAAAGAGAAATATAGAGTTAGAGTATATATCTTCTACTAAATAAGACGAAGTATCTTTCGAAGAAAAATATAGTATATACTAATTACGGAGAATAAAATACGACGGTAAATCACCTTACGCTATATACGTACGAGATAAATGTATATATAAACCCTAAGGCTAGTAGAATATACTTAAATATAACTATTATAACTCCCGAAGAGTCGACTATACTAGAGATTTCCTATACTAGAGATACGTAGAAGAAAAGCTTAAATATTACTATAATAGTAAAAATAGTTTATCTATTAGAGAAGCTATTATAGATCCGGTAAAGTAGTCTAGCCGAGATAAAGATTCGGAAGTCTATAATAGATATCGTAGAAGAACGGAAAAGATCTATAACGGCGGAGAACTATATTTAAATTATATTAGAGAGGTCTATAAGATAGGAGTTAATAGATAGTATATCTATAGCCTTATAGATAATAAGAAAGTTAGATTTCGTCTAGATATCTTCGATATAGATAAAGAAGGTAAAGTACGTATCTAAGAAATATACGACTTTAAAATAAGAAAGGGAAAGACTAAAGCGCCTAAAAAGTTATAGAATATTAGGAGACGTAATAATCCGAAATCGGCCGTTATTACGAATAAGAAGGAGAATAAAACCGAGAAGACTAATAATAATAATAGCTTACGCGATAGAAGACGAAAAACTAAAAAACCGAAACTAGAGCTATTTATCGACGATATCTCTAAAGACGAAGAGGAATCGCTCGACTTCTACGATTACCTTATAGATAATAAGAACGACGATAATCTATAGAAAGATACCTTCGTAATAATAACCGCCGTCGACTTCTTATCTCTACCTTTACTTACTAGCTACTAAGATATAATAAATAGTCTAGAAAAAGACTTTTAGATTATCGCTCTTCGATCCGAATACGATAACCTTACTAGAAAGAAAATATAGAAAATCGCCGAACTTTCTTATAGACGTAAGGCTCTAAGTTCGAAGTAGGCGTAGAAAAGAAAAATAGACTCTAACGGTAGAATTAGTAAATATAAGACTCGAATAGTTATTAAAGGTTTCTAGTAGCGAGAAGAAATCGACTATATAGAAATCTTCGTATTTATCGTAAAACTAACTACCTAGCGTATCCTATTCGCTATCGATATTAACTAAAAATAGATCTTCTACTAATTCGATATCGTTATCGCTTTCCTTAACGGAGATCTAGATAAGGAGATATATATTCTACCGCCTTCTAGAATCCTAGAACTTAAAGAATACGTACTTCGACTATTAAAAGCCCTCTATAGATTAAAATAATCTACTAGATAATAGTACGGTAAATTTTTAAAAATTATAAAAAAACTTAGATAGAGGGTTTCGAAGCACGATCTATACTTATTTATTAACGAAAAGAAAGGTACTTTTCTTATACTCTATATAGACGATATAATCGTCTAGGCTTCCGATAATACGACTATCTAATTATTTAAGAAGGCGATTTTCGAAGCCTTCGAGATAATAGAGGATAACGAATACTCGTATTTTCTAGAGATATATATCGAAAATTAAAAGAACCGTATTAACCTCTATTAACGAAACTCTATATAGTAAATACTAAAACGATACGAACTAGAATATATTCTAGTAGTAAGAATATCTATTACTACTATTTCGATAAAATATTCGAGGCTAGCGAATCTATAAATAACCGGAGAATATCTTTAAAAGATTAGTTCTCTTATTTATCTATCGTAGATATACCGACTAGATATAGTATTCGCTATCTCGATAGTAGAATAATTTAATATAAATCCGAACTAGAAATATATAGATAACGTATATAGAATCTTCGTATATCTAAAAGGTACTCTAGAACGTAGAATTATCTATAAGAGAGATTTAGATTTATAGCTTCGAGTATACGTAGATACCGACTAGATAGGATACTCTAATACTTTTAGATCTATAATCGGGTAGGTCGTAATACTCGATAGAACCTCGATCTCGTAGAACGCCTAACGCTAGAAAATAGTAGCTCTATCTACGATAGAAGTAGAGTATATCGCGGCGGCTAAAGTTATAAAGAAACTAGTCTAGCTTAAAGGCCTTATTAACGAATTAAATCTCCTCTTTAAGGTTAATAGTATCCTACTCTACGTCGATAATAAATCGGCTCTTAAACTTACTAAAAACGTAGAGTTTTATAGAAGAACGAAATATATTAATATTCGATATTATTTTATTCGAGAACTCGTCGAGGACGGTACGATTATTCCTCTTCGGGTAGATATTAAGGATAATATCGCTAATACGTTTACTAAACTACTTAGTAGATCGATTTTTGAGAAATATCTCGTATTACTAGGGTACCTAAATATATAAGAACTATATCGATTAGAGTTACGTAGAATATAGGGAGGGATCGGGTATATTTAACTTAACTTACTTTAATTACCGTATCTAACTTAACTTAATTCGACTTAACCTAACCTACCTTAGTAACCTAACTTAACTCGATTTAAATCGACTATTTTATTTATTACACTTTTATTTTTAATAAGTATATAGTATATCGAGGTAACGTAGCTCGTTATTACTTATAAGAGAGATATACTAGAAGTGTAGGAATTAGGGAGGGTATTGATTATTATTAGGATTTAAACACTTCTTATATCCTTTATACTTATGTTTGCTAGTACTAGTATTAGTAGGAGGGCACCTCCCATTCTGGGAGGTGTTCCTTCCTTAATTATATCAATCACTTACACAAGAATTCAAGTCAGCCCGTGCTCTGAACGAGGCCACTGGAGTCTCTGGTGTCAGCCAACAAGGGAGTCCAAAACGGGTCCCCGGGGGAGAGGTGTGCGGAGGCCGGGGAGGGAGTTGGGAACCAAGCCGAAAAAGGGCGGGAACGGAGGGGTGCCTAAGGTTTTGTGCTGAAGAGACAGAACTGTGACACTTACAGCAAAAGAAACCCAAAAAGCAAACGTTTCCTATACGACGGTTTCCGAAACAACAAGATCCAACCCTTGAGCCAGCCCTGTCTCCAGCCCTCTTGTCTTTCCAGATCAAGCTGTTTGCGAATCTGATACAACTCCTCCCGAGCAATGGTATCTTCATCGTCTCCTTCGACATGATGCAGTCTCTGCAAGATAACAAACCCTTTCTCATACTCGTCGTTGGCGAGCAAATATCGCGGCGACTCAGGCAGCCACGGCGACCCGAGAAACAAACACAACGGCGGCACGATCTGAAGAGCCAGACAGAGCCGCCATTGCGCCACCTGGCTGGTCAAGAAGTAACAACCATATCCTGTCCAGCCTGCTAGACCCTGTTGCAAATCATCAGATCAAAAACGAAAAAGGGGTTTGTCGTCAATCCGTTTGTTGATTACTCACATATCCCACACACAAAATAAACCCATGCGATCCCACCATCCGCCCTCGCGTTTTCGCAGGCGAAACTTCTGACTGGTACAGAGGCGTGATGACATTGACCATCCCGGCACCCCAACCCATCAAGAAGCGAGCCACGAGAAACATGGCGATATGGACCGAGCCGGCCTGCAGCGCCCCTGCGACGATGCAAATGCATGCTGTGATTTGGATGGCTCGTTTCCGCCCGACTTTGTCGGCTAGCCAGGTGATGAAGAAACAGCCTAGAAGGCCACCGCCTGCGAAGAGGCCGTTGGTGGCACCAGTAACACGCGATCCTCCCTCAGACTTGATATCAATGTCGAAATACTCAAAGAACGACGGCAGGCCGATGACGGCTCCAATGATGGCCGAATTGTAGCCATAGGTCAGGGATCCGAAGGTGACGAAGAAAACGACCAAAAAGTTGTATTTCCTTCCTGTGGCCATAGCCATACTGAAACCCTATCTTGACTCTGGGTAAGTGGCGGAGGATGTTTGAAGTTTTTGGAATGGCAACGCATGCAACACACCAAATGCAACAACGAAAACTGAAACAGCTCCTTTCGACACGACTTTATGCTGCCAGTGGTTGGTGCACTGCATTGCAGCTGCACAAGGCAGCCGGGGATCCATCCCATTCTCCAAATTGAACTGCAATGCAATGCACTCTCCTCCAGGACAGAAGAACAACAGTGTTGCTTGTCATGGCTACCCCGAAAACGACACCTACCGGTAGGACCACCGTCACCGACTACTAATCATCTTGCACGCGAGTCGTTATCAGGCCAAGGTTGGGGTACGGCCAAGCTAGAACATGAATGAGTATGGTCTGGTGCACTTCTCTTGGGTAGTATAGATGGGTAAATGAGGTCGACATGGATTCGCTTGTTTGCGCTAGCCTTGCTTGCACCGGGGTGTTCTATACTGCCCCACAACCCCTGATTTTCCCCGAGTTCTCAAGTTGGGGAAACAGTATTGTTGCTGCAACTGGCAAGACACTGCATCAGAAGATGGCGACGACCATTCTGAATAGTAAGCAGGCCATCCAGACTATTTATGGCGCGTTCTAGCGTCTGAGTTCCAGCAAGAATAAGCTTGGACGCAGTGGCCTGTGGAAAGAGAAAAGCGGTATTTTACGTGGGTCATTTGGAAATACAGGCCTCAATTGCCGGCCCTCGCGCGAAGGCATCACAATCATTCGTTCTGGAGACTAGATTGTCGAACTTTTAACATCAGCAGCAATACTAGTAGGTAGGCAGGAATTTACCCAGCATAAGCCCAGCCTCTCCTTCAAATAGAGCACACCAGTGAAACTGCGAACTCCACCGGAAAGGACCATTTGAGAATGAACGTGGAACTTTTCAACCGATTCCTCATAACTTTGACAGAGACATTATATGTATTCTTTACCTCAATCCACAAGACCTCTCACCTGTCTATCATCTCTCCGCCAGTCCAAGGGCCAAAACCAGATCCTCTTACTCTTACATAACAGGTCTAAACCTCGACCTCAACCTTATCTGCGCACCATACCTATAAAACAGCACCGGCACCGGCAAAAAAGCGAGACACAAAAACCCCAACAAGGATGTAGCCCACGGAACCCCTAGATTGTGATACATGGCGGGCGCGAACAGTGGAAACCCGGCCCCAAATAACGAGCGCACAAACGTGTTGATGGCAATGGCACTGTTGGAGTAAAACCCATAACAGTCGATGATATAGTTCATGCCTTGCCAGAACGTCACCAGACATCCTGCTCCCAGGAGCGCCGTGGACAGGACTTGTGGGACCCATGTGATGTGTGGATTTGATGTCCTGAAAGCGACCAGACGTTAGTATGAGTATCATACAACACCTACGAGTACTTCGCTTCGCTTTCCACCCACGACTTTGCATCGCTTCGCTTTGCGTCGCTTCCCTCCTCTTCCCTCCTCCTACTCCGCTTCGCTCCGTAGGATAAGGTACTTACCAAGCAAACCAAAACAACCCAATTGGCAATGCAGCCGCTCCGACAATCATGGGCGGCAGTCGTTCCTCTGGCACGACCTTGCCGTGCTTGTGAAATGCGCGGGTGAAATTCGTTCGTGTAGAATAGGCAATAACACCAGTTCCCATGGCGATCCCGACGATGAACGCAGCGAACGGCAAAGCGCCCACGCCTTGGTTCCAGTGCCGTTCTTCTTGGAAGGAGATTGGAAACTACGAATTGATTGTCAGCGAGGTTCCAAAAGAAAAGCAAGCGGGTTCGAGTGGTACTCACAGCTTCAAAGAAAAGATACAAAATCCTACATTTTCCAACGTTAGCCATAGCCGCAGACAAATCTGTGTGAAGGAGGTTCAAGTTGCATTGTGCAAGTGAACGAATGTCCAACACCTACCCATAGATGAAACTCATATACGCCGTGACCAAGGCCAAAATAGGTTCCTGGACAAACATGACAAAAGGCCGGATGAGGTACACAGACAACAGAGTCCATGCATCGACGCGGCGCTCGTCCGCTTTGGCATGGAGTGCCCAGTTTTTGGTCTCGTATCGCAGCCGTTTCGCTTTCGCTTGCAAAATCCGCGCGGCAGATGTCTCGGGAACACATATGAGGCCAATGAGTCCAAACAGTGCTGCGATGATCAGAGTGATCCAAGCAGTCCAGCGCCAGCCCAAGTAGGACTGAGTGATGAATCCACCAATGATTGGGCCTATCATCAAGTCAGTACTGTTACTGGATTCTTTGGGAGATCCTTTTCTTTACCTGCCACGGGTCCTACGAACGCCGCCGCCGCAAATATGCACACAGCATACGCCCTATCGATGGGACCCCAGATATCGGCGAGGGCGCCTCCAACCACCGCCAAGGGAGACGAAGCAGCAAATCCGCCGAAAAACCGGCCGAGCATGATGGTCTCGACATTCTGGGCCACGGCGACGGGGATTTGGAAGACTGCAAATGCGAAGAACCCGGCGATCAGGGGAACTCGTCGACCGAAGACTTCGGATGCTGGTCCGAATATGATGGGTCCAAAGACAAAGCCCTGCCCAAACAACATGATCAGACACGACACCAACGATTTGTTGTAGTGTTCATGGATTAGGATTACCTACGAGTAAGAAAAGCGACACACCGAGGATCGAGGTGACTTCTCCAATATGGTACTTATGCGCAACAGGCACTATTGCAACACTCTGAAGATATATTTGTTAGTTAGATCCAACCAAGGGCCGATTTGCTGCTGAACTCACATAGATCGAGCTAGCGAAGGTGACGACGAACGTCATGCCTCCCATGGCGGCAGTGACGCGCCATTTCTTCTTTTTGGACCAGTTCTGCGGGTTGTGAGGGTCGTCTGGGCCATCGAAATCGACGATATCGTCTGCCGGATTGCGCGCTGGGGTAACTGGCACAGATGGCGGAGAGTTTGTGTCTTTCTCGAGATCCATCCCCGTTGCGCCCTGGGATGAAGGCAGATCTGCGCCCTCAATATCCTGCATGGAACCAAGAGTAGACGAAGAAGTAGAAGCCAGTGGGTTTAAAGTGGGTTCAGTTTGGAGAGTTGCCATATCCAGCCTCGCCACTTAGTTAAGCCTTACAGAGGTCCCCTGTATTGCTTGAGGACATGTTTGGGTACATCACAGTAGACGAGAATATTATATAAAAGCTTTCACAGACTTGAACCTACCGTCCGGATTTATGCTGGCGACTTTCATGCTGTCCTCTCCACTGTCAGGTTGTCGAGCATGGGTATATGGCATTAAGTAAACAATGTCCGAGGTAAGATGTACGGTGTCCGCAAGGAGGATGTACGAGCCAACCAGACTTTGGAAGAGGTGGACCCTTGCCCGGGCTTCCCCAATCGCACGGAGGAGAGCGCATAGACAGGACTGGAAATGAGAAGCCCGCAGTCTTTCAAGCAAGGACATTCTTTTGGGTACCAGGGCATACCCATTGTCGAACGACTGAATCGAGCGCGGGCAATCAGAAGGAGACGTGCCCCGACAATTCCATGATGGGAAGGGCGGAGTAAGCAATGGGTCGCATGAACGGGTATTCGATCGTATCCCGAGATCTCCGTCTCGTACAGTACCAAGTGATCAGAACTTTGACCTTAAAGCCGCCGTACCTGAGTTGCTTTTAGAAGTGTTGTCGGTGTTGCCAGCACCACTGGCGAGAGGCTCAAAGTTGTTCAAGTTGTACGATATGAGGCTGACAAATAATTTGACTGATGATCGGACATGAGGTCAGCCTTAACCCCGTCTTAACTACGAGCCACTAGCCTAACGAGGAAAGTCTCAGCCTTGCCAGAACCCGCCTTACATATCAGCCAGGGCGGTCTCAGCATATCTGTAGTATAGCAAAAGTGTTTGAGAGAAGATAAGCAAGTCCAGCTGGCACTGGAGGCAGTACAATCCGTTAAACATCATGGTTTGGCGAATCAGAAGTATCAGGTGTTAAGTCGCAAAATGTATCGAGAAGTAAATGGGAAGACATACGATTGACACTAGCTCTGCTGACAAAGAGGCGAGCATTGCAAGAAAAGGCCTCGGTCTATTCACAGTTAATTGGAGGCAAGCGATGCCGTACGACCAGGCTTCACGACGCCGTATAACCCGGGAATGTGCTCATATTTCAGGGTAGACATCCGTTCGCCTCAGTAATGGAATACCTTTCCTGACCTCTTTGACAAGATCCAAGTCAATGTCGACGGTGAACATGTCTGGTTCACGGGCGAGCTCCTTTTCGCTATCCAGATCATCCACATGGTCTAGACGGCGGACAATCTGACCATTTGGGGAGATGACAATGGCATCGCCATAACTGACGCGTTTCTCGTTATGTCGACCACACTGTGCTGCGGCAATTACCCAGCATTGCGTCTCTATCGCTCGACTACGAAGGAGAACCTCCCAGTGGAGTTTTCCGGTCGGAACGGTAAAGGCTGATGGGTACAGCAGAGCTTCCGCTCCTTGGCGACGCAGCCGGATGGAGGGTTCAGGGAACCGCAGGTCAAAACATATCAGGCTACCGAGCTTACCCAAAACCGTCTGATATGGAGGCACAGTCTCATGTCCAGGCTCGACAGAGTCGCTCTCCTTCAGTCTCGGCCCATTAGGGCGTAGGTCAATATCAAACACATGCAGCTTTTGATATCGGTGAGCGATCTCTCCCTCTTTGTCGATCCATATCAGAGTGTTCTTTATTCTTTTGGAAGACGGATCGGTTGGTTCATGGATACCCACGTTGATCAGCAACGAGTTGTCCCTTGCAGCCTGCTGGAGGCCACGGACAAATGGGCTTTTGGAAACGTCTTGACAGAGTCCTACAGACTCGGCTGAGGAGGAAGCGATATAATCGGAAGCCTCAGGGAGGAAGAGTGCCTAGATTGGGCGTGGGCTGTGAGGATTTGGTCAACGGCGAGTGTTAAGAAGCCTGGCATTGGCAGGGAGGGTTCCGTCCACGCCGCGCTTCATGGAGCCAACTGACCTTTGCGCCTGCTGCGACAGCTCGCTTGACAAGCTGCTGGCATTGGGCGAGGTTATGGGTCATGGACGCAGTTGAGCAGATCTGCCCAACAGCCTAGCATACCAAGCGGTTAGCTGGGTGACTGAAACACACCGGCATTGCGGCTCCCAGGCAAACATACGGCGAGCACCATTGTGGATATTGTGCGCATACGCAGGTCCGCTGGGTTTCGGGTGCGGCGGTCAGTTGATGGCGGGGGAACGCTAGAATCAGCCAGGTATACTGAAGTAACAGTCTCCCGTCGATTTTCCAAGGCTGAAGAAACAAGCTATTATTACTGGCTTGAGAAACGAGATGCGCTTAAGGTGGCAGTGCAGAGGTCCCCGATGACCGGACTGCAGTGTATCACGATCAACACCAGGACTGAGGGGCAGGATGCAGAGGAGCCGCAGCCAGTTATCGGCAGAGTTTCCCAATATGGCGCAGCACAAACAGCACAAACTCGGGATGTTTCCGTGCCGCATGCGAGTCCATCTTTCGTCCAGTGCCCTCCCACGAACGCGGTGGCATTTCTGGTTGGTGGACTTCAACCTCGTCTTGTGCAAACCCCGGACCACGAACCGTCTCCATCCCCCGGACCCCTCGCGCCCCTCGGCCCCCTCCATCATCCCGCTCTGGATCACCAACATCGAGCACGACGTCTATCAACGAGGCTGCAACTGTCGAGTCTCTAGCGTTGAAAGAGATGGGAGCCGTAGCGGCGAACGGCGCGAGTGTCATGTGAATTAGTGGTTGCTTCTAGCAACAACTGAAAAGCAGCAGAGTCCCGCTGTCTGGGTTCCGATCCAAGCTCTGGCTGGCCTGAAGTGTTCGGTTCCGAGGTTTGCTTGGAGGTGCAAGCGAAAGCCACGACGAGTTCCTGCAGAGACGACTTGGTCGAAGTGTACTTTACCATGGCGCTCTCCACAACGCGAGCCGCACGCCAGATTCGTTTCTCCAGATCTCCTGCCGCCGAAAGCCCACAGCTAGAGCCTTCATTGGGACGTTATACCGCGCTTCCGCCGGTTCCCTTGTGGCCGTCGATACCCCGCCTTTTCGAGCCTTGACCACTAGGTCCACAACTTGTCCCATGGGGGCCCAGCTATTGAATGTCGATTCGACACTGGTGGTCCTGGTGGATTATAGAATCCCCGGGAATTTGTGTCTCGACAAAGGGGACTTCACAACTATATATTTCGAGTTCAACCCCTGCTTCATCTCCGCAAAACTGGTCTCCTCGACAATCCACACATCGCCAGAACCAGAGCCTCCATCCTTCCACAATCTACACGCAATACTACTCAGACTCTCACCATGGCATCAGTCGATATCCCTAAGGTCCAGAAGGCCGCCGTCAAGGATGGCTCTGGAGACAATGCCAAAGCCCCAGTGAAGGAAGTTGAAGTCCCCCAGCCCGGTCCTGGCCAAATCCTCGTTAAGATTAACTGGCAAGTATAGCATAGCCCCTGGTTTCTGTGTCTACCTCCTAACAGCAATACTAGGACTGGTCTATGTGGTTCTGACAAATCCCTGCTCCATGATGAGTGGTCAGGATTTGGCGTTGCCATGCAACCGTCCACCAAGGGCATTGCAGGACACGAGGGTGCCGGTGTTGTCGTTGCTGTGGGCGAAGGCATGGAGAACAAATGGAAGGTTGGCGACCGTGCCGGCATCAAGTGGGTGTGGAGCACCTGCGGCGAGTGCGAGTTCTGCACCAACGGCACCGACGAGCTTCACTGCCCGAACCAGAAGAACTCGGGCTTTACTGTCCCCGGTACCTTTCAACAGTACGCTCTGAGCGACGGCAGATACACGACACGTATCCCAGATGGTGTTACGGACGAGGAAGCAGGCCCCATCATGTGCGGTGGTGTCACAGCATACACTGCATGCAAGCGAAGCGGTCTACGACCCGGCCAATGGATTGTGAGTATCAACACTTGAATTGCTGTTCAAACTTGCCTTGCTAACACTTTCAACAGGTCATTGGCGGTGCTGGTGGTGGTTTGGGCCATCTGGCAGTGCAGTATGCCAGAGCTATGGTAAGTCACAACCAATCAGTTTGGCTATCTTAGACTAATGCTTTGCAGGGATTGCGGGTTATCGCCATTGACGGAGGTGATGAGAAGAAGGAGCTGTGCAAGAAGCTCGGCGCCGAAGAGTTCATCGACTTCACCAAGGTCAAGGACACCGCTGCCGAAGTCATGCGGATCACCAAATATGGTGCCCATGGTGTCATTGTCATTGCTGCCACCAAGCAGGCCTACGAGACTGCCCCGAGCTTCCTCCGACCCGGCGGCACTGTCGTTGCCGTCGGTCTGCCCAAGGATCCCACGGTTCTTGCGGGCGCTCCCCCGATCATGATTTGCTTGAGACGTCTCAACATTGTCGGCAGTGTTACTGGTACCCTGAAGGACGTCGAGGAGGCCCTGGACTTTACTGCCCGTGGCCTCGTCCACCCCATCTTGACAAAGGGTACCTTGGCCGACGTCGACAAGTATATTGAACAGATGCTTGCTGGCAAGCTCTCTGGCAGAGCTGTGTTGAAGGTCTCATAGACAGTTACAATACTTGTCGCTATGTAAGATCATGACTTAAAATGAAATGGTACCACAAACTTGAACCAATACCATAGCAGTGAACTGTGCATCGATATCTATACTGTAGGCAGTACCAAATCCTCCCCCCTTTCCCCAAGCCCAGAGGCATGTCAATGTCAGATTATGAGCCATTGAGCCAAATACACTCCAACAAGAGAAAGAAAAAGACAATATTACATACAGTACCAACATAACCAAACACCTCTGTCCCTTGCCCCCAAAGTCCCCTGCGCCGCGCAGAAAAATTCTTTCTAATGTGACGTTCTTGATCTTGACTCTGTGTGTGTGCGTGTGTGCATTTTGAAACCTCCTCCCTCTATCATTATAGTTGTATATTGCCCAACCAACGCCCCCAAGAAAACAAAAAGCCCATTCAAGCCAAGCCAGTAAGACAAAACCAGAGACATGCCAATGCCCTGGCTGCCAGGGCATTCGGACTTGGCTTGGACAGTAGACACAGATCTCCGAGTCCAGGGGCCAGTAGTGGTAGGAGACCCAGGACCTGAGATGAGCTCAGAGCTCACATGCGCAGGGCAGCAGATCTGGACTGATACATAAAAAACCAGGTAGTCAGTGAGACTGCACTCCATACCATCCCACCATCTTCCACCCAGTCTTTTGTCTTCTTTCCTCACCACGAAAAAGTCATCAACGCCGGATTCAACACAATCGGCAACAACAAATGACTTGCCGTAACCGTACTCATGGGCAATATGGCAATGAAATCCTTAATCAGCCAATCATAAGGAATAAACCCGCCCGGATTCGTCGCAAGGACAATCATAGCAACAATGCCAATCAGAGCAAACGCAATGCTGAACTTGAACTTCCTAATGACCTTGGGCACTTCAATGAAAAAGTTCGAAAACTCGGCTTCCTTACTCGTCGCGCCCCACGTCATATCGATTTCAAACATATGCGCCAACAGGGCCTGGGAGACATGCAGAGACAATCCACCCAGGAAAATGGACAACATGACAATCCACTTGAAGTTCTCCAGCAGTGCGGGCAAGAACGATTTCTGTCCGATGCGGTAGCGCATGACTGCAAGCGACACATTGCCCAGACCATTGAACACAATCACGATGCTGAACCACACCTTCCAGCTGTCAATGTAGTATTTGTCCAAGTAGCCATTGAACCAGCCGATGGCGAAGTAATTGGCCAGCGTCATGATCCACGCGGCCCCGATCGCATAGTACGTCCCGATATAAGAAATAATAGTGATCTTGGATGTGAATCGGATATTGGAGAACAAAAACCGTCGGAAAAGGGGTGTGAATGGACCCTTGTAGATCCATTTGCGCATCGGGTTGAAGAGTAACTCGTTGCATCCGTAGGCGTACTTTTCCCAACGGGCAAGTTCGTCATACACCGTAAGGCTGACGCCTTCTTTGAACCCGCCGTGTGCCCAGGAGGCCAGGCGAATAATGTACCCGTCGCACTGGAGGCGGAGAGACATGTCAAAGTCCTCGCTGACGTGGGATTCGGACCAGAATTTCTCGTACCCGTCTTCGTCGACATATGAGACTTGTTGGATTGCGCTCCATCGCAGGATTGCGTTGTGCCCCACGAAGGGTGCCACGTCGCCGTTGGCCACGGTGTATTCGATCGCAGTGTAGATCAGGTTGGTGAAGAATGTGATTCCGTTCTCGAAGAATGTGTGGACTACTTGCATGACGCCTGAAGCGAATTGCATGATCCCCACGTTGGGCGATTGTTCCATTTCGCTGACCGCATCGAGCAGACAGTCGGCGGGTACCCGAGTGTCACTGTCAATGAGGAGAATGTAGTCGCCCACGCGGATATTGCCGTCCGCCCAGGCACGAGGTGTCTCGGCGAGAACCTGCTCAAGGCATGCTTCGTAGGCTTGCGACTCGTCGTTTTGGGTCCAGTTTGGTCCGCGGTGGATGTGTTGTAGTTTCTCTTCCACTTTGCACGACAGCATTAGGCCATAGTTCATGTTCGACGCCTTTTTGAACTTTCCACGTCGAATGAAGCCCTCGCTGTTGTGTGGGGGTCTCGCGGTCCATCCAATGTTGTGGTCCTGGTAGAACTCGATTCGAGCTTTGCGTTCCTCTTCGTCAATGGCCTGTAGTCCGTCGTCGTTGATGAGCATGTTGGCTGTTCCCCCTTGTAGCTCGTACGTCGAGATGGCTTGCTTGATTGACTTGACTGTTGGCATGATCACTGACGCAAGACCTTCCTTGTACACGGGACATTGAACCGTCACATGTGGTAGCTCTGGTGTACGCAACCGTGGCGAACATTTGGCCGAATAGTATTTGGAGTTCATCTGCATTTGCCGCACGGGACCAATGCATTGTGCAATACAACCGACGACCACTTGGGCAAAGAACTATATTATGGTTGGTCAGTATAGGGACGCTGAGTACAAGATACCAGATTGAGACGACTTACCAGCGTGAAGAAGATCTGGACAGGCACCAAGAGAAGAAAAGCAAGCCGAATGTAACCGCCGTCGACGGCAATTTCGGTGGCCAAAGACCGAAAGGCCAACCCCAGCAACACAACGACAATAATCAGCGTGAAGGCAACAAGGATGGTGTTCATCAGATTCGTGGACCTGTGCTCGGACATAGTCTCTCCTGATTCCGGGTCAACTGTCACTTGGATACCGCCATCTTTTTCGTTTTGGACTTCGTCGTCGTCTCGGGCTTCACCCGTATGCCAGACAAGCTCCATTAACTGGGACTCGATAGTGGTCGCTCTCTTGACTACATTGGATGGGTCGTCGTCCCACACCACTAAAAGCGAATCTGCGGCAATGAAAGCTGCAAACTGGTGCTTGCGAGCCCGGGGAAGATCAGCCATAGTGGGCAGTATTTGGACTCGCATGCCCTTCATCAGCGGCACGTCCGTTGCATCAGGGGCCCAAGCGAGGAATGTTTTGATAACTCTCGAGTTCACCGTCATGGCCACCTAAGAAGGCGTTTAGTATCAGGTCACCAAGAAACCACTTTCGCTTCCGTACCTGTAGGTTGAGTTGTGCGCAGACTTGGGCGAACTGCGAGTGGGCCAGTTGTTGCGGGCATGCCAGGTAGTTGCCTTTGCTTTTGCGCACCAGAACTCCTTCACATTCTCCGGAGCCATCGCTCACCCATAAGTGCGAGCATTGCTGCTGGTACAAATGGTTGACCATGATCTCATGTCGGACTTCTTCCAGGAAAGTGCTCGGAACACTGCGAGTTGACCTGCCACTGATGGATGCAGCACTGCTCTGAGCAGGCGAGTCTTCCATGTTGAAAACTCCCGCCGTAGGTGAGCCCATAACAGGGGTAGACTGTTGCCTGTACATATCTCTGTGAACAGTAGTCGTGGGAGAGTCGGACGGCGGAGCTGCAACAAAATGAGGACGCCCACTTGACGGGCGAAGGGGAATATTGTACATGGCCATATGATCCTCCGAAGCAGGGAGGTAGCCCTATGTACAGCAACAAACAAAGCTATTCAAACTTGTGCAAAGGGAGAAGAAGTGTGCCTCTGGTTGATCGTAAGGCAGGGCAGTCTCTGAGACATCGTGACCGGGTCATATACAGTCGCGACCACCTACCGTGGGTACTCCAAGACACTCACATGTGAGGTCCAGTAGAATAAGGAACGCCGCAGTGGCTGCACCGACTTGCAATCAAAACATTGCAGATAACTGTTAGCATTGCCTCGATGCGTCTTCCACGACAAGGGCAATGCTTGCGCCCAGCTGACCCGTGATAGTGGTGAGCTCCCTCTGCGGTGTGATCTAGTGAGGTGGCTGCAGAAGGTGCCTGGAAGAGACATCAAATCGGGGCGAAGGACAAGGAACGTCCAACGTTGGGCTACGTCCGGACGAATCCAACCACGCTGCCGGCTCGGAAACGGACACTCGCCAGGTACGGCGATGCCAGGATTGCGAGGGGCGACACGGCAGAAGCTGCGAGGTGTACAACAGGAGACTGCAAGGATGGAAGCGAGCGAGAAGATCGGGCCAAATAGAAGACGGGCGCGAGACAGGGATCGAAGGGATCGAAGGGATCGACGTGTGTTGCAGGTTTGACAGTTCACTCTCTTCTCAGACATTGTTCCTGCCAGATGCGGTTAGCGCAGCCTCTTCTGCAAGGGGACAGACCTTGGAACAACATCGATTTGTATCCCGTCCAGAAACCGACCAGGCACCGTACCACCTCCTATCGATAGCCACGCTGTGTGGCACACGGCTCATGCAGTGCTGTGATACATCCCTAAATATATGCTAGATCATTCAATGCAGATGTTGCTGCTTGGTCCGCGATACAGGGCAGATCCTTGCGATGCCTCCAGGATGACGACCAGGTGCCTTCAGCCGTTGTTTTCCTTAATCTCTTCGCTTCCCTGGAACCTGCAGCAATATCACTGCCTGGAGATAAGACATGATGCCGTGGCTTTGGGTCTGCGCAAGCCCAGGACGTTCGTTGCCGCCGTGGCGAGGAGATTGTTGTGGTGAAAACGGAAAATGCGATCAAAAAATACAGAAGCCTCCTGATAAGCACCCTTGCCGGTCGAGTTCACTGCCTGAGACATATGCAGGACCAGACCGAAACAGGTGCTTGCTCGTTGAGTAATGCTCGCCGCATCTTCGTATCGCTAATCTTGCACTTGCTTCTATATTTGCCATTGGTGTTGTGCTTTTTGGGCCGGGATGTTACAACTTCTTTGGTTGATCTCGATCTCTGAAAGAGGGTACGGCCTTGTCCACTGTTATTTTTCCTGCACGCTGTTAGCTATTAGATATCCTCTTTTGACAGCTCCTCGCTATGGCGCAGTATCAGCGTCCTCGCAATCTTGCTCAAGTTGATTCCTCTCTGCACGTTGAACACGGTTCTCCGCTGGCCTCACCAAACTCCGCCATGGCCTCCAGCGTGCCCAAAGCAGAGAAACCTGCCAATCCCTTTCTGACGCCATATGCCTCTGAGCACCCATCGAGGACTGCATCATCAGCCATGTTGCACCAAGATATGCTCACTCACCGATATTTTCATTCTCGAAGGGTCAAAAAGGGTGAAGTGGAACGACCATGGACCAAGATCAAAGACCCCAAGGAGAAGTGGGTGACCATAATCCCTATGATTGGACTGCTTGTCGGTCTAGGCATCGCGGGCTTTCTTGTCTGGGATGGACTGCGAACCGTCGTCAATCACAAATATTGTCCAGTGTATCTGGAGGACTTTTCAAATGGCCTGGACTCAAAAGTCTGGACAAAAGAGGCAGAGGTGGGCGGCTTTGGTAATGGTCAGTTTGAACAGACCACCGTCACCGACGAGAACGTGTTTGTGCAAGACGGAATGCTGCATATCAAGCCCACATTGCAGGACCCGAAATTGATTGAGACAAACAACGTCATCAACCTGTCAGCCCAAGGTATTTGCTCATCCTCCACTTGGAGCGATTGCATCACTGGCACCAACACCACAAACGGCACAATTGTCAATCCTGTCAAGTCCGGACGCATCAACACCAGGAAAGGTGCATCCATCAAATATGGTCGAATTGAGGTCGAAGCCAAACTGCCTGAAGGTGATTGGCTTTGGCCTGCCATATGGCTCCTTCCCGTGGAAAACAAATACGGACAATGGCCACAATCTGGCGAGATCGATATAGTCGAGTCTCGAGGGAACAACCATAGCTATCCTCAAGGGGGCAATGACATTGTCTCAAGCACCTTGCACTGGGGCCCCAACTCCGCCAACGACGCTTGGTGGAAGACAAATGTCAAGAGAAACGCCCTGCATACAACCTTTTCAAAAAAGTTCCACACGTTTGGCCTCGAATGGTCGGAAAAATACCTTTTCACCTACATCGACACTCGGCTGTTACAAGTGCTGTATACCAACTTCAATGAGCCCCTATGGCAACGAGGCCATTTTCCGCTTTCCGACAGTAACGGTACACGGTTAGTGGACCCTTGGTCGCAGACAGGCGTTGCTTCCACGCCGTTTGACCAAGATTTCTACCTGATCTTGAACGTTGCTGTTGGTGGGACAAACGGTTGGTTTCAAGACGGTAAGAACGGAAAGCCATGGGTTGATGCCAGTCCAACAGCGAAGAAGGACTTTTGGGATGCCAAAGATTCATGGTACCCCACGTGGAAGGACCGCGGCGAGATGGTGGTCAAGAGTGTCAAGATGTGGCAGCAGCAGGGATACAAGGGTTGCTGATCGTGTCATTCAGCAACTCGCTGCAACCCTTTGTATGATAAAGCTTCTGGGTCGTGTTGTGGGCTGCAGTTGCAAGTCTGTCTTTTCTTGATGCGGGGGTGAACTCATAATATAATGCTAGGGAGTTGTTAGAATCTGGATAGAAGACTAAGTTTGTACTTGCTCCTGTTAAGGGATAACATCTCGGTCAGGCGCGCAGCGAGTATCTATCATTCCAGATTCTTCAAGGAATGTAGTAAACCTAAAGTCAGTGACCGCGCTTGCGCTGTGACAAGATGGACTTGAATCCTCGTGTAATGAATGGCCACTATTTCTTGACCGAGCATTGAGCCTCGGAGCGCTTGGCCAGCAAAGGATTGGACGGTGTCTTCGTGGCTCTCCATGTACATCCGAAATCCGACACTGCCGCCCTCATGTAAGAAGCTGTTTGGTTGTACGAATTTCCATGTCGACTTGGGGTCCGATACCACAATTTATCGCCAGCTCTCAAACTCACATTGCGCCATGCTGAGCAGTTCATAAAACTCTCGACAGGAATCGGCATCGGCTATGTACCGCCACACATGGATGCGGCATAACATCCGACCGTGCGAAGGCTGCTCACGAGAATTAATGCAATCACGGTGGACGAGAACACGAACCGTGCCTGCAGATGCATCGTTATTGACCTCCATAGACCCGTCGCCCTCAGACGACAAGTACCCAAGAATTGCGAAGTTTGCCCGGCGGTGTCAGGATCAATATAGTCCAACTTCTGGGCCCAAAATATATAGGCTGACCCTAGCATACGGTGAGCCCCAGGTCTGGCACTGAGCATTGAAGCTTTGAAGCCCTTGAATCCCCTCGACACCGACATGGAGGTAGGTGTAATAAACGATCGACACCATGTTAGAATTCATTGCCAATCCAGAAACTACACCAGAATCACTCATGCTCATCGCCAGTGCTAGTGCTCCGGTCACCGTAGCCGAAGATCTTCAGAATGTCCTTGTTGTCAGCCAAGAAGTACGAGACGAGCATGGTGCGACATTCCTCAGCCGAGGTGCCCAGTTTGCCATACTCCCCTGTCCAAGTGTGGCCTGGCCGATACTAGGTCTCCACGCGCTTCCCTGTGATCGGATTGATGGGAAGATTCTGCTGATCGGAATTGTATCAATTTGTATGTTCCAGGCGCCGTTTCAGCAAGGAATTTATCGGTTCCGTGGCCGAGAAGCTCATGTATGGAGGTCACAAGGAACCGCACAATGTGGTTGCAGCTTCCAAATGCCCTCATCTCAAAGGGATCTCCATAGTGGCGAGGTCGATCAGGACTGTTGTTGGCGTTCATGCATTGAAAGACGATATTCTTAACGCCACAGGCCTCACGGATATCGTTGTACTTTGGACGTGATCATTAGCGGTGGCTCTGCGCTGGTACGGTCCATGGAGCTTACGTTCAGCAGGTTCATTGCCTCCCAGGCAAGCCTCGTACAAATGAGACGCCTGGTATATGACAGTTGTGTCCACCAACGCGAGAATCACCGTCACATACTTTGAACCTCGTGAAGGTCGGGGCCTGGAAGACACCTGGCTTGAATGGCCCCTTGCCACCATTGTCGCCGGGCAGAGCCCAAAAAGGCAGCAGGATGAACTTGGCAGGGTTCCCAATCCGAGCATCCAGCTTACTTGTGTCATCAAGATCGGAGACGCATATGGCGACCTCCCATTCGGCCCAAACGGCATAAGGATCTCGGTATGGCTCCACAAATCCGAGATTGCTGTCCACACTCGGACAAATATCATTGATCCACGTTTTCTGCGACTGGTGACAGACATCAGGACTTCCATCAAAAGCTGTGGATGTAGTGTGTGACAAGATCGCGTTGCGTCCGATTCTTTACGTACGGTAAAGGCGCTTCGATGTCTGCACAAATTTTTGCATCTCCGCGGCGTGATCTCCCGTGGTGGCCTTGACATCCAATTCGAAGTCCCCAAGTGAGAGACGAGAAAAGTCGATTCAATCCACAGAGGCTATTATGACTTCAAACCTGACTTTTGACATCAGGAACTTCCGAATTCGAGTATTATCTGGTTCAATCGAGCGCTCACTCATCAGTGTGACAATGACAGATAGTTCAGCCTCGGTGGTTGGTTCTTCCCCCAGTGAACAATCTCTGGGCCTGAGCCGCGAGAAAACCAAGGCTGACCATGGTATTGACAGCATTAGGCCGATCGTCTCTTTGAGAGCAGTAGCTGTGTCGGCTGAGGTAGTCGCCACCTTGCGGAGCGAGCCAGCAGACACGGGGGTTCGTCCTTGTGGTCACCTTTTCCTCACGCCGAGTTAGAGGGCCTTCTTGCCTTGCGCCACTGTGGACCTCCAAAGTAGTTCACCAGAGTGCCGAGAAACAGCCTTGCAAATTCAAGAAGGCATCCAGGTCACGGGAGTCCAAGCCAAATTGCTCCGTCGCTTGTCCAGTGACCAACGCCACCCTTGCTAAATTCGAGAATAAAATCAAAAATTCCCCGGCCTGAAGGAGAACTTTTCCGTAAAATGATTCGACTGCCGCGCCACGCAGCCTTGGAAGGATGGTGAGCATAGAGCTGCTTGCGATAGCTAAGTTCATCGAACAGCTCTGGGGGAAACGCTTGTCGTGGGAGATAAAAGCTGCCAGTTCTGAAGATTACGACGTCAAACTGGGAAATGTACAACAAGCGATAGATTGCGCACCGCCGCCCGTGCCCGTGTGTTTGTTTTTGGAAAGCTTCTTATTTCAAGTTGTATGTCGGATTAAGTTCAAAGTTCATAAAAAAGGGTGGTATCAAATGGTACCAAAACCTGTAACATTGAGAATACCTTATTAAGAGCTTCAGGTTCGAATCATGAAGTGACGTGCAATTATGCCTGCTCGATAGCGCAGTACCGCTGACAATTCATGTTGTTATTCTTCTTTGACCTGCCCTAGGACATCGACGACGCCAGCCGGGGTGTAATTGAACCCTCCTCGGGGGTATTTGACACTGTAATACTAAGGGGGTCACATTCCTCCCGCCCTCTCTCTAGTCCCTGGGGGAGATAGACCTGAAGAAGGGGATCGGGGTCAAGTTCGACAAATATGGCATAACTGGCGCACGACTTTCTTTAGTAACGGAGGGAGGCCGAGAAGATGAGCGGGAGCTTGAACTGAGATGGCCAGGACAGAAGAAGGTTGTTCCGTCTTTCTGTTCAGTCAGTCCTCGATTAGTCATCCACTTACCGCCAGCCTCGAGGCGTCTCACAATAATAGCCATGCAGTACTGCAGGGACGATGTAGGCTAAAGGTTACGAAATGCTTGCTCTGTGTCGGAAGATCTAACAATGTATGCAATAATATGATCATATTTAAATTTTCCACGCTCGTGAGACTCCACAGCTCTATATACAATCAATTTTATTTGGACTAGCAGCACTCTACACGAGCTTCAACAATCCCTGAAGGTTGATGCTCTTTGGCCGCTCAATGGGCAGACCAAGTGCACGATCCCAGATAAGTTGGGCCAACGGGCCGAGGCCTCTGCTGACGCCGAAAGTGACTGTGTAGTACAGAGGATCTTGGAAGCCGTAGTGGTGGAAGAGCACGCCGGAGGCACTATCGACGTTGGGGTGGGGATTCTTGGTCTTGCCATGCTCAGTCAAAACGCCCGGTGCAATCTCGCTGTTCTTCTTAACTAGGCGGTAGACGGGGTTCTTGGCAATATCCGGGCGAGAATCACCGAAATCAATCAATGCCTTGAAACGGGGATCCGGCTTGCGGAGAACACCGTGACCATAGCCCGGGACGACCTGGCCGGAGCGAAGAGTAGCCCACAGGTAGTCCTTGACATCCTGGTCAGAGTAGTTTTCGCCAATCTGCGACTTCATCTTCAGGATCCATCGGAGGACTTCCTGTGCGGCAAGACCGTGCAGAGGGCCGGCCAAACCAAGCAGACCAGCAGAGTATGACAGGTACGGGTCAGAGAGAGCAGACCCGACCAAGTGGGTGGCATGGGCAGAGACGTTGCCACCCTCATGGTCTCCGTGAAGAGCCAAGTAGAGACGGAGCAAATCCTGGAAGCCCTCGTTCTCCTTGCCTGGCTTTCCTAACAGCTTGGCAAAGTTGTAGGCCCAGTCTTGGTCCTTATCAACTGGGATGTCCAGAGCAGCCTTGTCGAAAATGGCTGCTGCGACACGGGGCAACTTGGCCAGAAGGTTGATGCTGTCCTCAAATGTAGGCTCCCAGTACTCAGCCTTGCTCAGTCCCTCGGCGTACTTCTTGGCGAACAAAGACTCGGTGTTCAGGGCAGCCACAGCGCAGGACAGCTGCGTCATGGGGTGAACGTTCTTGTCGAAGGATCGGAGCATGTTAACCACATGGGCTGGAAGGTCCGACTTCTCGGCCAGCTCACGAGAAAGAGCTCGGACTTGAGAAGTGGATGGGACTTTTCCAGTTAGCAGAAGCCAGAACATAGCCTCCGGAAGCATCTCTGTGCCAGAAGTGCCCTTTGGAAGCTCCTTCTGGCAGTCGGCAATTGTTTTGCCGTGGAAGCGGATGCCTTCATCAGCATCCAGAACACTGCCTTCCCAAACCATGGACTTCATGGTTCTCATACCACCAACGACTTGTCCAACGGTGATATCGCCAATCTTCTTATCGGCATGGCTCTTGACCTCCTTCAGTAACTCTCTTTTCTCAGGAATGACGGATTGCAGTGTAGACTTGAGATCAGGCTCGGCGACAGATGCGTAGGTTCGAAATGTGAACGATGTCGAAGGTCGCGCAGTAGAGCGCAGGGCCCTCAGGGCAGCTTGAGCTGTTCGTGTGGTGGTAGCCATCGCGGTGAATGGTGCTAAGAGGTGTGTTGATATCGGAGCTGTCAGAGGACCCCGCACAGTCCGTAGAGCGTGAAATAGTGAGGTGGCAGAAAGCTTTCAGACTTGGGAGTGTTGCAAGGGCGTTGCTTGAAGGTAGTGAGAGAACTGGTAAGAGGTCGAGCGCGATGTTTTGAGCTTTGAGTAAAGAAAAAAAAAAGGGACCGTCGTCGCTAGTCCCCTTGCGCCGGAAGTAGTAGGGGACGTTGGCAAGCACAAGAACCCAACATTACGAACATCCCTCGGCGATCCCCACGGAATCCCGCAACGCCGAAGCAGCCTCGTCTAGCCGGAACCGAGGCTGCGTCCTCCACGGGGATTTTCTGGAGGTTAAAATGACACGTCTGACGGTCACAGTTGGGGCCTGACTTGGAGGACTGATGCAAAAGAATGCCGGGCCCATGGACGTTAAACTTTGTCAGACAGGTGCCCTATTCCAGGCTGGGAGACATGGAGCCGTCAAGGCTGAAACCCGGTCCGAACTCGGATCCGTAACGAGCGATTTTGGCAAGTCGAATGTTGCGAAAAACAATGTTGTAATGTGAACATCGACTCTTCCAAGGTTGCTACTGCGTACCGGATTGGATTTGGCCATTCCTCATTACACATCCTGCCTTGCCACATTAGAAAGCAGCTTTGGGCTGCTCTCCGCAGGTTTATTTCAGTGCCTCTGACCCAGTATCGCCGGGCAAACCACTGTTCCCTTCACCAACACTCATAGGGCTCCATCTCAAGATCAAGATATACAGAGATGACCATGCTTCGACGCATTCCTAGGAGCCTCGCTAGGCCTACCTCGCGGACGATCTTGAGATCCTCGGTCTCGAAACCATTTCTCGCTTCGATGCCTCGTTACCTGTCGTCGTTGCCGCCAGTTGATCCTCCGGTGTCTACAGCCCTCCCATCCGACTCATTCCAACTATTGGCTACGGAAGATAAGGCTGGAGATGCCGAGGATCTGCTTTTCGAACAACAAGTCGAGGATGTCAAGAAATGGTGGGCGTCGCCTCGATACGAAGGGATCAAACGACCCTATACCGCAGAAGATGTCGTGAGCAAACGAGGGACCCTACAGCAGACATATCCCAGCTCAATTATGGCCAGAAAGTTGTTTAATCTTCTTAATGAAAGAGCCGCTGAAGGGAAGCCGGTACACACTATGGGAGCAATTGATCCCGTACAGATGACTCAACAAGCGCCAAATCAAGAAATCCTCTATGTCTCTGGCTGGGCTTGCTCATCCGTGCTCACTACTACGAACGAGGTCTCAGCTGATTTCGGGGATTATCCATATAACACGGTGCCCAACCAGGTGCAGAGATTGTTTAAAGCCCAACAACTACATGACCGCAAACACTTCGATGCCCGAAGGAAACTGAGTCCTGAGGAGCGGAAAAAGACTCCTTACATTGATTACCTGAGACCAATCGTGGCAGATGGTGATACCGGTCATGGTGGACTATCTGCCGTCATCAAGCTGGCAAAGCTGTTCGCTGAGAATGGAGCCGCTGCCGTGCATTTCGAAGACCAACTCCATGGCGGCAAGAAATGTGGACATTTAGCAGGCAAGGTGCTGGTACCTGTGGGTGATCACATCAACCGTCTCGTGGCCGCCAGATTTCAATGGGACATGATGGGTTCTGAAAACCTGGTGATTGCTCGGACCGATTCTGAGAGTGGAAAACTGCTTTCAAGTGCCATTGATGTGCGGGATCACGAGTTCATCTTGGGTGTGACGCAGGACACAGAGCCACTCGCAGAAGTACTTCAGGAGATGGAAGCCAAGGGCGCCAGTGGGCCTGAAATCGACAAGTTTGAGTCGGCATGGGTCAAGGAGCATAAGCTGGTCACATTTGATGAGGCTGTGGAAGCCCACATCAAGTCCGAAGGTGGCGACGCCTCCGAATACCTGGCCAAGACCAAAGAGAACCGCAACATGTCACTATCCAAGCGCCGCGCACTATCCCAGCAATACACGAAATCGCCGGTTGTATGGTCGTGTGATATTCCAAGAACTCGAGAAGGATTCTACCACTACCGGGCGGGTCTTTCCGCCGCCACTAAGCGTGCCATTGAATTTGCTCCCTACGCCGACCTCCTCTGGCTTGAAACTGCCGACCCTAACGTGGCCAAAGCAGCAGGATTCGCACGAGAAATCCGCCAGGCATACCCAGGCAAGAAATTGGTCTACAATCTCAGTCCATCCTTCAACTGGATGGGACATGGGTTCGATGATGCTTCTCTGAAGTCATTTGTCTGGGACCTAGCGAAGGAAGGCTTCGTGCTTCAGTTGATCTCGCTGGCTGGTCTGCACTCCACGGCCACCATCACGGCCGAGTTGTCGCGAGGTTTCAAGGACGACGGAATGCTGGCATACGTCAAGCTCGTCCAAAGCCGGGAAAAGGCACTTGGTGTTGATGTCCTAACACACCAAAAATGGAGCGGTGCGCCGTACATTGATGGCATTATTGGTGCCATTCAAAGCGGCAGCAGTGGCAGCAAGAGTATGGGTGAGGGCAACACTGAGACCAGCTTCTGAGTGGGCATCGGAAGCCGTCAATTCTAAGCCAGCGCTCTGTGACAACACGCCTTGCATGATACCGGGGCGGCCAATTCACGCGGCGAGTATTCGTGCGCCACGTGGGCTAGCATTTGCGAACGCACATCGCTAATATGATGGCAATCCGCTGAGTCGCTTTCAGCACTGAAAGGATACACAGATGTCATGAGATACAGTGAGTGGGTATGCAGCGACCTAGTACTCGGATATATGGACTTCGCCCGATACACATGGTTGTATGTGCGCAGTGAGAATGGTAAGTTGGTCTGCATTGATGTATACCCATGTTTAGACAGATCAATTCCATATTTAGCTATATTTATAAGTTACAAGCGAAAAGTTTCGTCCGAGGGCTCATGATCCTTTGGCATGGCGCTTCCGCTGAATACAGACTGTGATTTTGAGTCAAGAGCTGTTTGCCGGGACTGCCTGCGTAGGAGGGATGTCCTCTCTCACTGGGCTGTAGACTGGCGTTATGTATGTCTGATGTTTAAGACATTGTCTCCTGAAAAATCATCGACCCTAGAAGTGTATATACCAAGAATCTGTATAAGCACAAAACGGACGATATCGGCATTGAAATCCTTGGATTGCAATGCGAATTACAGTAAATGTTCGAAAAAAACGGCACGCCCCCTTTTCATAAGATTTAAAAACCTAATAACTTACTAACGCCTATATCTATTACTATATAACTTTAAAGAGCTCTAGTAGACTAGATAAAGTTTATATATAAAGTAGAAATAATAGCTTATATTTATTA